CACCTTTGGCGACCCCCGAAAAATGGTCGATCGACCCCAAATGGGGTCGCGACCCATAGGTTGAGAACCGCTGCCATAATGCTTCATGTTGTCATTTGAACAACAAGCAGCCATGCAGTATAAACTGACTCCTTTCCATGTTGCGTCTCAAAGTGATGAAATTTTGATTTCTAAAAAGATTTAACCTGTAGGCTAGCAATTGTATTGCCTGGATATATTTTTTTTACCATTCTCAGAAAAGATAAAAGAATTGATCTGTTTCAAATAAAACTTTAAGCATTGTGCTGGCTGGCTTGACTACTCTGAGGAGTTGTGTAATGAATATGTGATTAACTTAAGTTGAATATTTTTATGTCATTTTGAAACATTTATGGAAGAAAATTATCAAGCTGCGCATTTTTTTTTTCCTGTGGGGAAATTATAAAATTATTTAACAAGCTAATAAACATGGACATAAAAGTTTCTTGCAGATGTTTATGTTACACAAAAGATTATAACATTGCCTTGCATTCATATACTTTGGAACATCTGTCATCCTTTTGTCACTTACAAAGCCATTCACATTTAGAGAAGTTTGATAATTCAATCTTCTTGGAATGCTAGTATTTTTAGAATGCATATGGGAAATAATGCATGTACATGTTTTGCCAGTGAATGTTTATCTTTCTATAGAAAACATATGGTTAAACTTCTGCATTCTCATTTAGCAGTGGATTTCCTGCTATAATCTTGCCAGAATGCATAATGAATAAGCAATTAAACACTAAGAACCTAAGTGGATTTCTCCAAGTTTCTTATTTTATCTTGGAAAAACAACCTAATATGAAGAAAACATCCAGTTTTCACAGTTAGTCTCTTGGTCATGTAGTCAACTTTTGTGAAGCATTGAGTCACATTTAATTTTGTGACATGTGTTGAGAGCTTCCTAGCAATAGATTCAGGTAGGAAAAAAAAAACCCAAAATATTTCTGATATGTGACTTATCATATGACTTAAGAGTGATTTAAAACTCATTCACATTAAATTCATACTCCTGTGTGTGTATTGTCACACTTTTTCCCAATTGATCTAGCTATTATAGAGAGGCAATTTTAAGTGAGTCTCTACCACTTCTTTTTGTCATGTTTATGTAGTGTATATTGGAGGTGGTTACCATTTGAGAGCTGTATACAACGAAATCTCATTTTAATGTATGCTGATTAGTGTACATTTAAGGTGACAATAAACTTATTCCATTCCATTCCATTATGTTGTAGCAGGTAATATTAGCTCTGAAAGTTGGCAGCAGATGAGATTGTTGCGATAGTTAATTCACAAATTGATGAAGGCGTTTTTGTGAGGACCAGCCTGAAGCTTACTGTCATCAGTGAACAGACTTGCCTGCCTCATCAATTAATATGAAGGCTGTTGGAAAAAACTTTAAAAAAGTATCTCTGTCTGAATAAATAATGAGATTAATTGATTCTAAATGGAAAATAGTTCAGTTGCTGCAATTTTTATAATCCCAACCCCGTTCATCTTAGTCCATCTTCCAAGAGAAGACTCTTGAGAATCTTGCTTGGAAAGAATTATTTTCAGTTTGAATTAATAAAGGCAGTTTCTTGGGAAGAGGCTGTAGAGCAAGGGGTCTTGAGTTCTTGGCCCTTTTATGACTTGCGGACTTCAACTCCCAGAATTCCTCAGCCAGGCCTGGCTGAGGAATTCTGGGAGTTGAAGTCCACAAGTCATAAAAGGACCAAGTTTGAAGACTCCTGCTGTAGAGTTATCATCTCCAACTGTTTGAGGGTGAGAATGGATAGAAAGAAACCAGACACACATAGCTAATGAGTGAAGAGAGAGTTCTTGACTACTATGCAAACACAATGCAATATGTAATTACAAGACTTTATGTATATAAAGACTTTTATACAGGTAGTCCTTGTATGACTACAATTGGGACCAGAATTTTCACTGCTAAGGAAAATTAATTTTGCCACGATTGTTAAGTAAATCATTGCAGTTATTAATTGATTCATGTAGTCATTAAGCAAATCAGGCTTCCCATTGACTTTCCTTGTTGGAAGCCAGCTGGGAAGGTTGCAGGAGGTGATCACTGGACCATTGGACACTGCAGCTGTCATAAATACATGCTGGTTTCCAAGCACCCAAATTTTGATCATGTAATGTGGGGATGTTGTGATGGTCGTAAACGTGAAGATCAGTAGTAAGTCACTTTTTTTTAGTGCCATTGTAACTTTGAATGGTTGCTAAACAAATGTCTTTAAGTTGAGAACTACCTGTATGTATCTATAGTGGCTTAACTATCTATTCTAATACTTACCTTTTTTAATTTTTTACTGTTTATAATTCAGCTATCATTCTTCCTCTTCCTCCCACACTACATTATTGGAATGCCAACAGCTTCTCCCCTTAATACTCTTTTATCCAGGTCTTTGGCTTTTGAACCATGTGCCACTATCTGCATATCTACGGTAATCCAAGGCTGCATTTTCTTTCTGCTGAATATTTGCTGCAGGTTCTTCTTTTGTTTCAGTTAGTTTAAAACCCCCCCCCTCCATTTTCTGCAAGAGTATATGTGCCTAAGCTGGGCGTGGACCACTACAGAGAAATAAAACTGTGGCCCTAATAGTTCTATGAAACATTTTTCATTTGAAGGTAGTTCATCCTTCCCTACCAACAGACAAATAGTCAACAGGCAATTTTAATCCCCTTCTTTACACAGCTGTATCCATCTTTCTAGACTAGAGCTCTCCCCCCTCCCCCCCCCAGTTTTTTTTATTGAAAGCATGTCAGTTGCCCCAGTCCTGACTTCCAGTGCAGGTTTATCTTACTGTATATCTTACTGTCCCTTTGTTGTGTAACATGTCATGCAGAGTTCATATAAAATACAGATGATTCTAATGTGCTTTGAATAAAAAGAAATGAGTAGAATAAAGATGGACTTAATATGGAGCTCAGTGTCAGGAAGAGTGCATGAAGGAATTGCATGAAGGAAGAATTCTCTGATGAAACCTAATATTGTTCTTTTGTAGAAAAAATATTAAACTTTATACTGTATTTTATTTTTTCTAATTAAAATATATGAGGCAATTGTTTGTCTCCTCCCCTCTGTCTGGAGCCCTCTTGAAACTGAATCTACGGCATGCTGAATATAAATCCTGTTCAAAGAGATAAGAAGTTTTGCTTGAACTTTGAATCCCCATGTCGGCTCTATGCATCATTTTGATAATATACCATTTGGGGGATTTTACATGTCCCTAATGAAGAAGTTGGATTCATTCACTCTCCCGCTTATTGAAATAGGGGAAGTTTTGGGTTTTTTTAAATGGACCTTTTTGGGAGTCTTTCTCCTATTTAGCTAAACCAGCTTGCTTAGTACATTAGAAAGCCTTCTGTGTATGGAGTAGGACAGTTTTACTGCTTGTGCATGGTAGACATTTCTCTGAAAAGTCAGAGAGTGTCATTGCTAACAGAGCATCTGCTTGGCTGAACAAAAGCAAATTGCCTTTGTGTGTGTTTGCAGTTGCATCACTTTATGCTCTGCAGACAGGCTGAAATATTTTGTTGATTGTTTAAACATTTCTTAGAGCAAAAGCTAAGGGTTAGGGGAGAGTCTCTGGCTTAGGGAAAGGGCAGCAACGTGATTTATTCTCCAGCATGATGACTGAAGAATCCACCAATGGGTTATTTCAGACCTCCTGCCCAATCAGACTAAGTTGTCAAATTGTCACGCCTCCTCATTATCTAGCTCCTCCCAGTTTCATCTTCATCTTTCGCCCATGAGGATGTAATAATTTGACTCTCTTCATGAAAAGCAGGTCAGGCTAGATATTTAATTCATTGGTGGATTCTTCCTGGAGTATAGTAGTGTTAGATTGGTTTCTTTCTCTGGGGAGTTTTGGTAATTTTGTTTGCCTTCCTTTCTTTCTCTTTCCTTCTATTACCTGGGAGCAGAGCTTATCCCTCTCCTGGCTGGGGTGGGTGGGTGTCTGCCTATGTTTTCCTAACTATTCAGTTAGCTGCGTTAATTCCCAGGGTAACATCAAGGTGGGGGGGGGGAGTTGTTCCCTTCCTCTCACTAGCTAAGGAGATTGTTTTTGATCAGTATTTTGGAACTACAATCAGTTCCTTGTGGCGGCCGCCATTTTGAGGCCATGTGGAGCCTTCTCTGACTGGGATCGGTCAAAGTCCTTCTAGCGGCGGCCATTTTGAATTCCCAAAGTTAAAGTTAATTGTTGCAATCGGACTGTTAGCAAGCTTCCTCCTTGCTCACTGTGCAAAATTGGTTTAAAACAAAGTCATTATTGTTTCCAGAGCCATTTATTTGGCTGCCACTAAAGGAGGCGAAGCCTCATTGCTGCGGCAGCGAAGACTTGTGGGCACTTAGGAAAAAAAAAAGCCTCATTTTTGCTCCTTTTATTATTTACTGACATAGTCCTTTTGGAATTCAACTGAGGTCCATTCCTTCTCCTACTCCTATCTAGCGAAGGTAGTTCTTTCTTCTGAATTGAAGCGTCCGCCATTTTGCCAATTACTGTCTCATTGGAAAACGCCCAGGACAGGCAGGGACGCCATTTTTGGAGTTGGTTGTTTATAATTACCTCACAATTTAATTAATATTGCCTTTCTCAATATTTATTTTCATCCTAATTTGCAATTAAGGTTCTGTTTCAGAATCCACTATTCATTGCAATTAGCAGCAAATTTGGCACAATTATCATTGCAACGGAGGTCCAGCAGGCCCTGCTCGCCATTCCCTGCCTGAGTTCTGCCACCCTGAACCTAGTGGTTGCCTACAGGATCCTGACCTTTGCCACTAGCGAGACACGTGTGATTTCGTTACCATTCTGATCTGGTTGAAAGTGCGTCCAGCACATTGGTGACGAGAGCTCTACAGCGCCCAGCGTGAGCCCAGGTTGCCAGGGGCGGTTCACGCTTTTTTCTCCACGTGCAGTCAGTCCCTCTGAGGGCTCCTGACATCTACTGCAGGGTCACTCAATTTCTGAGTCCTGCTTGGGGGCATTAAATTGACATGGCAGAACCCACTGAGCCACAGCCTTTGGACACAGGCAACACCATGGTCCAAGCCGAGCCGGTTTCTGAAGTGCCTACAGGTAAGGCCAAAGCAAAATCTAAATATGGCAGGAAGGCTGGTAAGACAAGCGATAAGATGGCTGACAGAACACATAGAGCCCTGTAGAAGCAATTCTCCCGGGCCCAATGCTTGTCAACTGAACAGGATTACATACCTCCTGGTGCATCCCCACCCGAGACACATGTACCATCCACATCGGGAGCATGGTCGCCTTTGAGCGCAATCCAGCAGGTCTCTGATCAGACCTTTGGTCAGGTAGGTCCACCCATGCTTGGGGAGGACCTTGATTTGCCCAGCCCATCATCTGCGCCCACTGCTACATTAACTCCAATGGCTGTGGGGTCACGACCTCCGCTAGAGCCATCTTTTTCAGCACAGCTCCAATCGTGGATATCGCAGGCGGTAATCCAGGCCGTGGCATCATCGGGTATCCACCAGGCATTACCAGTTCCTGGTTCCTCCTCTGCACCAGCTTCCTCATCTCGACCCACAGTGGATCGTTCAGGTAGGGTTTCCCCATCCCGATCTCTGGACTCCGAGTCTTCCAATGTCTTGGATTATGACGAAGGGGGGGACTGCTAGTCTGAGTGCGAGGAGCCAACCCATGAGTCTCAGCCCATGGCAGAGCTATTCAATGCCTTGCTTTTTCCGTCATTGCTGTACAGGGCTTGTGCAGCGAGCAAACTTTCCTCTGTCTCTTCTCCGGAGCCTTCCACAGATCAGGACTCAAATCCTTTATTTGCCAAACCGGTAGATAAACCGATATTCCATGTCCCCCCATATTCCTGAAGAACATTCAAGGACAATGGGAATGTCCAGCTGCTCAACCTTTCCAAGGAGCATCTGAGCGCAAGATTGTGGACATGGCAAAGAATCTGACTGACCTTTTAGAGGTGCCTGAGGTGGATGAATCCTTAGCCCCACTGTTTTCTACAGCCAGCCTTCTGGCGGATGTCTCAGATGCCCTTAAGGCGGAAGATAAAAAGTCTGAACTGGCCTTACGCAAGGTTCACTTAGCATCCGCTTAGGCTACAAAGGTGACAACTTCCATTTCCTTTTTTGCAAGGATTTCAATTACTTGGCTCAGACAATTGCAAGACAGGATCCCTCTGGAGGAGGTTAGGATCCATCAGGACCTTACTAAGCTTATAGCCACATCTGAGTATATGGCAGATGTCTCAATATACTCAGCCAAGCATTCAGCCAGGGCAATGGCTTCCGGTGTAGTCGCCAGGAGGCTACTTTGGCTCAAGAACTGGAGAGCTGAAAGCAAGCACAAGTGGCGTGCGGCCATTGCCCCCTTCATTGATAGCCGACTGTTTGGGGAAGCATTGACCCCATACCTTATTGAGAATAAACAGAAACAAAAGGTCATCTCTCACTTAATTGGGAAATCCAACAGGCGTTACCTCCCTTACAGCCGCTGTCAGTCCTTTCGGACTGCATCCACATCAGAACAGGGACAACCTTACAGACCCCCAGCTCCGAAGGCTGACTGCCCCTTTGACAGAGCGGGGTATAGGGACAGATCCCGATACCAATCCCAGACCAACCCTTCCTTCTGTGGCAGAGGGGGCTGCCCCTTCCGCCGCTCCAAGTGACTCAGAAGGGACCCCCCCCATTGGCGGCAGGCTAATCCTTTTCATCCGCCAATGGGAAAGCACCACCATGGACTCCTGGGTTCTGAGCACCATAAGGGAAGGCCTGTCTCTGGAGTTCAAATCCCATCCAATAGATCACTTTGTCTCTTGCCCAGCCATGAGAAATCACATAAAAAGAGGTCTCATGGAAGATGCCATCCGACATCTCCTCAGCATCAAAGCCATAGAGGAGGTTCCCTTGTCCCAATGGGGATCGGGGTATTACTCCATCCTCTTTGTAGTTCCAAAATCCTCAGGAGGATGGAGAGCAATCCTAGACCTCAAGGGGCTGAACCTCGACCTACAATACAGGAGGTTCAAGATGCAGACTTGCACTCCATCCTAGGCAGTATCAAGATGGGAGATCTTCTAACATCCATAGACCTCAAGGAGGCATATTTGCATATCCTTATCCACCCGGCACATCGCAAATACCTGCGGTTTTATTACCTCAACCATCATTTTCAATACAGGGCCCTACCATTCAGTCTTTCCTTCGCCCCCAGGGTCTTCACCAAAATACTGGCATTCTGGCGGCCCATTTGAGGTTGGTTCCGGTGCACATCCAGTGTTATCTGGACGACATTCTGATCCAATCGCTATCAGCAACATCCGCCCAGTCAGATCTGGATCTCACAATCAGAACTCTTCAGAACCATGGGTTCTTAATAAATTTCAAAAAGAGCCAGACAACACCATCGACCCATCTGTTACACGTGGGGGCGGTGATCGACACAGACAATTGTCACGTGTACCTATCGGAGGAAAGGCGCAAGAGTATCAGAGACCTGGCACTCAAGGTATGCAGGAACAGGACAGTAACATTAGCTCTCCTTTCCCAGTTACTGGGGAAGTTGATATCCTGCATAGCGATAGTGCCGTGGGCCCAACTACATGCTCGACCAGGAAGAGTTCCTGCTTCCACATCAAAGACAACATACAAATACCTCCAACCAGCTGGTGCGTGTTCCTCATCAGGTTCGTCTGTCTCTCAACTGGTGGACTTCCTCGGCCATATGCAAGGGGACCCTATTCAAAGAGCTCACTCGCATCAGTATGACCACGGATGCGAGTCTTTTCAGTTGGGGCGCTCATCTCCAAACACGGATGGCTCTGGGTCAGTGGTCACAGACAGACCGGAAGCACAGCATAAATTGGTTGGAGCTCAGAGCGATCCACCTAGCTCTCAGACATTTCCACTCAGTAGTCAGGGGGCAACATGTGCTGGTCCTGACAGACAGCATGGCGGCAAAGGCCCACGTCAATCAACAGGGGGGTACCCAGTCAAAGTCCCTCATGGCAGAAGCTCGGGCATTGAGTTCCTGGGCGGAGAAACATCTACTCTCCATCAGGGCAGAGCACATTTCGGGGGAGGTGAATTGGCAGGCAGATTTTCTCAGCAAGTCAATAGTGGACCATTCGGAGTGGAAGTTACATCCAGATGTCTTCAGGGAGATCACGGACAGATTTGGTCGTCCAATAGTGGACCTGTTCGCCTCGCCAGAGAACACCCAACTATCCAGGTTTTTTTCCTGGTTCCCCTCTCAGGGGGGGAGGGGGCGGACGCCTTATGCAGCCAATGGCCACGAGGCCTCTTGTATGCCTTTCCCCCACTGCCTCTGTTACCAGCAGCTATCAGGAAGATCCTGGCGGAGCAGGCAGAGGTAATATTTATTGCTCCTCACTGGCCCAGAAGGCCATGGTTTGCAGACCTGGTGAGCCTCTCTGTCTCTGCTCCGTGGAGGATTCCAGACCATCGCATTCGGTTGACACAGGGAGATCTTCAACATCCAGATCCCCAATGGCTTCAGTTAATCATTTGGCACTTGAATGCCACACCTTGACTTGAGAGTCCTATTCGTCAGGGGTGATTGCTATGATTCAGGCTGCCAGGAGACTGTCGACTAACCATATTTACAACCATACGTGGAAGAACTTCTGTCATTGGTGCAACAGGAATCACGTGAGTCTGTCACAAGTAACCATCCCCAAGGTGTTAGAATACTTGCTGGAGGGCGTCAACAAGGGGTTGTCGCCCAACACTATCTGTAGACAGCTAGCAGCCCTTTCCACAGTGTTTTCTTGGGACTCTTCAGAATCCTTGTCTAGACACCCTACAATCAGATCTTTCCTAAAGGGAGTTACCAATAGCAATCCCCCTGTGATTCATAGGTATCCCTCTTGGGATCTACCCAAAGTCTTACAAGCTCTAACCTCTTCCCCCTTTGAACCACTTAGAACATTTTCCTTGCAGTACCTGTCACTGAAGGTTTCATTTCTGATAGCCATAACTTCTGCCAGACATATATCGGAATTAGCTGCCTTGTCAATCAGGAAGGACCTGTGCTTGTTTCACGAGGACAGGGTGATTCTTCAATTAGATCCCTCGTTTATTCCAAAAATAAACACGATGTTCCATAGGGTACACGAGGTTATTCTCCCGGACTTCGGTCCCCACCTGTCACATGACTTGGAACGGCAATGGCACTCTTTAGACGTGCGGAGAGCTTTGCAGTGTTATATCAAACGCACAGCATCTTTCCGTAAATCAGAAGCCCTGTTTATATCCTTCCAGCCTTCCTCAATGGGCCAAAAGGTTTTGGCTTCCACTATAGGTAGGTGGATTAGGGTTTGTATTGCAGCAGCTTACGCGTCTCTTGCCCTACCCATTCCCAGTCATGTGACGGCTCATTCCACACGCAGCGCTGCCACAACCGCTGCATGCGCTACTCAAGCGTCTATTGAAGACATTTGTAGGGCAGCGACATGGTCCACGCCTTCCCCATTTATTAGGCATTATCGCTTGGACAAGTTTGCTTCGGCTGAGGCCGCCTTCGGTAGACGTATTTTGCAACAGGTGGTGACACCATCAGGTTCACAGACCCCAACTATTTCCCACCCATAGGGACTTCAGGAGCTTTGGTACGTCCCATTGGTGGATTCTTCAGTCATCATGCTGGAGAAAGAGCGTTGGCTTACCTGAACGCAAGTTCTCAGCATGATGATGAAGAATCCACGCCCTCCCTTCAAGTTGTTAGTTAGTTAGGGGTTGGGGGCCTGTTTCTTTTTTCCTTTTTTTATGAGAGTCATCACGTCGAACTGTTGTCATTGGCTACGCCCTCGATGAAACTGGGAGGAGCTAGACAATGAGGAGGCGTGACAACTTGACTACTTAGTCTGATTGGGCAGGAGGACTGAAATAACCCATTGGTGGATTCTTCATCATCATGCTGAGAACTTGCGTTCAGGTAAGCCAACGCTCTTTATCATCCCACTAATAGTGAAACTTGATCTTTGCTGGGTAGTATAGGTGGCTATGGTGGATGGCAGAAGATAACCCTCTCCAATTTACTATTGTTCCAGATGCTTTTCCAGTTGGTACTAACATAGGACACAGGTAGATGTTCAACCCATAATGGAGGATGTCATATTGGGTGAGGTTGCCATAACAAGTGGGATATTAACACTGGTGTATTTATTTGTGAAATGTGTTGGAGTGGGGGGAGCTTTTAAGAAAATAAAAGAGCAAAATCACTTTGGTTCATCCATGGCTTTCAATGTAAAATGTCTGTTTATGTTTCAGTGAAGCTTTTTATTTATGTATTCATGCTGATGGCATTTTTTACAGTAGCTGTCTAGCAGTTGTGGGTTTAACCGAATCTTATGCAAATCTATGTACTTTCGGACCTCTGTATATATTTTGGTTCTTAGGATTTGCTTAATGCTGCTTATTTTTGAAAGCTACTATTTTTGAAATATTTTGTATGTAGACTTTTTGTTTTTGTTGGTGTCTATAACTTTTGTATAAATAAATATCTCATCTGGTACCTTGCTTTTCCCATCTAAAAAGCAATAGGATTTATTTTGTGAGTCCTGGAGTTATAGCAATAGTTTGAACATTTTTCTGCTTCTAACCAAATTACGGTGCAAAGATTTTTTGCTTAGGAATTGCACTGTTTGCAAGTGAACAAACTGAAAAGAATATAAAATCTCCTCGTGTTCTTTCTAAAGTCACACAATCTGTTCAAAGTTGGCTACTGTGTTGCTCAATATAGATGCCATCTGGATTATTTGCTTTTTGAAAGTAATTTTTACTTGTTATTAAAAAGATAGCCGTTTGAACAGAATTTTTAGTGACTTTGTTTTAGTATTATAATGTGTGATAGATACCTGTTTGGTTAGGTGCAAGAATATTTTGTTTATGAACTAAGGGGAAATGAAGTAACCTGGAATTAAGGAGGAATTTCCTAACAGTGAAAACAATTAACCAGTGCAACAGCCTGCATTCAGAAGTTGTGGGTGCTTCATCCCTGAAGGTTTTTAAGAAGAGACTGGACAGCCACTTGTCTGAAATGTTATATGTCAGTGATGGCAAACCTTTTAGAAATCGAGTGCCCCAAAACCACCCCTGCCTCTCCACCCACCCCCGCTCTGCGCCCCGCCCACCCGCAGGATCACCCACAACTTCCATGGCCCACCGCAGCAGATCACCCAGGCCCCCCAGCAGTGCCATAGCAGCCACGCCCTCTGCTCGCGTGCCACAGCATCATCTGTGTGTGACAGGGCGTGAGGGCAGAGTCTTGTCCCTGCTGCCTGGCTGCCATGTCCTTGGCTGCGCTGCTCTATGCGGACCACGCTCAGGGGTGACTCTCTGGGGGGCTGCTGGTGAAGAGGGGGCCATGGAAGGAGACGGGGCTGGGGCGACAGCGCACGTGCCCACAGAGAGTGCTCTGAGTGCCACCTCTGGCACACGTCTCATAGGTTCGCCACCACGTTATAGGTTCTCCTGCTTGAACAGGGGGTTGGACTAGAAGACCTCCAGTTCTATTTTGAAATGAATTGAATTGAACCCTCAGTTCTCCTTGAGTTGGTAAAAGAATCTGTGCTACTTACCATTTTATATAGTCAATTATTCCTAAATAAAGAGATGAGGAATTCTCCTTGATTATTTTGACTGCTGAAGAGAAATATTCTTCCCCCAGCATCTAAAACAGCAACAACAGCAACAATGTGTGATGTGTGATTTGTTCCACAACCAATTTAACCAGTTTTACACATAAAACACTTTGGACGTTGAGATGGTTTTGCTATATCTGGATAAACTAGAACTGGTCAGTGCTTGGTGCAATATCGCTGCATCTTTTAAAAACTGCTGGATTTTCTGCCTGCAGTTAATCATTAAGGATAAGTCATTGCAAAGTCATCCCTGGCTAACAAGTCTGCATTTAATAGGTGGATTACAGCTGATGGGAGTTGCTGAGGTCACATTTTCTGCATCAACAGAAAACAGCAGACTAGACAGAACTGCTTTTTCTGTGGGTGTTCTGGAAAGCCTCAAATATTTGTCTAACTAACAGATAAATATGGATGGATGGGAAGATGGAGGTGAGATGTGAATACTTCCTAAAAATGTTTACATGTAAAAAGCTTCAGACATTAGGAGTGAATGTATCTGCAACACTGCCTTGTGTTTTAGCTGTTGAATAAATATGATGATAACTTTGGAATACCATTGAGCTGTTTGTTTGCCAATTGAGAAATAGCAAAGTAATGGTGGACTGCACGGCCATCACTATTTAGTTAGTATATTTAGTTGATTATAATGAATAATAGCTTGTTTCAAGGATGCACCCTGTCTGGAGTCACTGTTGAAATGAGCAGTTGTAAAAATTAAATAAAAATAAATACATAAATAAACACCCTAAAACTTTATAAGAGCTGTATGCAGCAGTCATTTCTAGCTCACATTTTGTCTGTTATGTATATGTGAATCTCTTCTGTGATGCTCACGTTTTTCTGCTCAGTACATACATTTCTGCTCAGTACATACATGAAAGCAATGCTTTCAGTTTTGAATATTTGTACCCATGAACTGAAGAAGGTTAGACTCCTTTTCATATGTATATATGTCTGTCTGTATCCATCCATCCATCCATCCATCCATCCATCCATCCATCCATCCTATATAGCCACCCGTCTATTTAAAAACAGAGAATTTCATTAAAACAAAAAACCCAACTAAAGTGCACTGAAGTTCAATAAAAACGTGAAACCACTAGACACACAGATACACAACAGAACTGCCATGCTAATATCCAGATCACAATGCCTAAAAGAAGAACCAGGTCTTTGCAGCCTTGTAAAAAGCCAATAGGACAAGGTCTGTCCATATTTTAAGGAGGAGGCTGTTCCAATGTGACCACTAGTATATAAAATGAGAGCAAATTCCACTCTCTTCTAGCACTGATTATGTTACTTAGTTTAGTAATGAAATGTCTGCCAGAAAACAACCAAGCTCAGAGAGCACCAAGAACCCCATAGTGTTGATTACGCTTCATGTGTATCCTGGAAATAATTGTTTTCTCATGGGCACCAGCTTTTCAAAGCCTTGACTCTCTTTCCAAAATTGTTGCTTATGTCCTGCCAGGGTTTTCTGAAACTGGAATAGGAGTCTTTATTAAGCATTCATGCCAATAGATTTATACTGTGGATACAGCTTCCAAGTAATTGGCACCCTGATGGCTTTAACCAGGTCAGAGACTGCTTTCTGTTGGTTTATTTTTAAAGTAATCAATGGATCCTATAGAGTGCTCTGAATTTTCTCATCTGAATGCACAACTAATTGCTATCACTTTGAAAGCTAATGAATGTGCGTCTTTCATAAAAATATAATTTGAAATACTTCAGTTTTCTGGTAGGATGATGGGGCCTTGCTAATTTAACTTGATGATTTGTCTGTCACATACTGTAAGACCAAATTTCTTACCACTGCATAGTACTGTAATGCAGCACTGGATAATTTCAAATAATACTGTACAGCCAACCTGTAGACCAACAAATTGATCCAATTTATATACCTGTGTTTTTTTGTTTTTTTAGTGGTAGAAATAATAATAATAATAAAAACCTTTCTCTTTTAACCCTCAGCCTTTGTCAACTTCACAGCTGCTTTGGCAACAGGCAAGAAGGATTCCGAATATAGAACTATTGTGAAGCATCCAAGTATAGTTTCACTTACTCAGTTTTCCAGCCATTTTCACAGAGAAAACTGACCGCTTGGTTTTGGAATATTCATCTGTACATATTCAGACCATGATCTGAGCCTTTGATTTCAGGGTGGACTTATTATTATTGTTTGAATATTTGCTCTTCCTTGCAAGATCAAAGACTTTCTTTAAAACCTTTTGCATTCTGAATGCAGCTTGCTGTGATACTTGAAATAAATCAAAAGCCTTTCTTTCAAAGTACAACATTAGAGACATGACTCTTTATTAATTTAGAGATTACAAGTGTTTATATCCTTTCAACTAACAAATCTAACAAATCTTCCAAAGCATTCTTACTATATAGTTTACAAACAAACAAAAAATTCTTAGATCTTCTTTTCTTGTGGCATTTGGTGGGATAACCCTGTGGATGGATGTTTATGGAGATACCCAGACATCCATGTCATAGTTGTCCCAAACATGCTTTTTCACGAGGCAACTGGACTTTCTTGTTTTTCTTTGAAGACATTTCACTTCTCATCCAAGAAGCTTCTTCAGCTTCTTGGTCAGAGAAAAACAAGTAGGTCCAGTTGCCTCATGAAAAAGCATTTGGGGATCTGTGGATGGATGTGGGTTGATAGAGCAGGCTTTTGGGATAATCTTGGTTTCCTTCCTTTTTGTCTCCATTCTCTTCAGCAATCCCTGTTCTCACCTGACCACCAGAGAAGTAAATGGACCTTATTTTTAAAATACAAGTAGGACTGGATTGTTACTGTAGGAGATGACCAGGTTGTGCCCAAGGGAGGGGTAAAACCCATCATCAGTCATGAGTCCCTTCGCACCCATAAGAGATCTAAGTCCAGCCCACCTTGAATTCCTTTCACTCTTATGTATCGCCAATGTGCTTTGAACATTAGTAGGTCAGATTCTTGTAGAGATCTTAAGCTTGCAATAAATCTTTATACCCATTTTAACTGCCTAGGTCAGTGGTGGCGAATCTATGGCACAGGTGCCAGTGGCGGCACTCAGAGCCTCTCTGTGGGCACGTGCACCATCCCCTCAGTCCTAGGCCTTCAGCTGGGTTTTATAAAACCTTTTCGCTTTAGGCTTCCGTCGCCATGTACAAAAAAAAAAGGTTCAATCAATCAGTCAATTTCAACTTCTCGCGGAAAAAAGAAGATCTTGCAAAGTTGGAATTGATTGAACTTTTTAGTCCCACCCAGTCTGCTGTTACCACTGCAGCCACGCCCACCCAATGGGCCACACCCACCCGGCACCCGATGATGTATAAGTGGGTTTTGGGTTGCAGTTTGGGCACTCGGTCTCTAAAAGATTTGCAATCACTGGCCTAGGTCTTCTGATTTCCCTGGCACTTGACAGTTACTAGTGAAGTTCTGTCGATTTTGGTAATCATTGTGACAAATGTCTATGGAAATTCTCAGTCATCCAGGTCATGGTTGTCCCAAAGGTGCTTTTTCAAGAGGCAACAGGACTTTATTGTTTTTCTTTGAAGACATTTCACTTCTCATCCAAGAAGCTTCTTCAGCTCTGACTGGACGGTGGGGAGGTGGAAGGATTTATATTCCTTGCAGAACCATTTCTGCAGAACCGTGGGAAAAAATGAAATTTTGATTGTGGGCTTTACCAATTAGATAGATGTTATGGTATTGAAATGGCTAGTTTACATTATTTTGTAAAAGTAAAAAGTTGAGGTTTGAAGTTGGATACTATATTGCACCAAAGCAAGTCGGAAGTCAATGCCTTCCCCCCCCTTTTTTCCCTCCCTTACCTCACTTCTCTACTCCCTTTCCCCTTCCCCACCTTTTCTGCTATTTATTTTGTATTTCAATTGTATCATATATTATAAACTAATAAAACTTTGAAAAAATAAGAAAGTCCAGTTGCCTCTTGAAAAAGCACCAAAGCGGGATTTGACTACAGTTTGGCAAAATGAGACATCACTTGACTATTTTCAACCCTGACCCCTCTTCCTAAACTTTGCAAGAAGGAGTGTATCCTTAGGATAATTGCGTAAACTAATGAGAAATGAGTTACTAACAAACCTTCTTCAGTCTCTTCTCTAGGCTGCTGCTCTTTGCATATAGTAGTTCATTTTTGGTGATTAACTGTTTGGATAATATGTGGGACATTCTTCCAAAAGTAGTTGGAGGCAGTATAAAAATCTAATTCATTTAAAATTACAGTGACTCAGAATTAGGTTAAATTGAATGAATGCTTTTCAGATGATCACTACCCAATGTTTTCTATAGATTAAAATATCAATTTGCTTGCAGTTATTGGAGGGCCCATGGAGCCCCCATTTGACCTTGGACTCTCAGCTTGTATATCCTTATGGCACTCAGGGCAGAGCCTTTGACTTGTTCATTATTAAAGAGTTTGTGGTCAGCATTCTAAAGAGGTTCTCTGTTTCTGTGTGGTCCATGATAGCATTTAAGGAGAAAAGTGCTCTCTTTGTAAAGGATGCTCTCTTGTCATTCACTGTGATAGAGCTCTTTCCGAGCTGCATCTTTCAAAAGCTCTGCAGCTAAAAAGACTGATATTTACAGCAATGGAAAATAAATGCATGGTCCATTTATTCAATGGATTGAAGACCCGATTGCACTTGCCACTTATTGAGCAGATTGTCTGTAGACATAGCTTTGTAGGGACAAGTATGATAAAACATGGGACTCGTTGATACAGAATAATATAAATATATATACATATATAAATGTAGTAGAAATATATATATATATATATGTACTGGAATAATATTTGAACTAGACAAGTGTATATAGAATTGTAATTCCTTATTGTTATAATGACATTATGTTTTTTTTTCCTTTTTTCATATTTTTTACTTTTTTGTTAAAGCACTTTTTAATATCTTCTTTTTTCTTCTTCTCTTTGACAACGGATTTATCACCGTCACTATTTTCTTTGTGTTCTGCTCTTTTTTTCTTTTTGTTGTTAATTAAAAAAACAGTAAATAAATATAAGCTCTGTTTGGCTTGCTTCTTCATGGGAAAACCAAAACTGACAGGGTACTAATGTAAAGCAGGGCTGCCTTTCCATTCACAGAGTTGGAACAAAAGACCAATGTTGCTTGAAGCCCCAAAATAGCAATAGCAATAAGACTTATATACTGCTTCACAGTGCTTTACATCCCTCTCTAAGCGGTTTACAGAGTCAGCTTATTGCCCCCAACAATCTGGATCCTCATTTTACCAACCTTGGAAGGATGGAAGGCTGAGTCAACCTTGAGCCACTCAGAATCAAACTCCTGGAGTGAGCAGTGAATTAGCCTGCAATATTCCATTCTAACCATTGCGCCACCATGGCTCTTAAGGTGTCACAGAAGTGATGTCTTCCACCTGAAGAGTCAAGGTGGGCTAGTTTGCTGTGGCTGGCTGCTTCAAGTGCCTTCTGCCTGCATTAAAGGCCCCACTAGTGTTTCCTTTGATGCCACTAAGTTATGCCATACCAGAGCAGAGCTTCCCTTTGAGGCCTTGGGTAGTCTGGACTTAAAAAAATCAAGTTCCTTAAATGCAGATATTATACTCCATCGCTCCTTCAACAAGAATAGGAGGCAGGGATATATTCAAGTAGTCAAGCACTTAAGACTGTATTGATTCACTGCAATTCCAAAAGGTAGAGTCTTGTATATTTTTTTAACACACTCCATGTGGCATACAAAATATTTGCACTAAAATATATAAAGAAGGTCTTACAGTCAAATCAGTGATTTTCCACATTAGGAATATGAATGTTAGAAAACAGTATTATTTTGAAATAAATATATTAATATCTGGAGGGGGGAAAGCTGAAAAGGGTTGGGTGGTCAACTAGAAATTGAACAAATCATCCCCCCAAGGCACATTTTCTTCTTCCCTTTCCAGACAATCTGAGTTTGAGACTTTGGGGCTTAGTAGTGAGAGAGCTTTTCTCGAAACCTGCCTAGCATGGAGTCTGACTGTTGCCTAGGAACATCTCTCTGGTCTTTTGGTGCATTCATATTCTAATCATAGCACTTTGCCAAAGGCTTGTTTACTTCCTTTCCAAGCCATGGAGATGACAAAACCTTTGCATATTTCTTGTCTTTTTTATTGGTCATAATTTCATCTCATTAAACAAAGCAAGGGTGAAGAGTTCCTAGCACATAGGTTAGGACAGCGTTTGTTAGTCAAATATATATTGTATATAGTTCTTGAACATTCATAAATATAATGTTCATAGTCTGATAGTAGAGGTAGTCTTGACAGACTTGAACATTGGACGCTATCTAACAAAATGAAATTCAATGGTGAAAAAAGTAAGGTTCTACATTTAGGCAAGAAAAACCAAATGCACAGGTATAGTATAGGTGGTACCTTGCTCAATAGTTGTAACTGAGAGAGGGATCTATGAGTCTAGTGGACAATCACTTAAATATGAGCCAGCAGTGTGCTGCAGCTACCAAAAAAGCCAACACAGTGTTAGGCTGCATTAACAGAGGGATAGAATCAAGATTACGTTAAATGTTAATACCACTCTTCAATGCCTTGGTAAGGCCACACTTGGAATACTGTATCCAGTTTTGTTCACCACGATGCAAAAAAAATGTTGAGACTCTAGAAAGAGTACAGAGAAGAGCAATAAAGATGATTAGAGGTCTGGAGGCTAAAACATATAAGGAACGGTTGCTGGAATTGGGTATGTCTAGTTTAATGAAGAGAAGGATGAGGGGTGACATGATAGCAGTGTTCCAATATCTCAGGGGTTGCCACAAAGAAGAGGGAGTCAAGCTGTTCTTCAAAGCACGCTGGAAGTTTTCAAGAAGAGACTTGAAATGGTATAGGTTCTGAAATGGTATAGGTCAGTGATGACGAACCTTTTAAAGACTGAGTGCCCAAACTGCAACCTAAAACCCACTTATGCATCGTCGAGTGTTGGGTGGGTGTAGCCCATTGACTGTGGGTGGGTGTGGCCAATTGGGTGGGCTTGTCTGCAGTGGTAACAGCAGACTGGGTGGGACTAAAAAGTTCAATCAATCAATTCCAACTTTGCAAGAACTTTTTTTTCCCCGTGGGAAGTTGAAATTGACTGATTGAACCTTTTTTTTTTTTTTTTTTTTTTTTGCACATGGTGGCGGAAGGCTAAAGCGAAAAGGTTTTATAAAACCCAGCTGGAAGCCTAGGACTGGGGCGACGACACGTGTGCCCAGAGAGAGAGCTCTGAGTGCCGCCTCTGGCACCTGTGCCATAGGTTCGCCATCACTGGTATAGGTTCTCCTGCTTCAGCAGGGGGTTGAACTAGAAGACTTCCAAGATCCCTTCCAGCTCTATTCTATTACTTCATACCACCATGATTACCAAATTACACATTACATGAAACATTTAAGGAACTATTTTAAAAAGTGTAATGTGGGAGACGAAACTGGGACTCTAATAGAAGGGAAGGTGGATTAGGTCTTTCCTATCCTTTATTACAGTATGTTTATACTGTAGAACTAAAGAGCAGAGTGCTGGAAAGATATAAAGGGTGCATGAAAGAGAGTTCCGTAATGAAGGTAAAAACACACCTTCATTATCTTTCCAGCACTCTGCTCTTTAGTTCTACAGTATAAACATACTGTAATAAAGGTTAGGAAAGAGCTACACATGTTTACGTTAGAATAGCATTATATGGGATGTCATATATAGATGGGTAGTCTCTTGGTATATATTTAGGTTTTAGCAAAATTTTGTATAAAAGGAAATTTTCCATCATTTGTCATCTAACATGGCCAATATTCACATAAGTAAATGTCCTCTGCCTTACAAACACGTACAGCTTGTATTTTATATTAAGATCCTAACTTATGCATTTGGGTTTTCTTGGTTGAGCAACTGGTGGTATTACTCAGCTTACATGTTATGTTAGGTGAGAACTTGTAATAAAATATGCTATGAAATGCAGGAATTATCCTGCTCTTAATGCTACTGTTTGATCCTTTCTGATTTTGGAATTTGTACATGGCTTGAAGTCAACATACTTTTTTAGCCATCTAATAAACTAATCATCTGGGAAAGTGTCAGTTTATTTCTCCATGCGGAGAGAAAAAGAACAGATGGAAGGAAGTGAGAAAGAGATGAGAGCAGAACTAAGATATTGCTTTAAGAAGGGAAATAGATATAGTTCCAGATGACTAGTTGATATGATTCATTAATGTCATAGTGAATATTGTTGGACATATCAGCTTGTCCACCAAATTGTTTCTTTAATGGTGTGGAATAGAGGAAGGCTCCTAGTATCCTGTTTCCATCTCTATTCTGCTACTATTATGTATTGTTATTTTATGTAAGGAATTAAAGCTGCAATCATCAAAAACCCATTCCTTTGGCCTCTCCATGATAATAACTCATTGTATTCCAATCAGTTGTGTGCTGATAGACCAGGGGTCTTCAAACTTGGCCCTTTTATGACTTGTGGACTTCTGGGAATTGAAGTCCATAAGTCATAAAAGGGCCAAGTTTGAAGACCCTTGTAATAGACAGATATCCTGCTTCCCCCCCCCATCTGCCTTTTGTCCCTTTTTTGACGTTTGCTGATCATTAACAACTAACATCAAGCCCTCCATTTTTGCTAGCTGAGCTGTATGGCATGTATGCTTGCTCTGCTGTGGATATAAGGATTGATTGGGTATATGCTGGGTGCACACAAACACACGAATCTGCAAGTTGCCTGCAGTAATAGTTCCACAAATATAAAGCAAAATTTGCTTATGAGCATAGTTTCTTATGGCAAAGCCTGAGAAAATTATTAAATATTTCTTTGAGGTGACATGATACAGATTTGAACATTTTAGAAAATAGCTATTAGTAATAAATCAATAAAAATTAGCATCAAACTTGATAGGCAGAAATACTGTATTTCAGAACATATGTGAATAAATTATGGGATGTGCTACCAGAAGTTGTAATGTCAGCCAGCCTTGATGGTTTCAGATAAGGGATGGATAGCTTTATGAAGGATTAGGCTATCAATGGCTACCAATAATAATTCCTGAAGCAATGCATATCTGAAATAAGATTGTTGGGAAGCAATTGTCGTTTCAACAAAGTGACACGATATAGTCTTTGATCTCTTTAATTCTCTGTAAGCCCCACTCCCCTTTTTTCCTGGTGCTTGACTGTAATTAATAGTGGAATACTGGAAAGTGGCATATAAAAACATGATCATTCTTTGAATGATCATTTGGAGAGATCTTCTCCAGTTAGAGAGTTTGCTGTATTTCAAGTAAAATGGTTGGGTTTTAATTGAGTTTTTGATATCATGATGATGATGATGATGTAACTTCCACCAGATAACTTCTGCAAAATGGTGTCATTCTTTTTAATAGAATGAAGAGAAAAGAAACCTATCTTTGGGAGGCCATGTTGGATTTGACAGTCTTCCTGATCAACTTGTCAGCAAATCAGTGGTGCAAGGTTTCAGCTTCAACATCCTCTGTGTAGGTCAGTAAAGTGTTTATTGTGAAGAGGAATGCTTAGAATTGGAATAATAGCCAGAAATTGCCACGTTACAAAGATAAAGGGAAAGCTTACTAGAAAAGTATCTAAAAGTCTATTGCACCATCTCAGCTAAAAGATCAGGTAGAAGATGATGCAAAAGGGAGCTTGTAAGAGAGCTTCCTGTATTCTTGTACTATTAGCTAGGTTCCCACATCATTTTAAACCATAATGTGATTTATTTGGATTTTTGCCCTACTGTTTTATGGGAACTTATGTGTTCTGATTTACACAATACATGACATCAGTATATAAATCCAATTGATTTTTCGAATTGAAACAACTACAGTATAGCTAATGTGCTTAGAAATTAAACTTTCCAAATGTGGTTTATCACATGCTGTGTCTTGGAATGAAGCTAAATCTTTTTCCAGAATCTTGACCTCGTTTACATTTTTTCTGAGTGAGAACAGAACCCAGTTTGAAACATTTACGTGAATAATGTCATTTTACTCCATTGAGTGAATGAACTTTTGGTAATCAAAATGAAGGCTCAGCTATCTAATTCTGTCACTCTTCTGGCTCCTTATGTGTCCAGGATTGAGTTTCTACAACTCCTGGCTTGTTATGTATAGAAATTGTAGCTTTAAAATATTTAATGACTTATTAAACAAACTGTTTAGTTTTAGATACCAAAAATATTTTTATATATGGAAAAAGTCTTATACAATTTAAACTGTGCTTTAAAAGATATTTACATTTTTAATCACTTTAATCACTTGCTGGTCTTTATAGTCTGTCAGAAGATGTAATGTCATGCCTTTACTATGAAAAGGAACATTTTAAGCTTTGGTTTTAAACTCCTTCCTCACAATTTAAGTTTCTTGATATGTTCTGCATTCAGTAGTGATTAGTGTTGGAGTGATGGAGATGAATTGCTGTATTAAACAATCTGGGATAGCTCTGAATGTTTCTTTGTTCTTTTATTGTAGTTTGGTGCCACTCCAATAATTCAGTTTCTTTCGTTAATGAAAGTTTAATTTAATGAAAAGAAGGAATGGGGATGTCATGATAGCAATGTTCCAATATCTAAGGGGCTACCATAAAGAAAAGGGGGTCAACCTATTCTCCGAAGCACCAGAAAGCAGTACAAGAAGCAATGGATGAAAACTAATCAAGGAGAGAACTAACCTAGAAAAAAGGATAAATTTCCTGACAGTGAGAACAATTAACCAGTAGAAGAGCTTGCCTTCAGAAGTTGTGGGTGCTCCATCACTGGAGTTTTTAAGAAGAGACTGGAGAGCCACTTGTCTGTAATGGTACTATAGAATCTTCTGGCTAAGCAGGAAGTTGATAGATGACCTCCAAGATCCCTTCCAATTCTGTTATTCTGTTTTTCTTACACATGCATAGAGTAGTTGCCTGCCATATCCAGGAGCAAATATTTCTATTTTCCATTTTGTATTCATTTCTAGACTCACATGATCTTCTGACTTTGTTCCATCAAGAATTTTTTATACATGTCCATGTGTTATTATGATTCTTATATTTGTATTTGCTAGTTTTTTATCTACTGCTGTGTGCCCCCCAAAGTTACCTTTGTTGAGCTGGGCAGCTATATAAATTTGATAAATAAAATAAAATATATTAAAATGTACACAAATTCCTGAAATGATGTTTTTGCCATTAACTACAATTTTAAAGATTTTTTTTTTTAAAAGATGTGATTATGTGTTGTTATAATGAAAAGTAGAATTCTGTTCTGGCACTATAGTTTGTTCTGGATCATGTTGAGATTCTGCAGATATTTTGCCTTACTATTTCGGATGTTTTGATGCTTTTCCATTTTATATCTGGAAAAGTATCCCAAGTCCATAGTACAAAGGACTAAGCTTTATCAATTGCTGAACATTTAAATATAAAAAGATAGTATTATGTTTCTTCAGGATGCTCTTTTCTTTCTTTTTTTTAAGCATTTGTTGATCACCATTGGAATAAACATTTTAATCTTTTTAGGTGAAACCGGCATCGGGAAATCTACCCTGATGAACACTCTTTTTAACACAACATTTGAGACAGAGGAAGCTAGTCACTATGAGCAGATAGTCCGTTTACGGCCACGAACGTATGATCTGCAGGAAAGCAATGTCCACCTAAAGCTGACCATTGTAGATGCTGTTGGCTTTGGAGATCAGATAAATAAAGATGAAAGGCAAGTTACTTTCCAGCTTGGTCTAGAAACATTTGCATTGTTTTGATGGGAAAAGAATGTGTGTATTCTTGGAATACAAGACTTTATTTATTGTGCTTGTGATCGGCTGCTTATAATATCTGCAATGGAAAGCTTAGACAACGCAACAGTCAGGAAGAAGAGAACAGTAATAGGAAATTTCAGATGTCACCCAGATAAAATACAATCCATTGCCATCTTGTGGCTAAGCTATAACATTATCCATACAATTGCCAAATTTAATAACATTTCCATGAGACTTGGTAGGAAACTAAACAGTTAATGAAGGCTCTACTTTTTTTTTTTTATTCTGAGCCTGCAAGTTGTAGTCATTCTCAATTTCTCCACTGGCTCTAATGTAAATTGCTGGGTTGTACACATGTTGAAAGGAAGATGAAAGAGTGAGGCTTTGGAGCTCTTTTCCCTCAGATATCCTGATTCCCTTCCTCCCATTTCCCCACAAAACTAGTTGGCTGGAATCAATTTTGTTCATTCCATTTGAGAGATGGCAGCTGCTACACCACTTCCTTCCAAAATAAAGCAAGGGTGCTAGTATCTGCTGTATGTTCCAATGCTGAACAGCAACAGGAGAGTACTGTTGTTTTTATATCCGACATATGAGTTTCCCAGAGGGTCATCATAGGAAACAGGAGTTATTTAATGCTGACTTTGGCTCCCATGGTGTTCAATTCCCAAAGGTTCTAAATGACTTCCAGGATTCTGTTGTATGAGTTTCATGTACAACAAAACTTGTATTTCAAGTAGAAAATGTCCTAGACTGAAGTTTATGCAGTTAATCTGTGATTTGATTTGTACAGCACTTGAGAATCAAATACTAGTCTAAAGAAGAATTTAAAGCAAAGATTTTTAGGGTGACCTGAAATTGATGAGATATGCTTGTTATTTTTATTGCAAGGAACTCCTCCAGTCAAGTTCTTGGTGTGTCCCCATAGCGTTCATTTAGTCATAGGGTTTATATCGAATCTTTGCTCCAGAAGCTTAGGTCATCAAACCCTCCCTCTTTCGGTTTCTATGCTTTCAACAATCTTGTAAGGTATGTTGGTCTGAGAGATTGATTTGCCCAAAGTCATTCAGTGAACTTCCATGATTTCCAGTGGCTGTATTATGCACGCAGAAGTTCATTCACAAAAAGAAGCAGCCAAAGATCATTGTTGTCGGAGTAGAAGATGCAGACTAGGAGGACGTTGCAGGAAAAGTATTTACTGCTTGTAGAAGGGCATTCCATTGTGTAATCAATCTTTAGTTTAGGGGTAGTTGGGCTAGGGCTAACTATGATTGCTGTAATCCTGGTATTGGAATGTATGATCGACAGATATTGTCAGATTATAGTTCCCAGTGGTATGCACTAAAACAGCCAATAGTGCAAAATCTTTGAAGGTAAAATCCAGCACTAGTTCAGAACTAGTTTAGCACTTTGTACATGCCCGGAATTTTAGTTTAGTCTGTTTCAGCCAGCACTAGAAGTTGTTCAATATTTTTTTTTTAGTCAGATTTTATGAAGGTTGGTGGATCGATGCAGGCTTGTTGAACATGTTTAGTCATTCTTTGTAAATGGTACCATTCAAGTTGCTAATGGAATTCGCTTTTAGTTACAGGCCAATAGTAGATTACATTGACACGCAGTTTGAAAATTATTTACAAGAAGAGCTAAAAATCCGGCGTTCCCTTTTTAATTATCACGATACAAGAATCCATGTCTGCCTTTATTTTATCACCCCAACTGGCCATTCACTGAAGTCCTTGGATCTGGTGACCATGAAAAAGCTGGACAGCAAAGTAAGTATCCCCACATCATCACAAGTATTGGCTCTTATTTTTGTCTACCTGTCTTCCTTCTTCCTTATTATCAATCTTAATGATGTGCTTGGTTGAGAGTTTTCCTTCTGTCGTCTGAAAGCATAAATAAATGTCAGATAATTTGAACAAAAACTTTATAGAACTCTAACCCAGGGGTAGGCAACCTTGGCTCTTTTATGACTCGCGGACTTCAACCATGCTGGCTCAGGAATTCTGGGAGTTGAAGTCCACGAGTCATGAAAGAGCCAAGGTTGCCTACCCCTGTTCTAACCCTTCTTTTTATCAGAAGATCTTCTTTTCCATCTTCCCTCAGAAGAATTGTATAAACACCGTTCCCAGTTTTTATGAGACTTCATCATCTTCACTTTATTGGAATTATTTTAACCAAACTGTTGACTGTTTTTCCATTACTTTGGCAATTCAAAATGATGACGCAGCCTCAGTGATACAAGCTGCAGCCTACCGAGATGTGAACAAAATAAAGTGAGGGTGATTGTATGTGGTGACAAGTCATTATTGCTGATCTTAGAACATTTCAACAGCTAGGTGAAAAACATAGTACTGGACAAGTAGCAGAGAAATAAACCCCATGATTCAGGTTGTATGAGTTGCAGATGTTCTGATGTCGAAGCCAACAGGATATAAAACATTGCTGTGGGAGCATGTGAAGCAGCAGCCTTTTTGCAATGTGGTAGTCAAACACAGGGCCTCCTCAGAACACTTGTAATTGCCAATTGTTTCCATGCTGCCTCTGTTTGGGAGAACCTAGCTGACAACTAGTCATTTAATTTATTACATGGTGATCAAAGAGAAACAGACTGTCTTCTGAAGTTCATGCTGCAAGGAGAACTGAAGGCCCACTATAAAGGTCATTGATGCAAAGAGATTCATGTGAATGATGATGATGAGTGGCCTCTTAAAAGGTAAAGGAAAGAAAGAAGCAAAATAAACCAGTGCTATTTCTAAATAGTAGCAGCAGCATCTAATCTGCTAAAAAATGCTGAGGAGGTTCCTCATCTGAGGGCAGTGATGGCGAACCATTTGGGCTTGGCATATCAAAAATTAAAAAGAAGCGCCTACCTTGATTCTGCTGGCATGTCGCACACAAACACACATAGATGGACAAAAGAGAAACAATAACAAAGAGAAGGGAATTATACAAATTTACTATTTAATAATTAAATACATAATTGTAAATGCTTTTTTGAAATTCCTATCTGAGGCAGCTCAGGATTGCAGGCAACCTGGAAATTGGAAAAGGCTCTTGCATGTCCTTGTACCTTTAAAAGGAGCAGGAAAGCATGCCCTGTTCTCACATGATTTTGAGAGGCTCCAGAAGGTATGTGAGAACAGAGTCCTCTTGTGCAACTTTCAGAGGGAGGCCTGACATGTCACCAAAAATGACAGTCAGTGTTGCCTGTGACACACATGTCATAGGATCACCATCACTGTCCTAGGACAACCAGGTACGGATTTTAAATATTTAACCATATGATGTCAGCAAATAGGTGAAGAAGCCCTTTAACTCTTTGCTGTCATCTAGCGGTCTGGATTTTAAGCAGTGTTACTTCAAAACAGAATAACATAGTTGGAAAGGACCTTGGATGCGGCCTATAGCATTTCAGAGAAATGGCTGTCCAATGTCTTCTTTAAAAACCTCTAGTGACGGAGCACTCACAACTTCTGGAGTCAAGGCAGAAGTTCATTCACTGTAGATTTTGTTACCTAATATGCTATTGATTTTGCAGTTGGGTTGCATGCTGGATGTGTAGATGTTGACCAGTGCATTTGTATGTGGCTGTAGCTTTCTGGACATGATTATTTCCTTACCCTTGGACATGGTTGTAATTGAAAATTTTCATATAATATGAAATTCTCCTGTCACTGGATAAGCATTAACAACTCTCAGGTTCTACTCGGGTCATAAAAATTTCTTCAGATATTTTAAAAGATTTTCTGCTGAAGAGGAGAAGAGCACAATTTTAATCCTTATTTTGCTTAATCCTGATATGGATTACAGAGAAAAATCCCATAAACCTCTTTTCCATAGATATAATGGGCCCCAAGGTTTGTCTCTAGGTGAACCTTGGGCTGTTTTTTGGTCTATCCTTTTTTTCTGTGCTTTAATTCTGGGGACTGGTGAGGAAGGAAATGCGTTTAAATAATTAATCTTGCATCAAAACATCAGGTCAGAAAACTAGGGATGTGAATCTCTACCACAAAACCTCTATTATATTTGGCTCTTCCTTATTTCTGTCCAGCTCAAGGAGTGTGAGTACTCTCCCAAATAATAAACTGCTCTTTTCTTAATGAGGCAACTATTATCTCAGATTTGGTTTCTTTGAAGAATCTTCTATGATAGCGAAGAAATAAAGAAATTTAGGGGAAAGATTGAAAAATGAAAATATTTTACTTATAGTTAAGTAGAAATTTCTTTCCTACTTAATGTCCTTTTCCTGCCCCGATGCTGTCCTCTTCTGAGACATATGTGATTTAGATATGATATGTACTGGCTGGAGATCAGACATCTTCTCAGCAAAGATATATATTTTAGTAAGCATCTGACATTGCTTTCCAATGGGGACAAATGCTCAACAGTTCGGCAGAGTCAGCAGGATGATGTCAAACTTGGGTAGACTGTCTGGATTTTCTATGGTATTAAGGAATCTTGTTTACAAGTGTGACTTCATCAGTAAGTGACCTTTTTAACCAGCTTGCTCTTCCATTGTACATTTGTGTGCAGCTGAACTCATGACCAAACCAGCTGCTGCCTCCTGTATCTAATTACTTCCAGACAGCCAAAAAGTCATATTCAAAACTGAATTCTTAAGCTCAATAATAGGTGGTTGGAATTGCAGTTGAAAAAAAATAGTCAAGCAAACTGAACCACCTCTAGCTGTTCCTAAGGAACCAGCCTATCCTGCTTTGCTGTTAAAATTGAGCTCATGTATATATAGAACAGTAAAGCATAGCACCAATTACTTGCCTCTTTAGGACTTTTGTGACTGACTCTTGTTAAATAAGAATAAAATGGTGTGCATCTTTTTTCTAAGTCCAGGCTTGATTTTTCCTGGTGATATTTCCAGAGGTCAGGATTTAGACTCTAAACTCAAGAAATACTGTAAAGTTGAAAACTACAACTACAAGATGTCACGAGACTTCAAACTGATGCATATTTTATTTGCTAGGAGATCTCCAGCAAATTGTATGATAAAAACTTACCCAATTTGCTCTGATTTTTTTTTTTTTTTGAGTAGTTGAATTGCAAATAGTGTCCCCTTTTGGATCCGAAACCAAATATTAGTTTGCTCTATAGCAAACTGCTATTTGACAAAAGTAACTCCAGAGCCTCTGCAGATTCACATAACTTATTTATATATAGGGTTTTTTTGTATTCTAGTCAGCGATGGTAATTTCCTCACTGTAGAAAGAGAAAGAACAAGATGTGGGTGTCTTTCTTAAAGGCAAGCAGTATGATCCAGCTACTGAGAAAATGATTATTATCTTGGAGTACATTAACAAGAACATAAAGTCTGGGTCATGAAAAGTAATTCTTCCCAGCTCTTATTCTCTGTTGAGTTCTCCATATCCAGTTCTGGGCACCACAGTTCCCAAAGGACAATAACAGAATGGGACAAGTTCAGAGGAGCATGATCAAGCTGGTGAAGAGTCTGGAAAAACCAAACCCTATGACAATGGTTTAAAAAATCTGACTATATTTAGTCTACAAAAAAGAAGAGACATATGATAGCAGTTTTCAAATATTTGGAAGGCTGTCATGTAGAAAAAGAAGTGAAATTCTTCTCTGTTGCCTCAGAGAGCAGGATCAGAATCAGTGGCTTAAAAGGGAAGGTTGTTTAGTTAGATACTAGGAGGGACTTTGTGACTGCGTGAATTGTCAACCAATGGAACAAGCTGCCACATTATGTGATGAGTTCTTCTTTACCAGAGATCTTCAAAAAGCCATTGGATGATCGTAGGTCAGAAATACTGAGGTTGAGAAATACTGCTCTAGAACAGTGGTTCTCAACCTTTTTAATGCCGCGACCCCCAACTGGTCGTTGAGGACTACTCAACCAGTCATAAGTCGAGGACTACTCAACAGATGCAGCACCGTTTGCAGAATGGGACTTTTGGCGGGCTCAGCAGGGCAGAGACAGCCTGGACAATTCCTATTGGCTTTGAAAGCCAATAGAATTAGACTCTATTCAAGAGAGTCTATTCTATTGGCTTTCAAAAGCCAATAGAATAAAAGGGAGTAGCACAGCTAAGGAAAAGGGGGAAAAATGGCGGACTGCGTTGTTTGGCGACCCCCATGAAATGGTCGTTCGACCCCAAATGGGGTCCCGACCCACAGGTTGAGAACCACTGCTCTAGAAGATCCTGCACTGGGCGGGGAGTTTATTCATATATACAACTTGTAGCCTTTCCAATTCCTAGCAATTGGAAATTGCTAGGAATTGGAAATTACACCTAAAACTAAAAAAAGAAAAAGACAAAGAATCATGAGCCGCCTCAGAAGGAAAATATAACCAAATAAAATCATCCAGCAGAGGCTCAACCTTCTTTCTGCTTCAAAACGTGAGAGAAGAGCTAGGCCTTTAATAATTTCCTGTATGTCATGATCATTGGAGTGATCTGAATCTCTGGAGGGATGTAATTCTAGAGTGTAAGAGCCGCAACAAAGGAATTGAATGAGGCGACTTCTATGATCTCCCAACTGTTATGAATCTGGGCACCCATCCACTGGAATTTGCTGGAGATCTTTGTGTTTTTGTTTCTGTAGCCATTAGGAAAACGATTTTCACTGTTGTGTACGTAGCCAGGTGTTCAATTTGAAGCTTAATTTCAGTGAAGTGGTGTGATTCTTTTTATAAGACTTGCTTTTAGACTTCCTGCTGGTCGATTTTTTATTTTTTTATTTTTGGAACACACAAACATTTTTCTCACTCAAAAGAATAAAACCCAAACAGACCCATTTTGTAAAACTAATTGGGAAGCTAGTGAATGAAAAGTCAAGCAATTTCCTGTGAGAAGTGTTAACACTTTTATGGTTGCCAGCTGTTTCCAAATTCTATTACTTCATAAAACTCTCCAGGATATTAACGGCAAAAGCTGAGATGCGAAACACCATATGCAGCTCGCACTTTTTGTGGAATGAAACAGGAGTTTGGCTTTTTTCAGAAAGGCTCCTCTCCAGGGTGGCCAATATATACTACAAGATATCTGGCAGATATCCAGAAGTAATCTCTTGCCAGGTGTGCATTTTACCTGTGTGAAGGGATTGGATCCACAGGCATTCCTCTCTTGGGGTCCAAATTGCCTACCCATGACATAGGTAACTTCTGTGATTGAAAATTGAGTGGGAGCCAAAAGTCAGAAAGGCTGGACTACAATTTTGCCCTTCTTTTCCATTTGTCTTCCTCCTCAGCTCAAATCCTCCATGATGTACAGGGAGTCCTTGACATATGACCCCAGTTGGGATTGGAATTAAGTGATGTCATTAAATGAATTGTCATGTGATCAGACCCGATTTTATGACCATGTTTACTGTGCTCGTTATGTGAATCACATGGTCGTTAAAGAAATCCAGCTGCCCCAATTGACTTTGCTTGTCAAAAGCTATCTGGGAAGGTTACAAGTCATGACCCAGTGGCTGTAGGCCATTGCAACTGATCTTAAATGAATCCCCCAAATTACAATCGTGACTACAGGAGAGATACAACGATCACAATATCGAGGACTGGTTGAAAATAACTTCTTTCAGTGCTGTTGTAACTCCAGAATCATCGTTAAATGAATGTTCTTAAGTTGAAGACTACATGTATTGATTATTTTCTGCACATCTGGTTCTGAAGGACCAGTTGGATATATCATTGTACAACATAATGCTATCTGCAACTTGGCAGTATTCTTCTTCTCATTCAGTGACTCATTGGACCTGCAAAGATTAGCATTAGCCAGGGGTCTTCAAACTTGGCCCTTTTATGACTTGTGGACTTCAACTCCCAGAATTCCTCAGCCAGGCACACTGGCTGAGGAATTCTGGGAGTTGAAGTCCACAAGTCATAAAAGGGCCAAGTTTGAAGACCCCTGGCATTAGCACATAGTGAAAAAGCAAGGCTAAAAGAAACATTCTTCTTAACCTTCCCTTTCAGTTTTTGGCTTTACCTTTTCAAGGATAGTATGGGCTTCCCAAGCAGATTCAAAAGAACATGGAAAAATGATGGCCTAGCATCCAGGCAGATTCCCTCCCACCTTATCATTATCCAAAATGACAGCAGAAAAGAAGAGCCAAAACAGTGGCACGTCCAAGGGAAAGGGAACAGGGAGCTAGTACAGGGGACCATGAGCAGTACCATCTGCCTGGGCAGCAGGATGTGATCCCCAGTAGATTTAACTCAAGAGAAAGACTCTGTGCCTCTCTGAAGAGATCTCTGCATCATTCTCCATATCCCTTCTGGTCCAGCAAAAGAAGATTATTGTCTCCCCAATCCTACACTGTCCTTGAAGGAGATGGGTAGTCTAGAAATAAGAAAAATTAATTAATGTTGTATTTACTGCCAAAGAAAATTATGGAAAGGTCAAGCCCAGCATTCATAAATAATGTGGTAGCTGATCCTGCAATGACCCAGGTGAGAGGAGAGCTAAAAGCAATTGGAGCCAGAATAACTCAGTGGAACTGAGTCAGTTCATTACATCTCAAAGGATGTTTAATTGAGGAGTTCTTAATCTTCATAGATCATCACTATGGAACAGCTTGCCTCCAGAAATCGTGGGTGGTCCATCGCTGGAGATTTTTAAGAAGAGTCTAGAGCAGTGGTTCTCAACCTGTGGGTCGGGACCCCATTTGGGGATCGAACGACCATTTCACGGGGGTCGCCAAACAATGCAGTCTGCCATTTTTTCCCCCTTTTCCTTAGCTGTGCTACTCCCTTTTATTCTATTGGCTTTTGAAAGCCAATAGAATAGACTCTCTTGAATAGAGTCTAATTCTATTGGCTTTCAAAAGCCAATAGGAATTGTCCAGGCTGTCTCTGCCCTGCTGAGCCCGCCAAAAGTCCCATTCTGCAAACGGTGCTGCACCAGTTGAGTAGTCCTCGTGAGTAGTTCTCGACTTACAACCGGTTGGGGGTCGCGGCATTAAAAAGGTTGAGAACCACTGGTCTAGAGTCTAGATAGTCACTTGTCTGAAATGGTATAGGTCCTCCTGCTTGAGCAGTGTGCTGGACTAGATACAGGGATCCTCAACTTTGGCAACTTTGAAGTCCACAAGTCTTAAAGTTGCCAAGGTTGGAGATCCCTGGACTAGAAGACCTCCAAGGTCCTTTCCAGCTCTATTCTATTCTATTTCATCACCATTTTCCTGTTGTTCAAGTCCAGCAGTTGTATGAAGAAGAGGGAGAAAATACCTTGTCAAAATTTCTGGCAATCACCCAAAATATTATATTTCTTGAAGCAGCCCTAGAACCTATGTCAAAGATAATTGAAGAACTGACTTAAGGATCAAGGACATGGATATGTATTCCATTCTGATATCAGATTTGTAAATATGAATTTTAGGTATGGTTAGACATTACTAAAATGAAAGATATTAACTAATTATATGTTAATACATCATACTGAGCATATCCAAAAATATTTTGCAGATCCAGGCGTGCAAATAGATTAAACTCTATGATAACATGTATTTAATCAGTTGCAGAGGATTTTTACAGGAGTTTTATTTTGTATTATTGCTCTGCTCAAGAATCAGTTAATGAAGGTGCCCTGTAGCTTTTCTGGAATTACATCTCCTATCTTGTTGGACCTTTGACTATGCAAATTGTGGCTGTTGGAAGCTCCAGGTCAGAACAACTGAAAGGACTGGGTTTGGCATGAACTTGAAATTTATTGTGGCTACAAATGCTATTTTTCTCTTTCAATTGAGTGTGGTGGGGTATTCCAAGGGGCAGCATGGTTTCCCCAAGCTTTGATTGAAACGTTCCTTTGAAGAGGTGTCCTAGATTGCAATGTCACTTTCCTTTGAAATGCTGACCCAAGTGGTCCTAAGTAATTTGATCTGGAGGTGAAGAAAGAAACTTTCTGTGCATGTTCGGCAACCTTTCTCCAATATCCAGATTGAACCATCCCATCTTTGCTTGGGAGACGGCTTACTGGTGGGGCAGTCTGGATCAAGGTAGTGCAAGATCACTCAGCAGAAGACATAGTCAGGCAGTTCCCTTGTCAGAGCTGTAAAAGACAACACTTGTCTAGACCAGCATTTCCCATCCTCAGCAACTCCCAGAACTCTAGACTGAATGAAACAAGTAGATTGTTTATCAGAGTAGGGAGATGTTTCTCTAGAGTGGACAATGTTCTTTTTAAAAACCTTGCTTCATAATCTGAGTATTTTTGCACCTGTCTCTTCTTTTGATGTGCCATCAAAAGCAATTAATATTCAGCAGCATACAAAGAGGATCTTATTTATTTTGGTTGGCCTGTGCTGCTGAATGTTTTTAAGGCCACATTTTTTTTATCAGATCTCATGCATTCCTCATATTTTCCCTGAACAGAAAATCCTAGGAATGAAATAGCTTTCAAAAGAGAATAGGAGAGATATAAATTAAGCTGCATTTATACATAACTATTTAATTCACACCTTTATTATTAAGTTAAATTTATTTTGTGTTACGAAGAATTATGAAAAAGTGTAGAGTTAATTTGCTTCAAAAATCATCTAGCCCTAACCTGTTCACAATTTTATGTACGTATTTCCTTCAACTATGAGTTATATTTAATGGATTTTTGAGGCATTTATTACTATGGTCTTTTTTATTTATATTTGCTGTTATCATACTCTTGATTTTTGTCTATTGTGCGCTACCCAGAGTTACCTTGAGTGAGATGGGCTTCTATATAAATTTGATAAACAAACAAACATATAAATGTTAAGTTTTCCTAACTGATTCAGGTCCTGTCTACCAGAACAAGAGCAAACAAATCCTTTACAAGAATTTACAGAGACAATTATATATTTTCCCAGTCATCGCTTCTGTAAGCTAAACGTATCCGATTCTTTTCACTATTTTTCCTTGCTTGGTTTCCAGTTCCTTTATATCTTGATAGCCCTTCTCTGAACTTGCTCCAGTTTGTTCACATCTTTTTTACATTCATCTCTTAGCCACTTCCATTTAATGGTTAATTCTGCCTGCACTCGTAGTTGGCATTAATTCATTCTGTAGCTAATTCAAGACTGATTACAGAAAACTCAGTTTTTTAATTATTTCTTGTTTTTTTTTACTGCTCTCCAGGTGAACATTATTCCCATCATTGCCAAAGCTGATACTATTTCCAAGAGTGAATTGCACAAATTTAAGATAAAGATAATGTCTATTGTGCGCTACCCAGAGTTACCTTGAGTGAGATGGGCTTCTATATAAATTTGATAAACAAACAAACATATAAATGTTAAGTTTTCCTAACTGATTCAGGTCCTGTCTACCAGAACAAGAGCAAACAAATCCTTTACAAGAATTTACAGAGACAATTATATATTTTCCCAGTCATCGCTTCTGTAAGCTAAACGTATCCGATTCTTTTCACTATTTTTCCTTGCTTGGTTTCCAGTTCCTTTATATCTTGATAGCCCTTCTCTGAACTTGCTCCAGTTTGTTCACATCTTTTTTACATTCATCTCTTAGCCACTTCCATTTAATGGTTAATTCTGCCTGCACTCGTAGTTGGCATTAATTCATTCTGTAGCTAATTCAAGACTGATTACAGAAAACTCAGTTTTTTAATTATTTCTTGTTTTTTTTTACTGCTCTCCAGGTGAACATTATTCCCATCATTGCCAAAGCTGATACTATTTCCAAGAGTGAATTGCACAAATTTAAGATAAAGATAATGAGCGAACTGGTCAGTAATGGAGTTCAGATTTATCAGTTCCCTACTGATGATGATGCTGTATCTGAGATTAATTCTGTGATGAATGTAAGTAGCACAGTTTTTTCTGCAGACTTGTTATGTTTCTGTATTTATAGCAGTGACGCTGAGAAACTGTATGTTGTATTAGCTGGTGAATGCCATTATAATAGCGTTTATTCCTTCCATTTCTTAAGCCAAACCAACCCAATGATTTGGTGTGGAATATAATCCTCCTCCCTTGATACATTTCATGTTCAATGTATGTTTAGAATGGAATCTGGATTTGTTATGCACTCTGGAAAGTCAATATGTGGTCCTTCTTTACATTCGTGGATAAATTTTAGATTGAGAATACTGAAATAATTTTGACATATATTGTGTTAAAGCAAAACATCAGTCAGATTGATGAACATAACTACTCTATTTCAGAGAAGGGAAGAGGAGGGGAAAGAAAAATGATATTGTATCTGCCATCTAAGGGAGCAAAATATTTCTAATTCTTTTTTAATTTGTTATTACATCTGTATCTTGTCTTTGCTTTGCACAACTCATACATAATGCTCCCACCAGCTATTTCTCTCAGTAACAATCCTGTGAAGTGGTTTATGCTAGAAGTCATGGTCTCCCCATTTCTAATCCAGCACTTTAGCTTCTATGCCAAATTGACTCTCCCCCACCCTGTTTATTAATCTATTACATTAAACCCCACTTAGCTTGGGATTCAAATTTCCTGCAATAATCCCATGAGGAGTAAATTGTGCTAAGAGAAAAGAAATGCAACACAAAAGTAAATTCAAATAGATGAGATAACACAAGCATAAAAAAAGATAAAATACCAAATAAAAATATGTTGTACTATACAGTACTGTAATTACCTCTGCAAGTGTAAATATATATTACTTAAAACAAGATAGCTAACATGTTAAACTTGATGTGATTAATAAAACAAAGGTGGTTACTTCTGTGAGCAGGCGTATCTTATTTTCATCACTGCAGTACAGAATTTGGTATTGCGCAAGTGATAAAGGGTTTCAAATTTTCTAGAACAGACGTGTCAAACACAAGGCCCAGGGGCCAGATGCAGCCCACGATGTGGTTTCATGTGGCCCGCAAAGCCATCCTGGAAACAGTGAGGGAATGGCCCCCTCTGCCTTGGCCCTGGCCCAGGCCAGCGAAGAGCCAATGTACAATTTTGTGGTGGCCATCTATGCTGAAACACATTCAGTCTTAACTCCACAAGGCCATCTGGAAACAGCAAGGGACCGGCCCCTGCCGCGTCGGCCCCGCCCCTTGGGTGCATGCTGGGGAGGTGTCACCCTTTGTGAGGAATGAAGAAATGCACCATTACCTGGAAGTGGCCAGCAAATGACCCTTGCCTACTTCACATATCAGGCTTGATGGGCTCTGGGGGAGGGGTTTCAGCAGGGTCTTCCAGTGGACTATGCCTTGGCGCTTGCCCTGGTCCCACCCCCTTCTGCCAGAGACCCTCAGATCTGTCCCACTCCTGCCCAGGCCCCCACAGGCACCCTTGACATGAATGATGTAGAGCTGGCCATGCCCACCCAGTAGGCCACACCCACTGCAGTCACACCCACCCAGTAGGCTGCACCCACCCTGGCCACACCTACCCCCCCCCCCAAGGACAACAGCAATGCTGATGCGGCCCTCAATGAAATTGAGCTTGACACCCCTGTTCTAGAAGATGGTTCATACAGAAATTGTCTGACCTTCCATATATTAGGGGAAGATATACTACGACCTAGTATCCCCTATAGAAATTACCTTGTAGAAATGAGAAAATGATTGTCCCTAGCTTAATCTGACAATATGCTATGTGGCAGAAAAATCTCCTGGCTATTCTGCTACTTTAGCTATTCCTGCAAGTAACTAGAATAGCAAACTCTTGTTTAGTATACCATAATGATTTGTAAAAACAAAAGGGTTTGTTCTGTTTGGCTCATTCTTCTATCTATAATTGCTCAAAATAAACTTCTGTGTGTGAATACAGTATGCATGCAGTAAGTAAAGACTGCCAGAAATATTATTCACAAAACTGGAGGATTTAAAAATTCCATATGTGATTTTATTGCAAATTCAGCAGTAGTCTTTTTTTTATGGGCTGCAGAGTGATATTTTTTCAAAAATTAGGACTTGTTTTGTTTGTCCTGGCAATCCTGTCTTAACATCATGCTGATTCCATAGACATAAAAAAAATATTGTTTTGTATAGGAATTTCGCTTTAAAAGTAAAAAAAACACTTTTTGACAGTTTTATTGTTTTGCCCTGAATTGCATAGTTACATTTTTCCTCAAAGGCTCATCTACCATTTGCTGTTGTGGGAAGCACAGAAGAAGTAAAAGTGGGAAATAAAATGGTGAGAGCTCGGCAGTATCCATGGGGTGTTGTTCAAGGTAGGTTGTAATTCCAGGCATGTTTAATAGTGGCTGAAATCCTTGCATGTTGCAGCTTGCAACATGGTTGATTGCACAGTGAGCCCGATGTGGATTTGACATTTTTATTCCCCTGTCAATTGTTATCATATTTTTATCAACCTTTTTTTATCTATTTTGGCTAACTCATATGTAAGTGTACATTTGTGTGTATTATATCTGAATAAAAGAATAGTGCCTACTCTAGATATTAAAAGGAATAGGCTTATTAAAACATAATTTTGGGATGCTGGTGAGTGTCATGGTCGTGAAACAATCATTCAGAAAGACCACTTCACTAGCACTTTTGTTGTTGCTGCTGATGTTTCCTTAAGTGTTATTTTTATAAATTGGATTTGGCTCTGCATACATTTTAATATTTAATAGATTATTTATTCTCTTGCCACTGTTTCTATTACACTTTCATTTTGCCATTACAAGCTTTGATTGTTTAACTATCCTAAACTTTTTTATTTATTTGAGTTTTATCCTACCTTCATTACTTTTTAAGTAACTCAAGCTGGCGAAGATAGCTAGTGCTTCTTCGTCCTCCTATTTTCCCCACAACAACAACCCCTGTGTGGTAGGTTGGTCCGACAAAGAATGACTGGTACAAAGTCACCCAGTTGGTTTTCATGCCTGAGGCGAGACTAGAACTCACAATCTCCTGGTTTCTAGGTTACCACATTAACCGGTGTACCCAAACTAGTATCTGTGGAAAGGCATACAAATGTTTGAACACATTAAGTAAAAAGAGGGAAAGGGTGTAATGGTTTAATAACACTGATACACAATTTGATTTAATATTTGTAAGTGGCTCTGAAAAGTAACTTCCAGTATCCTATGAATAATAAGATAGATAAGATAAGATAACCTTTATTGTCATTTTTTTACTGTAGGCACAACGGCACACATCAAAAATGAAATTTAGTTGCCCGCTCTCAAAGTGAAACCCATACATGACACACACCTAAAACATACTATGTAGAACATATGTATATCTATACCCACACCCCTACATATACGTAGCAAATAAATATTAAATTCTGTCCATCTTGAATATATAACGGAAGGAGGAAGCTTGAGAGTTCACAAGGTTAATGCTGTATGGAATGAACCTATGGCTGAATCTGGATACGATTTCAAAAAGGATTTGGAGCAAATGCTGAATAAATAAATCCGTCTCTGCTACTCAGTAAAGCAGAGATGTCATGTTTCAGGCTTCCACCTGACTGCTTTAATGATTCAGAGAGAGTTGCCTTGTTGGTGTTCCCACACATTGCAAAGCACCTCTTTCAACACAGCTGCAAGGGAGTGAGCCCTTTTGAAGTGAGGGTGATGAATTTCTGAGCCAAATATACATCAGAGTCTGCAGTCTATCATCGTTCCTAATTTCCCTATTCTGACACATTTAGAGGATGCTGTTTTTATACAAATGCTGCATTAATCCTGAAAGAGGTGTGTGTATGTTTGTTCACACATGTACGCATCTGCAGATGCTTACCTCTGTGTGAATCAGTCATTTTCTCCAATAATGTTTTCACATCTGCACTTTGTTTTAAATAGTTGAAAATGAAAGCCACTGTGACTTTATGAAACTGCGGGAAATGCTGATCCGGGTCAATATGGAAGACTTGCGAGAGCAAACGCATGCTCGCCATTATGAGCTTTATAGACGTTGTAAGCTAGAAGAAATGGGTTTTAAGGACACAGATCCTGACAGCCAGCCATTCAGGTAAGAAAGCCTTACTTTTCTTCTTTCCTTTTTTCCCATTAATATCCTGCAAGGAGTGGTGAAAACTGGATGTTCTCTTGAGGTCTGTAGGGGTTTTACTCTCAGAGTGCCGTTGGCATGCTCTCTCTTCATGTTTTCTCTCTGTTGGTGTTCTCCCCTTTCGGACTCATGCAAATTTTTCAAGGGGGGGGGGTATAAAAAGATGCATTTTTAGACGTATGTGACCTGGAATAGTATGTTACGCCTTTCTTTTAATGTCTGGACAATTTGGAACTTGTGTTTTCCACCAGCCTTCAAGAAACGTATGAGACCAAAAGAAAAGAGTTCCTTTGCGAATTGCAAAAAAAAGAGGAGGAAATGAGACAAATGTTTGTGAACAAGGTCAAGGAGACGGAGTCTGAACTGAAAGAAAAGGAGAGAGAAGTGAGTAGGGCAGAGACAATGACTCTAGGAGACAAATTGCTACATCAGATAGGGCTGAGATTTTCTTTTTGTTTTGCCTGTACTGATCAAATGCTCTAAAAAGGGAATCTCCAGATTCTTCTATATCAGTGGTTCTCAACCTGTGGGTCGGGACCCCATTTGGGGTCGAACGACCATTTCATGGGGGTCGCCAAACAACGCAGTCCACCATTTTTCCCCCTTTTCCTTAGCTGTGCTACTCCCTTTTATTCTATTGGCTTTTGAAAGCCAATAGAATAGACTCTCTTGAATAGAGTCTAATTCTATTGGCTTTCAAAAGCCAATAGGAATTGTCCAGGCTGTCTCTGCCCTGCTGAGCCCGCCAAAAGTCCCATTCTGCAAACGGTGCTGCACCAGTTGAGTAGTCCTCGACTTACGACTGGTTGAGTAGTCCTCGATTTACAACCAGTTGGGGGTCGCGGCATTAAAAAGGTTGAGAACCACTGTTCTATATTAAACAGGTTAAACTGGCCTAATATTCTCTTTCCCCTGGTAGATCATTAAATCCCTCTGGAAATTTAGCATTAGGACACAAAACACTTATATGCAAGCGTGGGTCTGCATATGTTTATAAGCCAATGCTTGTACGAAGATGTTGGTTATTTATTTATTAAATTTGTTTGCCACCCATCTCACTGTGGATGTTAAATGCCATTTCTTTAACTTATTTGATTTTGTTTTGTTTCAACAATCTGGAACTACGTAAGACGTAAAAGTTGGAAGACTAATTTTCCCGGGAGAAGGGTAACATAATTGTTATGTTTTAAAATTGATGGTATCATAGAAGGTTGTCACTTCCCATGAACCTGCTTATTTTACAGTAATGGAATTGCCCATGTATCAATCAGTAAACTGGTAGAATTCAATCAATTACTGATTGCTACATGCAGCAAGTCATTTATTTAAAACAAAGGGAACTAGAACTTTTTGTTTCCTCTACATCAGGGGTTCTCAACCTTGGCAACTTTAAGACTTGTGGACTTCAACTCCCAGAGAGAGTTGAAGTCCACAAGTCTTAAAGTTGCCAAGGTTGAGAGCCTCTGCTCTACATCAGTCAAACATGATGTACTTTAGCAGTATAAAAAACTGCTACAAACCTGATCACACTACAGAATGCTTACATACATTCTCAAAGAAATAATCCCTCTAATTAAGAAAAAGGGAGTGTATAATTGCAGAAAAATGATATTTTAAGAAAGGATTACCTTGAATTGTAAAAGGAACTTTGTACAGAAGATGTGGAACCCTCTGTTTTGAGTTGTCATGAAGTTTCCATAAAGAGGCTTTAAGCATATAAATCTGAGCCCAAAGGCAATACCCATGATGCATTTATCTTGCCTGAAAAACAGAATAACAAAGTTGGAAGGGACCTTGGAGGTCTTCTAGTCCAAACCCCTGCTCAAGCAGGAGACCCTATACCATTCCAAACAAGTGGCTGTCCAAAATCCTCCAATGATGGAGCACTTCTGAAGACAAGCTGTTCCACTGATTAATTGTTCTCACTGTTAGGAAATTTCTCCTTAGTTCTAGGTTGCTTCTCTCCTTGATTAATTTCCATCCGTTGTTTCTTGACTTGCTTTCTGGTGCTTTGGAGAATAGCTTGACTCCCTCTTCTTTGTGGCAACCTTCAGATATTAAACACTGCTATCATGCCACCCCCAGTCCTCCTTTTCAGTAGACTAGACAAATCCAATTTCTGCCACCACTCTTCATATGTTTTAGCCTCCAGTCCCCTAATCATCTTTGGTGTTCTTCTCTGCACTCTTTCTAGCGTCTCTACATCTTATAATATGATGACCAAAACTGGATGCAGTATTCTAAGTGTGGTCTTACTAAGACTTCATAAAGCAGTACTAATATTTCACATACTCTATTAATGCAGCCTAGGATTAGCATAGAATCATACAAGTCTTAAGAGCTAAAATGGGCACTTGTGTCCAGGGCTGTACTGTTAATTTTCTTTGGTCCATAAGCCAAAGTAATACTATTCATAAATAGTAATGTGGTGGTGCTGGAGATGGTGTTGGAGGAGGAGGAGGAGTCAGGAACACTTTTTTTGCCCAATTTATGAGGTTGGAGGATTTTTATGGGAGAAAGCTTAAGAATCCTTAGGGTTAAATAGGAACCCTGTTAAATGTTTGTAAATTTGCTATGTAACTGAAACATCCTACATGACTACAGTATTCCACATATATATGTTTCTTACATAGCGTATCCTCTGACATGATGTGTAATGAATACTCTGGAGTAATCTGCCTCGTTAGAAGACATTTTTGCAGGCCAGAATTGGTTTTACTGCCAGGCAGAACCTGGATTAGATTTCTTTTCTTTTCTCCCATCAGCTGCATGAGAAGTTTGAACATCTCAAGCGAATACATCAGGAAGAAAAGAGGAAAGTGGAGGAGAAAAGAAGAGAGCTTGAGGAAGAGATGAACGCCTTCAACAGGCGGAAGGTGGCAGTTGAAACGTTACAGTGTCAGAACCTGCAAGCCACTTCACAGCAGCCACTGAAGAAAGACAAAGACAAGAAAAAGTAAGCCACTTTATGTACCTCTTCCAAGATATTCACAGCTGATCATATATAAAAATGTTGCAACGGTTATTTGCAACAGTTTTACAAATAATTTGCAGTAGTATTGTTGCAACAAATTATTTGCCACAATAAATAACAGTCAGTTATTTAAACAAAGCAAAACCTAAGATTAAATTACAGATTTAGAACTCTTTCAAATCCTAGTAGGATAAGCCAAAGGAATACCTTTTAAAGAAATTAGAAAGAGACAGAGTGATTCTTAGATCTGAGAAGATGATTTAACTGATGCTTGATTATCCTGATTCCTGCAAGGAATTCTGGGTCTGCTAGCCCCCATGGAAGTCAATGAAGGTTTTTTTCTTTTGTTGTTGGGTTCTGCGATCTTTGATATTTAAGCAGTACCAGAAGCACATGATCTGGACATCAGAAGAACAAAAAGAGGTGTTGCAGCCATGGTGGCGCAGTGGTTAGAGTGCAGTACTGCAGGTTACTTTTGCTGACTGCCAGCTGTCAGCAGTTGGGCAGTTTGAATCTCAGCAGGCTCAAAGTTGACTCAGCCTTCCAAACTTCCAAGGTCAGAAAAATTAGGACCCAGATTGTTGGGGAAAATATGCTGACTCTGTGAACCGCTTAGAGAGGGCTGTAAAGCACTGTGAAGTGGTATATAAGTCTAAGTGTTATTGCTATTGCTACAAAGTGAAGAGCAGAAAACAATGAATTGAGAAATAGAAGCATTTAGTGTATAATAATAATAGTAGTGGTAATAATAATAATAATAATAATAATAATAATAATAAGAAGAAGAAGAAGAAGAAGAAGAAGAAGAAGAAGAAGAAGAAGTTGGAAGGGACCTTGAAGATCATCTAGTCCAACCCCCTGCTCAGGTGGGAAACCCTATACCATTTCAGACAAATGGCTGTCCACTCTTTTCTTAATAACTTCCAGTGTTGGAGCATTCACAACTTCTGGAGGCAGGTTGTTCCATTGGTTAATTGTTCTAACTGTCAGGAAGTTTCTCCTTAGTTCTAGGTTGCTTCTCTCCTTGCTTAGTTTCCGCCCGTTGCTTCTCGTCCTGCCTTCAGGCGCCTTGGAAAATAGCTTGACTCCCTCTTCTTTGTGGCAGCCCCTGAGATATTGGAACACTGCTATCATGTCCCCCCTCGTATACATGAGTACTTAACTTTAGAGTATGATTTATGTTCCATAAATATACACTTATCCTTCTCCGTGTTGGTATATTAATCATGTACTCTGTATTTGGAACAAAAAATGTGATCCTTGGACCATCTAAACTTATTTGCTGATAGCAGCTGTTCAGGTTTTCATGCAGAGACCTTTCCTGATGATGTTGCTCAAGATCCTTTCAGTTAAACATGCTGGATATCTGCTCTGTGAAAAATAAAAGCCAGTAAACATGAAAATTGTTAAGTTGGATCCAATATCAGACATATTCTTTAAACATCTGCTGCTTGGATAGAGAATTATCCTCTGTTAATTGCAGGATTTGAATGACCTATAGCAAAACCTTCTCCATGTTCAGATTCTGTGGATGTCTCAATAATGTTGAAGCTGTATTATCCTCTTGTAAAGCAATCCCAACCAGTGGCCATACCACATTTTCTATTGCCTACATTCCATAAGATACATTTTCAATATTTGCATTAATTCCTATTGCTTGTGCTGAATCAAAAACTAAAAGCAAAATGTGTTTTTCCAGCGTTTGTTCTTTGATGTAACTTCAGGTAAAAATGAAAGAGATTTAGAATATTTAAAGATACTTGTACTATTTCTAGTAGATCAGGTCTTGAATTAAGAGATCTACATTTTACTTTTAATAAGCATTCAAAGATGAAGGAAAAGCAGAATATACACCAAAGTTTAGCGATTGTATCTCAAGTTAGCACTTTAATATACAATGGCATCATGGTTTGTATTTTCTTACCCAAGATTATTTAAAAAAAATACATTTCCCACCTTCCAAATTAAAGAATCAAGAATATTTCACATCAGGCCTCATATATGTCAATCTAATGTTTAATCAAGGTAAATTGGTTGGGTTTAATGCAATTACTGTACTTGCTTGCAGATTTTTGAGACAGGTGTAATTTGGTTGGGCATTTATGGCATCTCCCAAAGGGTCACATCATCCTTATTTTTTTCATGCTATTATGTTCTTATTATATTGAGTTCTATAGTTTAATTCATGTTCTTTTATGTTTTTGTTTCAGTTAATCTCACACATAGATTACAATGCCATGAATGGACTCTGTATATTCATATGTATGTTAATTGTTGTTTCCCCACCTTGTGAATCCTTCTGCCATCCCACTGTGTAAAGGAAGCAGCATGAGAAACTCATCACCTGCCTTTTTTCAAGAATGGATGGTGACCATGCAGGAAATTAGCATGTTTAAGAAAAAGAATGATTTGATTTGCCTTTGCAGATTCGAGGTGGAAATTCTTCACACATTTAGCTCTGAAATGTGGGGAAGGTAATTGCAGCGCAACATATTTGTTTTAAACTCTTTGAATAACCAACCCTCTGTGTATCAAATGGCCCTAAATATGTCTAGTCAATTTGTAAGATGCAATATAGCAGAGAGGTAGCAGTGTAAAAGTTACCATTGGTCACCTGTTTTGTTATAATTTTTCCAATTTATTTTGAGGGAGAGATAATCAGAATGTTACTTCTGATCAAAAAAGTTTTGAGGCAATGTTCTTAACTTTATATTGAAATAAGAAATATGAGAAAGCTTAGCATTTCTATTGGTGACTGAAATATTGTTCAAGACAAGTTTTAAGAGGGCATAAATTTGCTGTAGGATCTAGCAAGAGACATAATTCCTTTAATTAATTCTATCCTCAAATTTATTTAAATTGAAAATGGCTCCATAGTTAGTGGTAGAGCATAGACAATTATACTTTACTTTTTTTTAAAAAAAATATTCAGCATTAATCTCTACCTTTTAAAGTTGGTTCTTTTCCCTTAAGTACACCTGTGTTTTTAGCCAAGGTGCTTTTGGCTATTTTAAAATAGTGCATAATTATTGCAATTCTCAAGTACTGCAAATACTATAATTTGCTGTATATGATAGAGGTAAGGCAAAAAAAATGGAGAAAGCATTGATAGCAGAGCTTCTGAAAAAAATAGGTCAATTAAGATTAGGCCAATTAAAACGTTTTAGCGGTTTTCAAAGTTTTTCAAATCATATTTTGTGCTGATTTAAATTGTTACTTATATACAGTTTACTTTTTAAAATATGACTTGTCTCTTTTGTTACGTGCTTTGGGAAATGTACAACTGAAATGTGAGCCTGAAAAAGCTGGCTTAGTACATGACTGGCAGTTTTGGGATCCAGTTGGTCTGTTTGTTATGTATGGAGATCCAAATTAACACTGTATTCAAATGGACCTTGACAAATGCAAGATTTCCAATTATACAGTGTCTTCTGATGGAAAAATTAATTACAAACATTTCTATTATGTAAAAAAAGCTGTCAGAAAATTGAACCAAGCTTAAGTGGAGTTTATTTAACTTCACCTTACTGCCATTAAAAGATGCAAATTTTCTTTGCTAGAAAATTGATAAGAAAACCAAATGCACAGCAGCTGTTCATGCCATCCATAGAACTGGATGGAAACATGTTTTCTCTCCCTTGCCTTATAGTGTCGACCAGGGCTTTTTTTTGTCATAGAACGCCCAGAACATTGTTCTAGCACCTTTTTTGAATGGAACCTTGTAGGGTAGGCAAGGCGGGTTGTATGACGTGTGAGTTCCGGCACTGGTGTCAACTGAGCATATGTTCACAGAACTTTCTGCTTGGGAAGTGTTTTAGTTGTCCTTGTCTTTTTAAATTTCTGTCGGTGCTAGAGCATTGCCAGCATTTTTTTAATTTAAAACTAATAATTCTTCCCTTTCCAAAAGTAGAATTTAACTATATAGTTCTCCTGAGATTCTTTGTTTTGTACATTTTCTTGCAGAAGCTTCTTGCCTGGATGTTGAAATACTGTTTAGTCTTTTGTCATTTAATCCATGGCCAATGTCTGAATATATTGAAAATCATGTTACAGTATTACTTGATATTTTTAAGAGAGGAAAAAAACCTCGTGAAAAAAAAATGTAAAGGTACTTTTTAACTGCAAGCCTCTTCAAGTTATACTGTTTCAGGCTTGCATTTTAATCTTTTTTTCTTTTATAAAGGCTGTGCCTTTATTAAAATAAAATATATTTTCTAAAATGCAACTGGATAATTACTGAAGGCAAATTGCAGTGCAGAATAGATCTATTGTATTGTTATATAGATAGTAGCAGTTCTGGTACATGATTGGTTAAAGGCATAAAACAAAATTTCTTTGGGAGGCAAAATTTTCTTATGAGCCTGAAAATTAATGCATGCTAAGGAGACTACAGGGCGGTAGAATAGAATTCTATTAAATATGCAAAATGAAACAGCTTAAGAATTTTTCTAACAATTGTGAAAGCCAATTAGATCTTTTCTATGCAGAACATTTTTGGGGGAGGGGTCCAGTTGGTTTTCTGGACCTCAGTTTGATACTGTCTTGTTTTGGAAACTAATTAAGAAGGTGGGAATAATAATAAATATAAAATATGTAGAAGGCATAGCGAAATGGAAATATGTGTCTGATGAAGACATTCAGAATGTATTTAACATATTAATTATTATAATATTAGTGTTATGTGAGTGCATATTTTATGTTGTGGTGCCTGTTATTTTCATTGAAGTATGGGCCTCAATTTTGCTACCGTCTTTGTTAAACTATTTGTAATAGTCGTCCCCAGTGGAAACTAATATCCTTTTCTTGGTTGAGGTCTGATTTGGTACTTTGTATTTTTTATGGGACCAAATTGCATTTAGTAGTTTTATTCATTGTTATTTAATAAGTTGTTAGCTATTATAATGTGACACTAACCTTAAATTAAATCTTAAACTAAGCTTGAAGATTTACCTCTGTTGTGTGAAAACAGGAAAACACAACAATCTATTTCCTACATTATTTTCTATAATGTTTGACTAGTGGAGAACTGCATCTTCCATTGATTTTAATTTTCCTATATTTTCCTGTTTTTCAAAATTTGTGTAATTTAAATAATGGTTCAATACACAATGTTTTCAGAAGCAAAAGCTTTCACTTGGACAATCATACAGAATGATATTTTAAACTGTCAAGAGGAGAACCCATCAATTTCTTTTAATGAAGTGTTATGTATTGTTCTTACATTATGGTTTTAGTAGTTTTTTTAAACACTTTTCCAGCTTTCTTTGTACTTCTTTTTATTAAATATTACATTTCATTTTAAGTTCTGTGCTTTTATTTTTACACATTTCATTCAATTCTAACTTGAAAAATTATTGTAACATATTATATAAATATAATATTTGTACCCTTAAAGCTGATGTGCCTGGGGTAAAACCATATTCTCATTGATGCCAGCAATCCTGAACAATTTTTATGGTGGAATTTGGGCTTGTCTGCATTTTAAAAAGAGAAGATTTCATAATCAGGTTTCAGTTATGAAAGAAAAACACATTGTTAACCCCAAATACTTTAATTAGGAACCTAAAGATATACTACACTGGTGGAATTGCTTTAGTTGCTGGAAAATTCTGAGCTGAAGGATGCTCAAGTTGTGGAAGATAATACATAGAGATAATGGGGCAGAGAGATGTCCATTCTCAACATCCTGAAAATATATTTCTAAGATGGATAAGATAACATAAGCAATATGTGTTCTGTATGATAAAAATGTAGAATTGCACTCAAAACATAGTTTTAATAGTGGGGTTATTTTTTAAAAGAATATAATATCAATAGGTAAGGTCAACTATAATGAAAAATAACTATAATTATAGTTCTCATGAAAATGGATTGGTAAAAAAACATTGCAGTTTTTTATGCTTTTTCTTACTACAGGCCTGATTCATTGTCTGTGTCCCTTTCTTTAACCCTCAGAACAGAAATGGGAGACATGTAGAGTTGTGAACATGAGATCAATTATCCTGAACTAATATACAGATAGAATCATTAAGTGTTTAATGATTTTGCAATACTGGACCATGGTAGCAAAAGTGTATGTACCTTATAAGGAAGTAGAATAATGAATAAAACAGCAATTCCTAATCAATCTCATGGAGTCAGGGTAACTCTTAGGACTCAGCCCACCTACTGCTGCAGTGATTATATTTAATTTTGTTTTGCTGAAGTAGACTACCGTGTTTCCCCCAAAATAAGACCTAGTTAGAAAATAAGTATGATTTTTAGGACACTTGTAATATAAACTGCACCCCCAAAATAAGCCCCAGTTAATATCAGATGGACACAATTAGTACCATATTTTCCTCAAAATAAGACCTAACTGGAAAATAAGCCCTAATGCGTCTTTCGGAGCAAAAATTTATAAAACCCACTCTTATTTTCGGGGAGACACGGTATCTTAAGCAAGACATAAGTTTTAATGCATTAGGTAACTATATAATTGGATAGATATAAAAGTATTGGTAATCTGATAAAATGCTAATTAGCAAGGATAATGCATCACAGAGAGAAGGTGCATTTTTAAAATTGAGATGCAAATATATGAGATTAGTTCTAGTCCAACATTATAGGTATATGTCATTTTAGGATGAAGAATACTGTATCTCTTGCTGGTTATCTTTTTTCTTAAATGGGCATCTGCTGAATATGACCTCTGTTTTATGGGAGTACCAATGAAAGAGAACACATGTAACTCAAGATTGAACTATGGTGTTTCTCTAAGCTTGATTGTCTGCTTGCAGACCTTCCATTACCCAACTAGGTAACATCATCAGTGTGTAGGTACTTATCCATGACTTTAAGGTTTGTGTCATTGTGAAGAGATCATTGAAAGTATGTACTCTTACAGAAGTAGTTAAAGCAAACATTGCCTATAAAGCAGCTTGCTTTCTGTAGTGAAATTCTAAAAACTACATTTGGAGTAAAGAGGAACCACTTGGTTTCTATTGCGCTATTCTTATGTCATATTTTTAGTAAAAAGAACTTTGAGAAAGTTCTATCAATAAGTTTCTCATGATGAAATATATGTTTTGTGGTCAGAATCAAGGGAAAGTTGTGTTGGCTCAATTAAGGGCTACTTGAGGTGCCTTTGCCCACTAATATATACTGAAATGGGATTCTCTGTCCCTATGCATCACCTACCATATAGATCTTATTGGAGTTTATATGGTCCTGGAGGTAAGAACTTCTAAAACCCCAGTCCACTCTCCCCCCACCTTCAAAGCTATTCTCAATTCTGCATGGCAATGGCGATCTACAAACATTACAGCCTATTGACTCTCTGATTTCTTTTTATTTTATTATTGGAGTTATTGAGAGCAAGCCACTGAGCCTTTTCTCCATCTGAAGAAAATCATAATGCTGACATTTGAACAAGCAGCAGGGATATTTTTACAGAGTGTGTTTTCTTGCAGTATGTTTGATATAATTAAGTGAGCCTGAAATCTAAATAATCTTTCTTGTTCTTTCTGTAGCTTCTTTAGTCTTCCCAGTTCGTGCTCCATTACATCAGGAAGATATGTAAATTAGAAGATTTATTAAGGCCAAAACATCTCATGCAGAAGAGTTTTAATTGGTGCTTCTACTTTTTTAATGCTTGAAATGTATTCACAGAAGAGATTCTAAAGGAAGGAATGGTTTGGACGGCACTGCCGAATCAGGTTCCTTGATTAAGTAGAAACTGATCATTCAGTTATAAATGTTTAATTCAGGCTAAATGCATGGCATGTACTAAAATAAATAAATAAAACTAATTTTCCTATGTGGAGAAAGAAAGCCCAACAAAGTTTCCCAATGACAGACTGAACACACTGAGAAAGTATTCAGAATGAATTTGATGTTTTAGCTGTTGTTTTATTTCTACTATAAACAGAGATTTGATGTGTTTAGTTATAAAGTGGATCCATTAAAAATGTCTTTAGTTGTAATGGATCAATTTTTTTTAAACATAATTTAGAAGCCCTACATGAGAAAAGCCCCACCTTTTTTAAAAAAAATCTAATAATGTCAGCGTGTTTCAAACTGGGGCATCAAAGATCATTTTAAATTATCTCTAACCTTTCTATGGAATTCTAGCATCTCTTAGCACTAACTTTGCAGAAATTCCCCCTTATGTCTGTATAATGAGACATTTTGTATGAAAGGAAAATAACTCATTAAATTTCTGTGCCCAACTTGATAGAGGAACATTCCCATTCTTGTCTCTTTAGATCATTTTTGTCTTCTCCCTCTCTCTATGTGCATCTGTTTTTTTATTTAATACCTCAATGCCCAACCCCTTTTCTGTCTCCAAATAATAAATTAAAACTTCTCATGAACCATTTTTAAAGGACAACTAAATGGGAGAGGTGGAGAAATTCCATGATTAATAGGCTTTTTGTTAAGATCTTGAAATAAGACAACAAGAAAACCCTCTACAGATCCCTTCCTTTAGCAAAAGGGATGTTTATGCGTAGCCCAAATGCAGAGATCCTAACCTGTTCTGGCATAAAGGGTTCTAATGTGGGAAGCCAAATACATCGAGGTTGAGTTACAAAATAAATTTACATTTGGTCCTTCAGTTTGCCAGCTCACTGAAGACAGTTGGGGTGAGGCAGAAACCTGAAGTGGAGTGTAGAAGGACTCTCCATTAAGACATTATTTGGGAGAAGAGTTCTGTAAATTAGGGCAATATATCCAAACTGACCTATGGATGAAATGCAACAACTGCTATGAAGTTAGTGTCCTTCATTGTTTTGAAGTACACAGCAATGCCTGTACTTTCAGGAAACTGGCCAGGGACCCCTCAGGACGAGCAGGAGTAATCTGAATCAGAAGGACCCTGTTGCTACATTTGGAAGAAAGCAAAGTGGCCATGCACATTTTTATCTCAAGATACCACATCAGAACATTAAGCTGAATGGAAGAGAGACTGAAATCATTAAATCCCAAAGCTGAAGGGATTTTATTATAGCAGCGGCAGTCATTGGCTACTTTGGTGAAATTTGCTAAAAATGAACAATGTGTGCTATCTCTCCTCTTCACTCCCCAATTTGCTGATTAAGTGCAGAAGTATCTGTTTGAAAGACAGAATAGCATTCAGCATCTTTGGCCACAAGAACTGTCTCTTGATCAACCCAGCTAAGAAATGCATTTTCATTTTTTTTTTTTTTTTTGAAGTTTCTAGCCTCCTCAGACATCTAAAAATTTGGAGGACTGTGACTGTGAAACATCTAGGGATACTATTTTCATGTCATCTTGGAATTTATGAACCTCTAGTTACTACTGTTTTCTGCCTTTCACATTTATGGCAAGATAGAAGGACACAAACAATGGCCCCAGAAGATTTTACAAACAGAAAAGAAACCACTGAGTTCCGATTGAAAGCAAAGAAAATGCTGCTTTTGGCATAGCCATGACGTGCAGCCAGCTAAAATTTTCTTCAAGTGAGTCCCCTTTGGGGATCTGTTGATTAGGTCTTGAAATGGCAGAAATAGTTTCAGAGACAATATTTGGATTCAGTTAAAGCAGTCCCATGGTATAACTTGCATTCCCATATTGCAACAAGATACAGACGTGGTCTGCCTCCCGCAATAACTTTTAAAAAAATCTTCATTACTCTGAACTCTGATTCCTGGAATGAAATATCTTATATTCATTTCTTCATTTATGGAAAACAAAACTAAAGGAATTTTCTTCCGCTAAAGTCCTACATAACATCCAAAATATGTTGGATATTTGTAGAATTATATTCTATCAGGAAAAAAAAAGTTTAATACCAAGTGTTCAAGCTTAGCCAAATGCTGCAGATGTTCACATGTTAGTTGGTCGTTAAATAATGTCCTCATGAGAGCTACTGAAAACTGTTGCATCTAAGGGACGTACATGACTGGATAGCATTAATTTCCCCTAGAACACTGTACACCGCCCTGATAGTTATAATGTTTTCATGGCAATTTATTTGCTCCTTTTCACATCCTTTTCCCAAACCTTGAACTGTCTGATTTCCCACATGCTGTAGAAGTACACAGAATATGCTTCATTCTATAAGAAAGTGTGCATTGTGTAGGTATAGTTTGCAAACCGAAGGAAGTTTCAGAAATTTGGTTGCTGAGATCATAGCCCATTAAATGCATGCCTGTTCAAAGGTTAGGATCTGTTGAGTTCGAGGCATATTTCAGATAAGAATCTATACAACTGCAATGTCTTCAATGCACTAGCTTGTTTTCTATTTGCAAAAGTCACAAGAACTATGCCTTATTTCCAAGAGAAAAAACAAAATCAAGAAAGGATAAATTAGATCTAAGATTTTAAATTAGATTTTATTGAACAAAAACACCCACTTTAAAAAAAAAGAGAGAGAGAGAGAGAGACACCTTCCTCTAGATAGGCGATATTAAAAATATAAAAAGTCACAGTTTACATGGTACTTTTGCTCCTATAATTTGAAAAGAAAGTCAAGACTTTTTCCAAAATGACCCTTAGGAGACATCAAAGCATATGAAAAATAGTAGATTTTACATTTTAATACATTGCATAACTTAAACTCCTCTGTCCCTTATTGTATCAGCAATGTTCATATATAAGTGGTCCTCATACTTAAGCCTGGAATTACGGTGGTAAGTTTTGCTGGTTGTTAAACAGTTCATCGTGTGACTGACCTGATACTGCAACATTTTTTGTGGTGGTTATTAACTAAATCACTATGGTTGTTAAGGGAACCATTGTCCACAATGGGCATTTTTGCTGGAAACCAGAAATAAACACTAGTTTCAGGCAAAAAAAAAAAAAGTTAAATGCAATCGTATGCCCAAATTGTGATCACATGACTGCAGAGGGGGGGCAGTCATCCAAGTGGTAAATATCTTTTTTTTTTTTTTTTGGTCCATCGTAACTTTGGTCACTAAGCTACCAGTTGTAAGTCAAGTACTGCTTGTACTATGAATCTGGCAAGGGACTATTTTGAGTTCTTGAGCACACACAAGAACCTTCATAATGATTGGGGGAAAGACCCAGCATTCAAACTGCTGCTGCTGCTGTGATATATTCCCAAGTTATACCTTTCGCTATGCTTATTTCATTCACATGATCACCAGGTATGCAATTTGAAAATGCTGCCTAGGCCAGGTGAAAGATGCATGGAATGGAGTTCACTTTCTAAATTAATTTCTGATATAGTGAAACTAATAATAATGAACACTTGCCTATATTAACATTTGTAATGCTATAGAGTCCAATATCCACTTGGAAACAGGTAAGGAATGAGGACTTTGGGGGTTTTTTTGGGTGCGGTTTGTTTCACCTTGTTTCACAACATTCATGTGAAAAGTTCATTACATCACAGTAGCATCAGATAGAAAAAGATTCTCACAAGAAAGAATCCAACTGTTGATCCTTTTAGCCCTGACTAATGTTGCAAGTCAGGAGTTTATTCATTTGCTGGATTTAGAAGGCCATCCAACTCCTCCATAAGACTCTGGGCAATATACAGCATTGAAAGATAATTTTTTGGGGGGGCGGGGGACAGCAAATACGAAACAATAAGCTGCTTTCTCTCAAAACTCACTAGGTTTTCCTCACTGTCTTGTGTGTGCAAATCTGATCAGCTTTAAAAATATTTATTTATTTATTCATTCAGTTTATATGGCTGTCCATCTCAAGTTCGTGACTTCTGATAATAGTTTTTGAAAAAAAAAACATAAAAAGTTTTTTGATAGTGAGATGGGTGGATTATACATTTAATAAATAACATGAATAAATAAATAAATAAAAAGCAAGAAATGACAGCACACGCATAAGCCACAGTTGGGGTAAAATCAGATTCATCAAAAACTAATCAACACACCCCAACCATTGTATGCCACATATCGTGCCTCCCAGGCCTGATAACAGAACCATCTCTTTACAGCCTAAAAAAGGATGACAAAGTCAAGGCTAACCTCATCTCTGTGTGTGTGTGTGTGTGTGTGTGTGTGTGTGTGTGTGTGTGTGTGAGAGAGAGAGAGAGAGAGAGAGAGAGAGAGAGAGAGAGAGAGATATTGCTAAGGGTGGACATAATGACAATCCTGGGCCCCACCAAAGGGCACTCCCTAATAGATGGGACCCAGAGCACACCTCTTCTGCCAGACTTAATGGGAATGTGAACATAAACAGGGAGAGGTGGTTCCTCCTGGCCCAATGCCACAAATGGCTTTCTAGGTTACAAGCAGCACTATGGACTTCAACAAAGAATACTGGCAGCCAGTGCAGCTTGCAAAGCAGAAGTGCGGCATGCATTGATCAAGAAGTGATCATAAAACTGCCTGCACCACTGCATTCTGTACCAGCTGTAGCTTCGGGATGCTCTTCCAGGCAGTCCCACTAAAGTGCATTGCAAGATTGGGAATGCAGAAGCCCACCAAGACACGAGTGATTGTGAACAGGGCCTCACAGTCCAAGAAAGGCTGGGATTTGGGGGCACAGGATGGAGCTTGGGACATTCTTTTTCCCATGTTTGTTGGATCAATGTCTGTTTATATAGGGATGGAAAGCCATGGCTGTGGCATTCAGCAGTGTAAAACTAAAAAAAATAAATTGCTCACTTGTAAAGCCTATCCATCAACTGAAAATCTTTGGATCCTACTCTGAAGTGTGCTGACCATTTATTACAGTGCTACCTCATTTCAGAATATCAGTCAACAACCAGAAAAGTTACATTGCTTTCTAAGCCGCCTCTTTTCTGTACCATAATTTCACTAGCAGCTGAACTCATTTCATCTAAGTGATGGCCCAGTGGTGATTCAGATGTTTTGCCATCAAATAAATCTCTGCCTTAACAATTCAGACCTGCAGCCTTAGCTTCCGGCAAGAGAACTCATCTGCAGAAATTCAACAAATGATAGGAGAACCAAGCTAGTTTCTGAATAATAACAAACATCTTAAGGGGTTTTTTTTGGAAGATATTTTGCTTCTCATCCAAGAAGCTTCTTCAGCTCTGACTGGATGTTGGAGAATGGAAAGATTTATACCCCTGCAGACAGCTGTTCATTTGTATTCTGCAGGTGTATAAATCTTTCCATTCCCCACCACCCAGTCAGAACTGAAGAAGCTTCTTGGATGAGAAAGGTCTTCAAAGAAAAACAAGAAAGTCCAGTTGCCTCATGAAAAAGCATCTTTGGGATAACTATGACCTGGATGACTGAGAATCTCCATAGACATCAAACATCTTAAGCTATCCTAAGAAATTAGGCAAGTTCCTATTCCTCCCTGATCCATATTTTTAAGCATGAGACATCTGAGGTTTTGCCTTGTAGCTCCTCATAGTCCAAATACGTTTTTTTAGATTATATTTTTATCTAATCAAAACAAGTCTGGCCAAATAATTTAAAAAATGGAAAGCTGAAAGCTACAATATAGACAATACTTTGAATTAATACATAGCCCTCACTAATGAAATATTAGAAATAGCCCTGGCCAGTGGTGGGACTCAAATATGTGAACAACCTGTTCTCTGTGTGGATGCCATTTCCAGAAATCCATTCTGGGCCTGGGCAATAAAAATTAGCTGCCGGTTCTACCAAAGTGGTGCAAACTGGCTGAATCCCACTACTGGCCTTGGCTTTATCTAGTATTTGGTCCCTTTTTTGCTCTATGGTCATCTCTAATCGATATGAGTGGCAGGTTGTAAAGGTGGGCAAGCACTGATACTTTCCTCTTGCTCCTGAACATCGTCATTTCCCATCTCACTGTTCTGTCCAGCTTCTGAAGTCCCATCTTCATTGTACAAGTACTTGAATCCATCATAGAATTCATCAATCTGCAGGTCATCCTCATAAGCGTTGCCTCTGAGGAGTGAGGTATGCATTTCTTTCTTCTCCATGGAATAATAGCAGGGCAATCCTCCAGCCAGGTGAGTTTGGATGTTTTGATTTGCAGGGTTGAAAATGTAGACAGCATTGGGTAGCTGGAAGCCCAAAATCTGCTGATCAACAAGTTCTTTGCAGTGGATGAATTTGCTGCTATCGATCTGCCACATAATACAAATTCAATGTGATAAAACTACTTCCTTCGCATTTCCTTAATTTTTAGCTGCTATCAGTAATTTACTTTTAAAAGTCTCTCAGTTTAACTCCAGTAATTCCAGCAAGTTTGTTCTATAAAACCAATCAAGTCTATCCCTGGACTCAATGCCAACAACAAATGGGAAATCTGGATATGCTTTGGCCGAGTTCACACTTAATGTGAAATTTTTATGTCTTTTCATGTTAGAATTTTTTTTTAATGCTGTGAATGTACTATAAACCAAAATTAGGGTGAGTGCTCTGCTTTAAAGCTGCTGCTCCCTCAAGGTAAATGATGTGAGATGAATCCTGAACCAACAGAAGTATTACACAGCAGATGTGGTTTGTTTTTTAGCCACAAACTCCAATCCTTGCGTAGTGTGGCAAGAAATGCTGCATCTATCTTTTATTTTCAAATCATGGAGCAAATGCCCTCTGATGGAACAAGGCAGACAAGAAAACAAAGCCTTATCCATTATCCATAGACATCTGAGCTGGAAATGTAGCTGCACAACAATGAGAGAATCACACTTTCCCAGTTTTGGCTCTGTTTTATGAGAACTTCATGGGGCAAGAACGGGGTGAGCTCTCGTTCCTGTCCCAGCTCCTGCCCACCTAGCAATTTGAAAGCATGCAAATGCAAGTAGATTAATAGGTACCGCTTCATTGGGAAGATAACAGTGTTTCATGCACCTTTGGCCTATAGTCATGCTGACCACATGACCAGGGAAAATGTCTTCAGACAACACTGGCACCCTTGGCTAAGAAATGAAGATGAGAGTCGAACACAACTGGGCAGGGAAACTGTATTTAGCCAGTACTAAGCAGCTCAAGAGGACAGGGGAAGAGGAACATAACAGAAGGGTTTCTTTTCTGTCTTTAAGAAGTCTGTGTAATGCACACAGTAAAGCAAGTTCTGTATTAAACTATAAGGTTTGATAGCGGTGATTTTCCTAATTAACGCTATGAATTATATCATTGGCTAATATCCAAACTGGCCTCCCTAAAATTTCCTGAGACCTTGGGCATAATTACTGTTATTATTATTACTTGTTGCTTTGCTTTTGTTTTGTGGTTTTAATCCTGTGTTTGTTGCCCAGAATCACAATTGCAAGATGGGTAGCTATACAAACTGATGTAATAAAGAAGTTAAAAAATCCGACTCCTTGGTTCACTAAGCCACTACGTGGCTATAGGAAATCTGAATGGATTATAAAGCTAAACTGTGCAGCAGGCTAAAGACAGTGGTGCTAGCAAATTCTCAACTGCCAGAGCGGAGGCAATGCTCTGGTTGAGGTAAGAACATCTGGAATACCTGAAAATATGAACTAAGTGAAGCATGAGCCCATGGTTCCATATAACTGAAACTAATGATTTTAATTCATCAGAACATTAAATCCCATTAAACTAACCTGGTCTTTTGCATTTGGACAGAAACAGCATCCTAACAACTACTTGCAAGCACTCCTGAAAAGTACATTGTTTAAAACGTGCAATGTTTTCAAACAACTTGTCAGCTTGCCCTGTTTGCTTGCTTGCTTTTTGAAACGTGGTGTTGGTCTCCAACTTAAGCTGCAGAGGCCCACCTGACTCCTACCTGTGCTTTTTTTAGCAGATCGGTAATTACAGGAAACCAATCAGGAGTCAGCCTCTCCACCTCTAAGGTAATGATCACCAAGGCCAGTGTGGAACCCTTAAACTGCAACACTTGGTGGCAGGCCATGCAGTGCTGCAGCTGTTTGGTCAAGAATGCAACATGGCGGGAAGGATTCCTCTGAGGCAGCCTAGTTAGTAGTTGGGGCCACTTGGACATCACCATGGCGTGGAACTGGAGAGAAGAGAAACAATCAGTATATGATATCATTCATGTATGTATGTATGTATGTGTATATATATATATATATATATATGTACATGTATATATATATATATATATGTACATGTATACATATGTACATGTATATATATATATATGAATGTATATGTATATATGTATATATACATATATATTTATGTATGTGTGTGTGTATGTATGTGTAATATATATATATATATATATATATATATATATATATATATATATATATATATATGAATAAATGAACTTTGTACATTTTCCTATGTCATTGACCAGAAGTGCAAACTAATTCTTATTAATGGCAGGAACCTCTAAAATCTATTATAATGGTTGCACAGTCAGCCAGATGTTTAAACTGGGATTATTATCTTCCATTGTTACAATTTGTGTCGTATTTGCCAAATATTGAGATGTTTAAGCTTTCACTGAATGTAACTAATTCTGAATTCATTGCATTGTCGCAATTGGAAATTCAGAAAGTCCGAATTCTCCTTTATTTATATAAATAAGAAAATAGTAATATTCAAGCCAGCACAAAGAAATGAGGGTGGTAAAAATCACTCATACAGGAATATAAAGCTAACATCCTGGTTGGTTAGAACAGGACATTTATCCAAAATTCTCCAGGATGGGAGGGAAAAACCCTACTTGTTCATTGTAAAGGAGGAGCATTAAGACACTGTTGTATCACTTGATTTTTTTGCCTTACTATAGCACATAGTCACTTCTTAAAAGGAAGTTTTCTTTCTATAAATGTTTAAGAGTGTAAGATATGACATAAGTGCCAGATCAGAATGATCTATTTTAACTAAAATGAGGGTCAAGTGCATTTATGCAGGGTGAAAAAAAAAAGGCTGATCTGAGATGACCTATTTGTGAAATGTAGCAAAAATTTTGAAAGTTTTTTACGTACAGTATTAAGAGTCAAATAGTTAGAAATATTTTTGCAGTATGCAAAAGAAAAAAAAAAGACCTCTAGTGCAGGGCTTTTCAACCTTTTCACCCATTGTACCACTTTTAAGATATGGCAATATCCGAGTACCAACAGTCGCCTAGCAAGGTGTCAAAAACTTGATGACCAAAAAAAAAGGGAAAAAAATGATAAAGTACAGGTAGTCCTCGACTTACAACAGTTCGTTTAGTGACTGTTCGAAGTTACAATGGCACTGAAAAAAGCACCCCCAAGGCACAACCGAGCCAGACACCTGCCTGCCTGCCCGGCGGCACTCTCATTCACCTTTCCTGCTATCACTTTTCTAGGATGGTCATGTAACACCTGCCAGGTGCCAATGTACCACAGGTGGTACCCATACCACTGGTTGAAAAGCCCTGCTCTAGTGGGCAGTATGAGTATCTCTTTTAAACATCCATTTCAGTTGTCCTTTCAAAATGGGAATTTACATTCGTAAATCAAACTTAAGTGTTTGGAATAAGTAGAATGTTCACATGGAAATTCAGTATCTTTGTGGTAAAAATACACTTTGAAATACTTGCAGGTAACTGAGAATGTATCATTTGTGATGCTAACTACAATGGAACATATGTGTACTAATGTTAAAAAAAGTCAGCTTAATCTTTTAACCAACAAAAGGTTTAACGCTTACAATGTTTAAGAAATCCATTGATGTTGCTGTGTAAAGATCCCAGTGAAGTTTATCAAGTATGGTTCTTTCCATTCTCAAAATCTCAGCTGGAGAACACTTGCAATCACTCTGCGCTGCCAGCTTCTTTACTGATGGTATTATCTGTTCAAAAACAAATGGAAACATAATAAAAGAAGCTCAGTTCTTACAAAGTATCGTGTAATGGTGATGTGTGTACAATTCTCTGAAAGATGAAGAGCTGCTTTCTGGATTGTCCATGTAGTAAATGAGTAATACCTAAAGGAATTCTTCTCTGAAATCAAAACATCTGGGATGCTCAACTGTGTATTACAAGACAATATTCTCATACATTTTAATAAAAATTAATTCATCTATACCACTTCTTTATGTATGTGACTAAAACTACTGAAGTAATCTGTATTGTGAAGTGTAAAAATTAGCCTCAACTGTGTAATTGTAATCTGTATTTCATGCTTTGGCTCATAATTCATAGTGTCATATTTTCCAAGCCACTGCCGTAGTTATCTTATTTGCTTAGAAATAGACCTACTCGACACCTGTAGATACAATCTATACAAGCACAAACAAACAAGAGACACAGTTTGGTGTAGTGATTAAGGCACCAGGTTAGATAGAAACCATGAGTTTTAGTTCTACTTTAGGCACAAAGCCAGCTGTATGACCTTGGGCCCATCAGTTTCTCTCAGTCCTAGGAAAGAGGCAATGGCATTCTGAAAAACCTTGCCCCCTCCCCCCCCCCCAAAAAAATTGGATGGGCTTTTCCAGGCAGTCTTTGAGAATTGGACAAGACTAAGCGGAAGAAAAAAAATTTATCTTATTTGCTTAGAAATAGACCTTTTCTAATCAATCTATACACAGAGGTTCTCAACCTTGGCAACTTTAAGACTTGTGGACTTCAACTCCCAGAATTCCTCAGCCAGCTTTGCTGGCTGAGGAATTCTGGGAGTTGAAGTCCACAAGTCTTAAAGTTGCCAAGGTTGAGAACCCCTGAACTATACAGTATAAACAGCTCCACTTTAAAACCCTGATAATTTGAACAGTGTATATTTCTGATTTTTTTTCATGGAAGCGTTTACTAGAAACTAATACCTCATTCAGCCAATCAGAATCTGACAGGAGCCAGCCCCTCTGTGAACCATCACCACAATCATGAATAGGCAAAAGTTGTTTTGGGAAAGACACAAAAGACTGATGAATGAGCCATTCCATCAGGCCCATTTAATAATATCTTCTGCATTACTCAACTAAATCCAAACCTTTACTTATTTAAAAAGACACCTACCTCATCTTCTTCGTTGATTTTTGCTGCTAGAAGTAGACAAGCTATTGCGATGCAACGGAGGTGTTTTAACTGTGCCTAAAACAGAGAGATAAAGAATAAAGGACTGCTCTGGGCAAGGTGCTGAAAACACACACATTGTATATCCATACCTGTACGCCAAATAAGAAATCAGTATCTAGAATGTATTTTATTTATTATTGAATTTATACCATATGTTTCTGCCTTTTCCATCACTCAAGACAGTTTACAGCAATAAAAAAGATAGAGGGTAAGATGTAACATGAATAATACAAATAAAACTGAATTGTTTTCAGAAGGGCTTCTCCTGCTGATCTGTGGATCCAGGCAGATTTACAATGGAAGGAGCCATCTGTCAAAGAATCAGGCCCTTTACCATTCCCCACTTCATAGGATCTTAAAATTGTGCCTGGTGGGCAATTGGTAGCTAAAGCAGATTGTTTAGTATAGCATCATATGGTCCTTATCCAGTAGTGGGATTCAGCCGGTTCACACCACTTCAGCAGAACCTGTAGCTAATTTTTTGTTTCCAGGCCCAGAATGGACTTCCGGAAGTGACATCCACACAGAGGACTGATTGTTCAGATATTTGAATCCCACCACTGTCCTTATCCCTTGCCCTGCTAGTAGCTCAGCCACTGCATTTTGTACCAGTTGCAATTCCAGACTCTTTTCAAGAGTAAGTCTGCATAAATCTCATTGCATATTTGAGATGGATTGTAACCAAGGTACAGATAACTTTTTTTATAAACCCAGCTGACTCAGAAAAGTTTCATGCTGCAGCTGCTACCTATAAAACCAGTGACTGCTGGGGAAAAAGGAATATCTACAAGGTGTGAACTTTTTTTGGGGGGGGGCAGTCCAATCCCATTCAGGATAGACTTCAATTCAATCCAGCTTTTTTTTTTCTTGCCAGCAGCACTTCCACATAGTCCATAACTTTACCTTTTTCATGCTTTTTACAAACTGCAACATCAACAGTGAAATACTCATAGGTCATAGCATTATGGTGAAGAACCAGCCGGATCAAAGCTCAAGTCTGATCAAAGCCATGGAACCTCATTGGTTGACTTTGACCCAGTCATTCTCTCTGTCCAACCAAATTCACAGGGTTGCTTTTAGAAGGGTAAACATGAAAGCAGATCCCATGAAAGCTGGTTTGAGGGAAGCAGGGATATAAAAATCTAACAAATACATGCAGCACTTATGTACGTACAGGATTATGTTGTAAGCCTGCAATTATTTCCATACTTGGAATAAGCCTCAATGAGCTTTTTACCAAAAAGACATGCCTAGGACTGAAGATTTAATCATCTGAGATTATACGTGTAATGAGAGCTCCTTTGCAGTTCCCATTATCGACAGAAATAACTAGGAGAGTCCAGAGTTCCTTACCTTTACTGATGCCAACAACCGGTTCAGAAAGCTAACCGCCAAGGAAAAGGTTTGAAAACAAAACTGAAAGAGTGAGCTTAACTTTCCAATCCACAAAACAGTTTTGTTATAAGATAGTGGAGAAATATCGGTGCCCTAAACAGAAAAATATAATCAGCAATATAATCATTTGGAATCTCTTTGATCATAATAGGGAGGGCCTGATAAAAGTTGGGCACGTGCATTTTAAGATGCCTGAGATTTTTTCTCTATCTCACCGTAATCAGGATATGTTAATACCCGTCTCTGGAGGCTTAGGTACAGATCCTTTCCCCAGAAAAATACAATTGTATTCATAGGTGTGGTCAAGGAAAGCAAGAATAGACTATAATGTTTTTATTTATTTAATTTAAAACATGTATATATCTGCCCATCTTGTGGTGAACTCTGGGTGACTGCCAATGAACAATTAAAACCACATGAGAAAAAGCAACATAACATAAATCTATTAAAACATTAAAAAACTGGCACCAAAGTTAAACTTCCTATGTCCCAATTAAATCCTTTCGTACGCCTCACCCTATCCCAGGGCTTGAGGAAAAAGACAAACATTAAGTGCGTTATGGAAGACTAGGAGGGTAGTGGCCTGCTGAACTTCAAGGGGGTGGGTGTTGACACAGAAAAGACATCTTCCTAGTTCCAATGGGATGGCAATGTTTAAGGGGGTGCCCCCCAACCTTTTGGACACCAGGGACCGGTTCCGTGGATAGAGGTTTCCCCATGGATTGGAGGGGGCGCGGTTTCCCATGCTGCCTGCATCCCGTGGATGGGGCTTCACTTGGACCGGTGGACCAGTTTCTGGCATGCCACAATTGGGTGCCAATCTCCAGACCAGGGACCCCTGGTTTAAGGGAAGGAACTAGGACTGTGTCTAGCCTAAATGATCTGGTAGAACTGGTAGATGTCCTTAGGGAGAGATGACCCAGCAGATAACTTGTCCCTGTGTCATATAGTGCTTTAAAATAATTATCAGCATCTTGAATTGCACCTGGAAGTAAACTAGGAACCAGTGCAGCTCATGCAGCAGAATGTTACATAGGTAAAGCTAGAAGCACCTATCACTGTGTACACCACCACATTCTGGATCAGTTATAGCCTCCAGGTGGTCTTCAAGGACAGGTTTTACTCAGCTTCACTCTAGAATACAATTTATTGTAATGAAAATGATAGCAAGCTGTTGCGTGTCATTGTGAACATTGCTTGTGGGGAAAATGTGATGGCCAGTCTAGGTTTAGGGGATTCAGAGGGTAATTCTAATCTCATGTGGCTCTCAAACTTCATTCAGTACAGATCACCTTTTCACATATGAGAACATACCTTCAGTGTGAAGTTCTGGAAGACTGGTGCCTTCCAGATCTTTGCTTCTCTTGATAGAGCATATTCCAACACCAGAGCAAGATTCTGGCTCTCTGAAAGCCCAATGCACTTCATAGTAGTTAATCAATGGGCCTATTTTGGGGGGGGCAAGAACTACTATCTGGAAATTAAAAACAGCCATAAGAAAGCCTGTGATTATTTTTCTCTTAAAATAGTATTGTATGAATCTGTTTGCAAACTACAATTAGTGAACAGCTACATACCAACAAGGAGACATAGTTTTCAAGAGTATGGAACTATTTTCCTTGCATTGCTTCAAGAATGTTAGTGCATATACAGATATTTGGTTTTCAGCGCTACACATATTAAGAGGAAAGAAAAAATGCTGCCTATTACAAAGATTTGTTGACCAAATGTTGTACAAGAGAAAGCACATTCCCCACTAAATCACAAGTGGGCTTATCTTCCCAGAGTTATAATTCTAACTATATGGCAGGCTAGAAGATTTGGTATAAAGATACATTCAAGGGCTAAGAATAGAATCTAAAGGAACATCTCCAACATTATAAGCAGCAACCATTGTATAACTGAACACAATAACATTAATAATGCCACATATTTCAGACCAAACCTGAACAATATTAGGAAAAGGTTAGGCCATAAGAAAAAAATGTCCCTAGCAATTAAGTGTTTGCAATCAAACCTTTATTAAGCAATGCCTAGTTGATGCATTAATAGTAACTCATAATGAGAGTTGACTGATTTTGTCTTAGTGTAATATAGAGTATTGCAAAATCTCTGCCACTGTGTTTATGAACCATGGTTTGCATATATCAATCAATGTTGATGGTTTAATAAACCTAACTGGTATCTCAGATGTCCAATAAATAGAAAATTTAAAAACGCATAAAAATAGTTCAAGCCATATCCATTAGATTTACTGCTGAAGAAAAAAAAATTCCTCCATTATAGAGAGTTTTAACTCCATTCTTTGATGGAGAGATACAATTTCTTATACATTCTATGTATAACTCAGATCTGTTCTTACCATGTTTCTAAAGACATTAATGGACATATAATGGAAATTATATACCATATAATAACTAAAAGAGAAAAAAACATACAGTAAAAGCACAATTACTTTCCGTCCAAGGGATGCATTGCAATGTTGTACATTTCCATCTCCCTTATCTAACATCTAATAAATTCCTGAGCACAAATCTTTGTTTTCAGAGTGAAGCAACAGCAGAAAAATAGGCAAGCAGCCTGGGAAAAAACATGCATGTTCCTAATGAAGTACAAGGCCATTTCATTTGCACTCAGCTGCTTGTATTAAATAATACAACAGCGTACTATAAACTATTAAGACGTTGCTATTAGCTATTAGTTAAGACTCTTATATCACTTGCTGACTATAAGATGGAAAAATGTTCAGCTAATCCGCTGCTGACATTGCCAGCAATAATGAATGGCTCCCTGTGCTATACCAGCAATTGTTAAAGGGTAGCAAATTGCCCTCATTTTGTTTTCCATACCCTCCTCTTTTTTGGAGGCAAAAAACCCCAATGTCTCCTTTTGGGAATCTCCTTGTCACTTAGTTATCCTCTATATTCTAATACCCACTATATTTCCAAAGGATCATGTGACTCTGTTTCCTTTAGAGAAATACCACAAAGGCCTACAGAGCTCTACAGTGGAATATTTATCTGAGAGATCTGTAAATTTCTAGGTTCAAGAAGCCAATATTTATGCATGGTGTGATATTGGCAATGAAAATAAATCAGGTGTGAAGAGGAAAGAAATGACCCCAAGTTCTAAGAATATGCAACAAACAGGATTTCAAAGAGCCTGCATTCCTTATCCAGTATGTATGATGAATGCTGCAAGCACCAGTTGAATGCAGATGTATCCAGAATACATAATTAAGAATTGAGCCAGGAGATTTCCACACTACTCACTCAGACATAAGAGAGGTGATAAATCACTAATGCAAACACGGATTTTGTGCCATAAATGCTTGGGTGACTCTATTAATCTTGGCTTGCCAGAAGCTTAGCAAAGCAGCTGGGACAATCCATGCCAATGAGCAACAGTCTACTCATGCATTCCAGCTGTGAACTATGAGACTGGGGCAGTCACACAAGAGCAGGGGTCTTCAAACTTGGCAACTTTAAGACTTGTGGACTTCAACTCCCCAAATTCTGGGAGTTGCCAAGTTTGAAGACCTCTGCACAAGAGAGTTCGGGTACATATCATGTTACGTATCATGCCAAGATCACAGCTGTTTTCCTGATCTGGTATTCAGCAAAGTGGCTGGGCTGGAAGATGATACAAGTTCAAGAGTAATATTTCTAGAATTTATCAGTGAAGCCTGAGTGATAGACAAGATTGAGTTAGCATGACAGATTTCTGTCTGCTCAGTCAGTATAGTCAATAGCAAAAAGTTGTAAGTTTGACTGTCTTCAACATGGAGGATGGAGTTCCTAGCCATATTTATTTTTTACCAATCTATCGCAATATTTTGCTAAGTGCGATAAGAAAAATAACTTTTGAAGTTTCTTTCCTTTGGGGTAAGATGCGCCTTCCAATCTGTGAGTTCTGCAGGGCTTATGGGGGAAAAATAAGACTTAAATCTATTGCAGTGAGTTTTGTTTTTCCTTGCTCCTTTTTCTCTCCTCCTTTGGTCAGTTAGAAAAACCACTATGGATCTCCCTCAAGAGTAACACTGAGGCCAGGAAAAAATGATTGCTTGGGTTCAAAGTTTTTCTTACCCACTTGGTCCTTTGCAGAAAGGCCTCCCCCCCCCCAGTTCCCTAAACTAGTTTTATTCTCTGCAAGGAATTAAGGGAGAAGACAACTTCCAATGCCCTCAGGCATTGACTCCTGTATTGATGCAGCAACTTACAACCCTGATCAATTTTCTACAGTCCCGAGGAAAGAGCAGGGCGGGGCTTGTCAAGCTGACATTCAAGAGCCTGAATCCTCTTGATTCCAGGAATTTTATATTAATGAACAGGTTCCATTGCCTGAAACCACTGAAAATCTGTGGTTTAATATTGGTTGATGATGTGGTGACTAACTCAATTCCATTTTAACCACTTTCAGAGACAGTTCAGTATAGTGGTTAAGGCATCAGGCTAGAAGCTAGTTGGATGACTTTGGGCCAGTCACTTTCTCAGCCCTGGGAGGGAAGTAATGGCAAACATTATTTCCTTCTGAAAAACCTTGTCAAGAAAACTGCAAGGAGTTGCCTAGGGCAGGGTTTTTCAACAGATGGTACAAGTACCACTGGTAGTACTTTGGACTTGGCAGGTGGCACATGACCGTCCTAGACAAGTGTAGCAGGGGAGGGGAATGAGCTGAAGCAGCAGCAGTACCGCACAAGCCTGAATCAGCTGGAGCTGCAGGGCTGTCAGGGCTCTGCAGAAGCCCAAGGATCTGCACACATGGCTACATGCTGATCAGTGCTTACTGCACACCCAAAAGAGAAAAGAAGGAGGAGGGCAGAGAGAGAAGAGGATATAAAAGGAGGAAGTTTTGGCAGGAAAGAGACAGAAAAAAAGACAACAGGGAAAGAGAAGGGGACAGAGAAAGAGAGATGGAGCAACACGCAGCCTTGGAGAGGAGGAGTCAGCTGGAGCTGCACCAAAGAGAAAAGGAGGAAGAGGGGACAAGAGAGGAGAGGATATAAAAGGAGGTTTTGGTGGGAAAGAGAGAGAGAAAAAAGATGATGGAGAAAGAGAGATGGAGAAGAGGAGAGGATTCTTTGAGACAAGCAGAGGGAGAGAAGGGGATAGAACAGGGGTCTTCAAACTTGGCTCTTTTATAACTTGTGGACCTCAACTCCCAGAATTCCTCAGCCAGGCAAGACCGCTGGGATCATAGAACAATGCAAAGATTAATATCAGAGAAACAGGCATAAGTTTCCCATTAAAAGTGTGATAAGTAGGTGTCCTCAACCTATGACTACAATTGAGCCCAAAATTTATGTTGCTAAGTGAGAAATTTGTTAAATGAGTTTTGTCCCATTTTATGACTTTTCTTGCCACATTTGTTAAATGAATCACTGCAGGTTAAATTAATAACTCGCTTGTTAAGTGGATCTGGTTTCCCCATTGACTTTGCTTGTCAGAAGGATGCAAAAGAATCACATGACCCTGAAACCATCATAAATATGAATCAATTGCCAAGCGTGCAAATGTAAATCACGTGACCCTGGAGATGCAGCAACGGTCATAAGTGTGAAAAATGGTCATGTCACTTTTTTCAGTTCCATTGTTAACTTCAAACAGTCACTAACCAAACTGTTATAAGTCGGGGACTACCTGTACTTTATCACTTTTTTCCTTTTTTTGTTTGGTCATCAAGTTTTTGACACCTTGCTAGGCGACTGGTGGTACTCGGATATTGCCATATCCTAAAAGTGGTGCCATCTGTGAAAAGGTTGAAAAGCATTGGCCTAGGGCCAGGGTAGGCAACCTTGGCTCTTTTATGACTCATGGACTTCAACTCCCAGAATTCCTGAGCCAGCCATGCTGAGGAAAGGGAGAGGTTTCCAAGCTGAGCCATGCCGGCTCAGGAATTCTGGGAGTTGTCCACGAGTCATAAAAGAGCCAAGGTTGCCTACCCCTGGCCTAGGGAGTTGCCAGGGGTCAGGTATCACTTGAAGACATACAGTACACAAATACACAGCAGAGAAAAAGTTGAATGGTTTAGGATACTGAGTGCTCATTCCCCTTTTTAGTTGCTGACACTGCCTTACATGACCACTTTGGCTTGGGCTGCAGGATGTCTGGACACCTGGCTTCTGCACAGCTATCTGCCCATATCATTTGGATAGATCTTATCTGGAAACCTTATGAATACAGGTTTAGTAAAACCCATTTCCAAAACATAATTCCAACACTCTTTGAAAGAGATAGGCCTGTGTTTAAAAAGCAAGATTAGTGCTCTCTTAAGAGAATGCTAGTCAGAAGGTCAATTTAATCTGGGAGAAGAAGCCAGCTTCCACCAGCTTTCTCTTAAAAGGGCATTTATTTGCTACCAAGAAGGTCAGTTTGAGGAAAAGAAAAAAAGGAAAACGTTCTGCTGCTTGTTCTGTTACGGTGAATGAATTACAGGTTTCCCACTATTTTTGCCCTCAAAAGTTGCACCTGGCTGTACGTTTTGCTGTTTTTGTTCGTTTGGTTGTGGGGACAACAATGTCTCTTGGCCATCCAGACTCTGGATGCTTCAGAGGTGCCATTCCATTGCAGCACAAGCTGAGGACAGAGTCCCAAAGGTGATTTTTCAGGAGACAACTAGATTTTTTGTTTTTCTTTGAAGACGTTTTGCTTCTCATCCAAGAAGCTTCTCCAGCTCTGACTAGATGGTGGCATCTAGTCAGAGCTGAAGAAGCTTCCCAGATGAGAAGCAAAATGTCTTCAAAGAAAAACAAGAAAGTCTAGTTGTCTCCTGAAAAAGCACTTTTGGGACAACCATGACCTGGATGACTGAGAATCTCCATAGACACCGAGGACAGAGGTTGCTCCTTTTCAGGTATGCTCTCCGGCTTCATTGCACCCTCTTCCTCTATGCTAGACATGTCAAACGTAAGGCCCGGAGGCTGGATGCGGCCCATGAAGTGGTTTCATGTGGCCTGTGAAGCCATCCTGGAAACAGTGAGGGAACGGCCCCCGCTGCCTTGGCCCCAGCCCAGGCCAGCCGGGAGCCAATGTACAATTTTGTGGTGGCCATCTATGCTGAAATGCATTCAGTCTCCCTCTGACTTTGCCCTGGTACCCATCATGAACAATCTGGCTAAGGAGACCAAGCACAGGAGCAGCAGCCTTGAGGAGGAGGTAAGTGCAGCTGGGCACCCCCTTGGGGAAGTGGGGGTTGGGCTTGGTGCCATGGGTACTCGAGGGCCAGGCTGGGCATTTGGCCTCTGCTGCCCAGGGCTCCAGGCAGGCCGCACCACCATCCAGCCCCCCCCCCCACATGGCAATGAGGCAACAATGAGGCTCCTCCAGTGGACCATGCCTAGGGCACTTGCCCTGGTCCCACCCCCTTCTGCTAGAGACCCTCAGATCTGTCCCACTCCTACCCAGGCCCCCACAGGCACCATTGACGCAAACAATGTAGAGCTGGCCATGCCCACCCAGTAGGCCACACCCACTCCCTCCACACCCACCAGTAGGCTGCACCCACCCTGGCCACACCCACCCACCCAGCCCCCCAAGGGCAACTGCAATGCTGATGCGGCCCTCAATGAAATTGAGTTTGACACCCCAGCTCTACGCCTATTAGGCTGGGATGAATTGAGAAGGAGAAAAAACACCTAACTTTCTTTCAGTCTCACTTCCATCCTGGTGACCTGTCAGCTGGTCTACTTTTGAGCAGGAGTCCAACGGTCCTTGAGTCTGCTGTTCAAAGCATCCCACCACACTCTGTGCCTTTTCTGAGGTTCTCTTAAACAGTAGCATTGTAATAGTTTCAGTTTATTGTAATGTAACTTTATTTTTTTCATGCAGCACAGGAAACTGCTTAAGAGTGGGGGAATTACACACACAAAATCAAAATCTCTAGGCAAGTCAGCAAATCTAAATTTCTTGAATGTGGAGCTTTTGCATAATTTATTACAGTCTTTTGCAGAGCAAATGTTAATAAATATTTTATAAAATCACAATTGTATGAGTTGCAATACGATTCATGCTTGGATTTTTTCCCCGTCATTTAGTAAAGATAATAGAATAGAATAGAATAGAATAGAATAGAATAGAATAGAATAGAATAGAATAGAATAGAATAGAATAGAATAGAATAGAATAGAATCTGAAAGGGACCTTGGAGATCTTCTAGTCCAGCCCCCTGCTCAAGCAGGAGAACCTATACCGTCTCAGACAGGTGAATGTCTAGTGACATCTCTTCTTAAAAATATCCAGTGATGGAGCGCCCACGATTTCTGGAGGCAAGCTGTTCCACTAGTTAATTGTCCTCACTATCAGGAAGTTCTCTATGATCAGTTTCCAACCATTGTTTCTTGTCCTGCCTAACTATGTGATGTGAGCTGAGTGCGTGATGTCCGACGAGATACCCAAGCTGTTAAGCGTGAGAGGAGACGACAGAATACGAAAGCCAGCCGACCCCGCAAACCCAGCTACAACAACCGCAGATCTCCGCGAGCGCGCTGGGAAGAAAACAACAGGAAACAAAACACGTGACTCGAGTCATATGAGTGGCTGGTACTTTTTTAAAAAAAAAGGAAGAAGAAAAACAAGCAACAAAAGTCACGTTTGCAAAAGAGAAGAATCGGCTAAGCAGGGAGTGAGAGAAATGGATCAACTCCATCAAGGATGTCACTTCCAGGAGAGGAGCGCGGCAGGCGATCTGAAATCTCCCTCTCCTCGGACCGGCTCTTACCTAACTGGCACGACCCGGGAAGACCCTCCGTATCTTTGTTATTGTGGCTGCTCTCATCCTGGGTTGCTCGTCTCTCGGCAAAGGCTCGGTCGGCGAAAAAGGAGGAGCAGAAGGGAGCGTCTCCGGCGCTGGGGAAAGGGGGGGGGTCAAGTCAACAGTTCCTTCTTTAAGTCCCTGAACTCCTCACGGGGACGGGGGGAACCGATCCGCTGGCACGTCCCCTCCTAAGCATTAGCACCGAAGAGCAGCGGCAGCTCCGCTGTTGACAAGCGCCCTCTCCAACCGCACGAGACGGGACGGCCCTTCCGAGGGCGGGCTCAGTCCGAGTCAGGCTCCAGTTCCCTATTCGCGCAGGCCACGCCCCCTCGGAGAGATTCCGTGGGACTCTGCACGGAGCTGACAAGGTGCGGGGGGGGGGGGGGGAGGAGGAAAAGTTCCTTCTGGAATTTCCTGCTTCACCATCTCAGGTTGTTTCTGCCACAACAGGCCAACAGGAGCCTTCCCTCGGAGGGAAAAGGGAGATTCAAACCAAATAAACCAGAAGTAGCGATACAACAGATAGTCCTTGGCTTACGACAGTTTAATGACCGTTTAATGACTGCGAAGTACAATGGCACTGAAAAAAGTGACTTAGGACCGTTTTTCACACTTTACAATCATTGCGGCATCCCCTGAGATCAAAATTCAGACGCTTGGCCATTGCTTCATCTGTATGACGGCTGCAGTGTCCCAGGGATATGAGATCAGCTTTTGCAACCTTGTGATAAGCAAAATCAATAAGGAAGCCAGAGTTACCTAACAACTGTGTTACTAATTTAACAACCACGGTGATTCACTTAACAATTGTGGCAAGATAAGTCATAAAATGGGCCAAACCTCAACAAACATCTTGCTTAGCAACAGAAATTTTGGGCTCAGTTGTGGTCTTAAGTTGAGGACTATCTGCACTTGTCTGAACTCTGTCTCAGGTCTATTGAAGATGAAATGTATTTATTGCAGAAATTCATGGGGAGACAGCTCCAATAATTCTCAGTTAGTCTAGCCCTAGTGTCCCACTTATATTGTTTCTACTTAAAACATCTGGAAGCCATCGCCAGCTTGGCCAGGAAGGCTGTAAAAAAAGGATCAAATCTCAGCCTTTTGAGTTTTATGCAGACTTGGCCAGCAGAGTAGCCAGGGATAGCAATCACTTTTATTGAAAACACCCTGTTTGTTTCAGAGCCCTGAGAAAAGGTACGTTCATAAATGCAAATCAGTACATCCATTTAATCAACGGGTATGTTGCAACCCATGTGTTGCAAACAGATTACAGAGGATGTTTCACAGACTTTACTTCGGAAGATGAAATAAGGAAATCATGATTGGTTTCCTGTATTTAGAAAAATGAAACTGGGCTATTTTCAATTTTAGTGAGTTTTACAGATACAGTACCTCCTTGCCTTAGGAAGGTACTCTAATATCAGAAAGCTCCTGTGCTATTTTGTAAGCCTACAGTGACCTTTGCAAAAGAATTGTGTTGATAGGTATGTTCATTGCTCCAAAAAATCAAGTCATAAGCATACCCAAGCTTTTTTTAATATAGAGAATTCATTTAGGGAGGTTGATTCCAATTTCCAAATATTCCCTCTTTCCCTCCTCAGAGAGTTCATTAAATTATCTGATGCAGAAGACATTTTGGAATGATAGCACTTACATTTCTCTGATATCCATTCTCCTGTCTTCTAAATATAAGGCCTGTTTAAAATGCCATGCTGGCCTGAGAGGAAGGTCTTTTGGCCTTAAATATGGTAGTATAGATATTTTTAGCAAAAAGTACAAGTCACTTTGCTGGGAAAATATTTAAGGATATCAGAGATCAGATCAGATTAATCCTGGTCTTTCACAAAATGTTAATCTGGAGGTGCTCCAGGTCCTGCTGATTGGGAGGTTAGATAGCCAATTGAGAGATTTGTTAATTGTTTTGTTTGGGTTTAGGTGACCGTTGTTGATTTTCTCATTCTTTAGTAATACTTTGTTCTATAATTTATTTTAGTGTTGTTGGCTTCATAGTTACATTTACAAGATGGATGGCAATATAAATGGAATGAATAAATAAATGTGCATATGTGTGAAGAAACTTAGAGCTGGCTTCCCTAACATTAGTGTTTTGTGTGTCGGTGTGTATGACTAGTCAGTCTCTATCTCCACCTACTCAGATCTCTGAAGAAGGATCTGCTGAGCCCACTCTTATTCCATTGCATAAGAATTTGGAATCCTTGCCTTAATGCTGAAAAGAAGGCTAAAGAAGGATTATTGTGGCTCCAATTTCCCCCCTCCTCTGCACTGGTAATATTATACTACTAATATAATGGTAGCTAAAATTGAAAGAAATGTAGCAAAAAATGCAAAATTCCATTAAAACCAGTGACGTGCAATTACAGTAGTTCAGACTACAGTAAAAGAAATTATAGTTTGGAATAACCAGGCATTGTTCACTAGTGGCTATATAATCTATAAAAATACCATTGTATCCCATTTCCATCCTTTTGTATTTATGAAGATTTAAGCACATAGGTTTAACTTTAGGTTCCTAAACTTTACATCTATTAAATATATATCATTAGCCAGCTCCCCTTTAAAAAAAAAACCCTGCTACAGTATGTGTTTCATTTAAGACCTTTTCTCTTCTTGACATTTTAGAACACAACTGTGTTCAAATAAAAACATTTGAAACATGATTTTTCAATCAAATTTTAAAACCGACCTAGGCTGCAGAAAACTGATGAGGTATTTCAGATGACCTTGAAAATCAGTAAATGCCAGTTCAGGAAATGCCTGTCAACACATTGCGTCAGTAATGACTCATTAATGGAAATGGATGCTTGCTTTATTTTGTTAAATGGTTTTGGTTTATTTTCTACAATTAAACTCTGAAATTCTCTTATGAATGAACTATTAAAAACAGCCACCTACCTAACTTTAACCAGTATATCATGTGTTCACATTTTGGCACATCATTTTAAGTTTTCTCCCGAAGGCTAAATACCTACATTTAAATTTGCTTATCTTTAGTCTAATTTGAATGTGCGTAAGTAATAATGTGTTGCATGATTTTGAAACACTGCAACTTTACAGTTCTATACTGTATTTTCTGATTAATTGCTTGTCCGCTTCTTTTCCTAAAAATTGCCAATTGTAATGAGCTCAAAGACACCACTGAGCTACAGAATCATATATTTCAACAGCTTTTAACCTTCGTAATTATAATATTGCTTTATTGCTTTCATATTAATAATATTGCTTTATTGCTTTGAATATTTCATAGATGTGGATTAATAAGCAAAAAAGTGTGATACTGTGATACTTTATAAATGACATTACATACATGTATAACATATATATTTACCAGTTTATAGATCCATGAAATTTTGTTGTTGCATGTAGCAAGACAGAGAAGAGAAATTGTTCAAATCCTGTGAGAAGTGTGTGACCTGGATAGAGCTATGCCAAGGGTGGGCAACTATGGCCCCTTTACAACTTGTGGACCTCAACTCCCAGAATTCCTGAACCAACCATGCTATGTATTAGCAACAATAATGGCAGGGCTCATTGCTCCAGAATGTGATGTGTCCAAAAGATTCTAAGCTCACGTTATGGAAAGGATGCTGGAGATCCGGAGTTAAAATGATTCTGTAGCAGAATGTGCATGGTCAGTACCAGTCATCAATGGAATGGAATAGAATTGGTTAATTGTCCTCACTGTCAGGAAGTTTCTCCTTAATTCCAAGTTACTTCTCTCTTTGATCAGTTTCCAACCATTGTTCCTCCTTCTTCCCTCTGGTGCTTTGGTGAACAACCTGGCCCCCTCTGCCCTGTGGCAGCCCCTCAAATACTGGAATACTGCTATCATGTCTCCCTTATTTCTTCTTTTTTTTAGACTAGCCAGATCCAAGTCCTGCAGCCGTTCTTCGAATGTTTTAGTATCCAGGCCTTTGATCATCTTAGTTGCTCTTCTCTGAATTTTTTCCAAACTCTCAACATCTTTTTTGTGATATGGTCACCCAAACTGGCTGCAGTATTCCAGGTGTGGTCTTACTAGGGTTTTATAAAGCAGTACTAATACTTCAAGTGATCTTGATTCTATGCCTCTGTTTATACAACCCAGGATTGTATTAGCTTTTTTGGCTGCTGCTGCACACTGCTGGCTCATAGTCAAGTGATTGTCCACTAGGACTCCAAGGTCCCTCTCACAGTTACTGTTTTTAAGCCAGGTCTCACCCAATCTGTACTTGTACCTTTGATTTTTCCTCCCTAAATGTAAAATTTTGCTTTTCTCCACATTGAAACTCATTTTGTTGAACAGGGCCCATTGTTCAAGTTTGTCAAGATCTTTTTGGATCTTGAGTTTGTTGGCTACTCCTGCCAGTTTGGTGTTATCTCTAAATTTGATGAGTTCCCCTTCAATTCCCTCATCCAAGTCATTGATGAAGATATTAAAGAGTACTGGGCCTAAGACAGAACCTTGTTGTACCCCACTTCTTACTTCTCTCCATGTGGATGTAGTGCCATTGAGGACTACTTGTTGAGTACGTTTTGTCAGCCAGCTACAGATTCATCTTGTTGTCTATTCCACCTTTTTCTAGCTTACCAAGGAGTAGGTTGTGGTCTACCTTATCAAATGCCTTATTGAAGTCTAAGTATACTACTTCTATAGTATTTCGCTGGTCTATTAGTTAGTCACTTTACTGAAGAATGAAATAAGATTGGTTTGGCATGATCTGTTTTTGACAAACCCGTGCTGGCTACTAGTTATAACTTTGTTTGCTTCTATTTGTTTGCAGATCTTTTTTTGATAATCTTTTCCAGGACCTTCCCAGGTATTGATGTTAGACTGATTAATCGGTAGTTTCCTGGGTGGTTTTTTTCCTTTCTTGAAGATGAGAATCACATCAGCCCTTTTCCAATCCTCAGGTATTTTCCCAGTGCCCCAGAATTTTTGAAAGATATGGTACAATTATTCTGAGATAACATCTGCCAGCTCCTTCAGAACTCTGGAATGTAATCTGTCAGGTCTTGGTGATTTATATTCATCAAGGTCGGATAGGTATTCTCTTACCATTTTCTTGCTTATTTTTTGTTTCTAGTTTGTCTTTTGCAGTGTTTTTTTTTGATATGTTGAGTTATAGTTTCTTTTTGTGTAAAGACTGATGCAAAGTATGAATTAAGCAGGTCTGTTTTCTCCCTGTTGCCTGTTATTTCCTTGCCATCTTTTCTCTTTAGTGGACCTACAGTTTCCTTGACTTTTTTTTTGTTATTAATATATTGAAACTTTTTTTATTATTATTCTTGATTTCTGTTGCAAGTCTTTTTTTAGTTCTGAGCCTTTGCTTTCCTGACTTCATCTTTGCATGTTTTGGCTGTCTGCCGATAATCGGCCTTAGTCTTTCCATTTTTTGTATTTGTCCTTTTTGTCTTTCAATTTGTCAGAGAGATATTTGTGCAGCCATGCTGGTTTCTTCTTGAGTTTCTTGTTTTTCTTTTTCAGTGGTATTGAACTGGTCTGGCTTTTATGATCAAATTTTTCAGAGTTTCCCATGCTTCTTGGGTTGTTTTCCCCTTTAGGATTTTCATCCATGGGATCTTTCCTAGGTTCTCTCTGAGTTTGTTAAAGTCAGATCTTTTGAAGTTTAAGACCCTGATTGGATTGTTTTCTATTGCTGGTGTTTGCATTATATTAAATTCCAATATGAAGTGGTCACTTTCACCCAAGGTTCCTGTAACTTCAGCTCCCTCTATCACTTCTTTTCTATTAGTAAGAATTAAGTCCAGTATAGCTTTACATCTAGTTCCCTCCTCCACCTTTTGGATGACAAAGTTGTCGGCTAGGTTGGTTAGGAATCTGTTTGACCTCCTGCTCACTGCAGAGTTTGTCTCCCAGTTGATATCTGGATAGTTGTAGTCTCCCATTGCTATTGTGGTATGCTTCCTACATACATTTGTTAACTGATTGGCATAGAGTTCATCTGTTTCTTCTGATTGGTTGGTCTTAATAGGGAAAGCAAAGTCCTACATATAATGTTTGGGAAAATCATGTTTATAAGCTACTAGGTAGCTACTATCTCAGCACCTGTCAACAGGAACATGACATGACAAAGAACACACTTCTTTAAGATAGGGAAGGAGAATGGTGATGGATCATAGCAGCAAAGAAATAAAACAAAATTCATTATTACTGCCATCTGGTGGCCTTCTGCATTTGTGCAGTCCCAAATGGATAATTAGGGAAGCAGTGCTTAATAGGATAGAAAGGATTACGATAAGATGATATAAGATAGACAGACAGACCTTTATTGTCATTTTTTTACTGTGGGCACAATGGCACACATTAAAAATGAAATTTAGTTGCTTGCTCTCAAAGTGTACACATAAGAGAACCCACTGGGAGACCACCTCAGATTGATTCCATACAGACAGCACCAAGCATCTCTAATAAAAACAGAGCACCTTAATTGCTTTTGCAGAAAACAAAATACAAGAATGGAATAAAATTGAAGGCGATAATATCTAGACAACTCTCCCAATACAGAGAAACACACTAGGTGTGTATGACAGGATGATAGCATTATACAACTCTAATTAAAAAAACGCCACCAATCTTATCTGGTCATTCTTTAATTTTGAATGGCCTCTATTTACGAACATTTAAATGACAACTTTTTTTAAAAAAAAAAGTCGACAGTCTTGATCTGAAGAATACTCAATAGTTTTTTTTTGTTTTTTTTACAGAGCGTCCCACATCGACTCCGTGACAGCTGTTTAACCACGTTTTCCCATTCAGGCCGACGGTTCATAAAAGAGGAAAGAAGCAAAGGAGTGGAGATTCCCACTCGCACCCGCTCTCTCTCACACACAAGACACACACACATCGAGGGCAGGCTGACAGACGGTATAATCCAAATAACGTCCACTTTTCCCAATTAGTTAATTCGAGACATTCATCCGGTATAGCCAAACCTATCCAACGGGCACATCCTCGAGTTCGTCTGCACTACAGCAACGGCTTCCAGAGAAGCAGAGCTCTGTTTCCATCTTACAGGAGAAACAACCAATGGTCCAGCCTCACAAAAACGAGCGCGGTCAGATGGACGCTGCAAAACCCGGACGATCCCCAGATGGCAGCGAAGAGCAAGCGAGCTCTCGCCTCGTCCTTCGCATCCGAGCCCTCTTTCTCCCCCGTCCGCTTCCTCCACCGCGGGCCCCTGTTGTCCTTCTCCCGCTGCCCCGGCGCTGCAATCCTCATCCTTTCATTGGCTACCATGCCGAGGAGCACCGGCTCCAGCTTTTTGCCTATTGGCTGAGGTGCCTCTGCAGGACGGTGAGGAGTGGAGGGGCCGCTCGCCGTGTCATTCGGGCGGCGCAAGCGCATTGGCCTCCCTTATTGTTAACAATTGTAGCAGAGCCGACGGTTACATTGTAGCTGTGAACGCCCCCTCCGGCTTTTCTGCCTCCCTCGGAGCGACGCCTTCCAGCCTTGTCGAGTTCATCGCGGGCGGCGGTGGCGGAAGCAGCATGCCGGTGAGCAACTCGCCTCCCCCAGCCTTCCCTCTGCTCCTTTCCGCCCCCCCCCGGCTCCTGTGCTCCGCCGCGCCGCGGCCCGTTGCTAGGGGCGGCGCTGCCAGGAGAGCCAAGCGAGGTTGGGCATCAGGTGGTGGCAGGGTGGCTGCTGGCTGCCGGCATCTGCAGGGAGCTGTTCCGGGGGCCCTTAGAGCGTGATGAGGCGCTTTCACGTGTCTCGCAAGGCGGATCCTCCTGAGCTGGACCTGGAGACCTCTTGCCCAGTAAAATCCCACCAGCCGCAAGGATTGTGAATCCGAAATAAAAAGCATAGGCGGTCAGGTAGCAATCGCAGCCAGCGCCTGTGCGATGCCGGGCCTCGAGTTAAGGCAGTGATGGCGAACCTTTTAGAGACCTGCAACCCAAAACCCACTTATGTATCATTGGATGCTAGGTGGGCGTGGTCTATTGGGTGGGTGTGGCCCATTGGGTAGGCGTGGCTGCGGTGGTAACGGCAAACTGGGTGGGACTTAAAAGTTCCAATCAATCAATTCCAACTTTGCAAGATCTTTTTTCCCCTCAAGAAGTTGAAATTGATTGATTGAACCTTTTTTTTTTTTTGCACATGTGGTGGAGGCCTAAAGCAAAAAGGCCTAGGACTGGGGTGACGGCGCGTGCCGCCTCTGGCACCCATGCCATAGGTTCTCTACTACTGAGTTAAAGTAAACCTCTTCCCCCATCCACATGTGATGGATGACCCCGCCCCTTGTTGCCCTCTCACATGAACCTAGTGCTGACTGCCAATACAGGTAGTCCTCTCGACCTACCATCACAATTCAGCCCGAAATTTCCATGGCTCAGCGAGACAGTTGTTCAATGAGTTTTGGCCCATTTTACGACCTTTCTTGCCAGAGTTGTTAAGTGAATCTCTGCAGTTGTTAGTAACATGGTTGTTAAGCGAATCTGGCTTTCCCATTGATTTTGCTTGTCAGAAAGTCACAAAAGATGATCAAAAGGCCCCCCCCCCCGGGACTTTGTAACCCCTTTGTCAGAAGATGATAAAAGTCCAAGGGCAGTAAATTCTACAGATTTAAATTTGTGTATTAAAACTATATGTTAAAAGGAATAAATATATTTCTTCTAAAACTTCTAAAGTGCCTTTATTGAGCCTACTAACCACAAGAAAATCATGCCAGATCAGATTGAGAATATTTATAAAACATTTTGGTGTTTCTTATTATTTTTTCGGTGAGCACTTAACTATAATTCAAAAATGGAGGATCTCATATTTTCCAAAAATAGTTAATTGCCAAATTGCTTCAGAAAGTGTTTTATTTTTTCCTATGGGAGTTCTGACTGTAATCATATTTTTGCATCTTGGCTTTGTTTCTTGCTCTTTGCCGAATAATAATGAGACATTTCTTTCTCCACGTAGATCAACAGATCTGAAAAGCCAGACAAACCTGATAATTCCGATAATGTCAAAGTTGTGGTTCGTTGCCGGCCACTCAATGAGCGGGAGAAGGCGATGTGTTATAAAATGGCTGTCAATGTTGATGAAATGAGAGGCACTATTACTGTGCATAAAACAGATTCTTCCAATGAACCTCCCAAGACGTTTACTTTTGATACTGTATTTGGGCCAGAGAGCAAGCAACTTGATGTCTATAACTTGACTGCAAGGCCAATTATCGATTCTGTTCTGGAAGGTTACAATGGTAAGTGCTTCTTCATTCTAACAGGATGAAGAAAGGGGAGGATGGAGAGCCAGTTGTAAACACTTTCTTTTGCAACACAATTGCCTTCACTAGACATTAGAACTACTTTGCATTTGTGTGGTGTGTGTGTGTGTGTGTGTGTGTGTGTGAATAGATATGTATAGACACACACATGCGCAACTTTTATTCTATTTCATTATAAAATCCCCTACTAACAGAATGGATTTGTTTCTTTTAACATCTCTACTTTGAGCCACAGAGAAGCAATCTTCAATAGATTCCTTCAAAGTACACTAAGATAGAGAAAGGTTGTACTTAGTTTCTGTGGAAACCTTTTTGCCCATAAAAATAATCATATGATGGTCTGCTTTTCTTCACATATATGTAATGCAAGATAACAGTCCGGTTAGAGATATTAAACCAGGATCAGCCAATCCAATGCTCATTATGTTTGGAAGTAGCATCAGAGTCGGGTCTGTTAAAGCTAAACCATATACAAGTCTATAGATACTTGTTTGCCCCTAACAGTTACAAGGACATTACAAATAGTCCATCTTGTTCATTAACCATTCAAAGTTGCAACGACATTGAATGAGAGGGACTTGCAACAGATCCTCATAGTTGTGGCCATTGCAGCAGCCTTTGGTCATGTAATCACCATTTGAGATCTTCTTTCCTGGCTTTTCACAAGCAAAGTCAGTGGGGAAGACAGACACAGATGTTAGCCAGGATGCCGCTTGGGATTCATCTAAGAATGGCAACTGGGATTGCTGGAACTGCCGTCATAAGTTGATGGAATCACACTACATCACACTGTATAAACACATCACTTAGTGATGTAGTTTCTGGTCCCAATTACTGTTGTAAGTGAGGGCTACCTGTATACTTTTTGTGTGTGAAACTTCAAAGTGTTTTTCTGGTGAGACATATGTGATAAGTCAGTTCTTCAATTGTTGAGAGTTGGGGTGTTCAAAAATGCCCGTTTTGTTTTTTGTTTTTGTTTTGTTAAACCTGATTTGCACATTCTGGATTAATATGCACTTAATATGTTCATTTTGTGAAAACGTTTTCTATCATTGAATAAATACACTGTATATAGAAAATTGTATTTTAGGCTTGGGAAGAAAGTATATAGGTAGTCCTTGACTTATGATCACAAGTGAGCCCAAAATTTCTGTTGCTAAGCAAGACATTTGTTAACTGAGTTTTGTCCCATTTTATGACCTTTCATGCCATCGTTGTTAAGCGACTCACTGAAGTTGTTAAGTTAGCAAGACGGTTGTTAAGTGAATCTGGTTTCCCCATTGACTTTGCCCGTTAGAAGGTCACAAAAGGTGATCATATGATCCCAGGACATTGCGACCGTCATAACCCTGAGAGTTGCCAAGCATGTGAACTTCCATGTAACCATTGGGATGCTGGAATGGTTGTAAGTGTGAAATATGATCGCATGTCGCTTTTTTCAGTGTTATAACTTCGAAGGGTCACTAAGCGAACTGTTGTAGGTTGGGGAAGGTATATTTTTAAACAAAAAGAAATCACAATTTGATTCAGAAATGAGGTGAAAGAGCGTCATGAATGAACACATGAGAAAGTGACGTGGACCAGGGAAAGAATTGTGTTTTTGCTTCATGCTTGGAAGTTTCATTAGGGATCCTTACTTGTTGGCATGTATATGCACAGCCATGGCCTGTCCCCTCAGGGTAACTAGGAGTGCTAAAGAAAGGATTTATATTACAGGTACCATTTTTGCTTATGGACAGACTGGAACAGGAAAGACTTTTACTATGGAAGGTGTCCGGGCTGTACCAGAACTCAGAGGAATCATTCCCAATTCCTTTGCTCATGTATTTGGACACATTGCAAAGGCTGAAGGAGATACAAGGTAAAATAATTCATTTTCTTTCTTCACATTCCTATCCTGCCACTGTCAGCTATACTTCGAAAGGGCTTTCCTGGACCAAACTGAAATTCCATCTTGTCCAGGACTCATTTTCTGGCTGTGGAAAATTAGGTGCTGGTGGCAAAGCACAAGCAGGACACGAAGTAAGCGGATGTGGTCACACTGAGAGCTGGAAAGCACTGCCATTGCTACTTGATCTTTTCTATCCAGAGTTTCAGGAACTTAGAAACAAATGCATGCTCCCTGCTCTCTTTGTGAACCAAAAGCTCTATTCACTCACACATTTATACATCCAGGCATGCTTACCTGACCCAAAATCTAGGTGACCAAGCTGGGTTTGAATTCCAGAAGAAATGAGGCAGGTACATCGTTTCCAACAAGTTTGACCAGTACTATTGTGGCACTTCTTTTATACCACTTGGCATTTTTGCTCCAGAATGCCATTGTCTCATCCAGTTCACGTGGGAACTGTCAGTTGTTTTAGGAATGAGTCTTGTTCTTCAGGGTCATCCATCTTGTCCTTGAACCGAACTCTTTTCTGCCTTTTGGGCCTTATATCTGTGGAGGGCAAATGCATCCTGCATTTTTCATATGTGCCCATTCACAGAAATATATAGCCCCAAGTTAGGCATTATCACTACAGTATATCGTTGCAGTGATTGGCATGGCTTGTTAGTAACAAGATATTGGCATTAATATACTGATTGACATATGTTTTATTAATTAGTGTGATTAAGTCTGCTTATACATGGTTAATGTATTTAAACAACTTTTAGTTTTCTTTTCATATTCAAAGATAGACAGCTTTTGAAATTTGCCTTAAAATATCTAATGCTCCTGTTGATTTGTCGGTAGCAATGACTTTTCTAAACTGATTAGATGTTTCATGAAAAAAAAAAATACTTCGGTACATACTGCCTCTAACAGCACTCAGCACTCAGCTTCTTAGAAACTTGCTTGCCACCCAGAGTCACTTGACAGTAAGATGGATGGCATATAGGTTTAATAAATTTATAAATTTAATTAGGTATTTATTTCATTTAAAAAACTGGAGCTCCACCAACTCAAGCCTTATCTGAAATAAATATTGTGTACTAAAATTCTTCTGAACACTCTAACTTAAAGTAACCTGGTTATTACAGATACACTTTTGACTATCCAAAGCTTTTTTCTTTTTAGTATAATTTAGAATAAAGGGAAATCATTTTGGTTGAACTGTCATTAAACAATTAAGAATAACCAATTCTTGGGCATTTCCTGTAGAGATTCCAGAAATTTGCAGTAGATCACCATTTAACAAGGTGGATTCACTATTCTCCTGTAGTTTTCCAGAAGAAATGGGATGCCTTACTGCAGAAATCTGCTCACAAAAGATCGGATTGCATTCCCTTGTCTTTATTTCATAGCTTTATGGGGAAATCATACTGGGTATGACATTTGTGTTGCATTTCTGTCTCAAATATATTTCTTTTCTTAATTTGAAATGCCTTAAATGGAATTTTTTTTTTCAAATAATAGAGGCTATAAGCCTCTTTTCAAAAGTTCCCTTATTTTTTTTAAATCATTCTAGTGTATCTTCCCCTTTCTCTTTCTCCCTCACTTAATCTTTCATACATTAAAATTAATTCTGACAATGTTTTTGCTGTAACTGTAATTTTAAACTTCAGGTTTTTGGTTCGAGTCTCTTACTTAGAAATCTACAATGAGGAAGTACGTGACCTCTTGGGAAAGGACCAGACACAGAGGCTTGAGGTAAAAACTTAAAACTCTTATCATTGTGAAAACTAGCTGCATGATCATCTCTTTAACATTTACACAAATGACATTTGAGTGCTCACCTCTGATTTACTATGGTTTTTCACACAGTCAGCCAGATGTTTAGACTGGATTTGCCATTTTTATCCATCTATCAAATCCTTCCCAAATCCCTGGGATAGGCAGATGTTGTTGTTTGATGGTATTAAAGGTATTATCACAGGATGAAAGCTGTTCCAAGAAAAGCTGCCTTTTGCAATTGACTGGTGGTTATTTTGTCAATATTGATGGTGCTCCGGGTGTTCTGGCATTGCATCCAGGGCATTGCACCCTTTTGGTATTATCTTTGTTTTCTTTTGCCATAGCCGTTCTACTTCTATTTGTAGGTCTTTATATTTTGTGAATTTTTCCAGTTCTTTCTCTTCTCTTCTGCTGCCTCCAGGTACTGAAAAGTCCACTATCCATATTTTTTTTTTTGTCTTTCTTATCAACAATAATTAAGTCTGGAGTGTTATGTGTTTGTACATGCTAGTTATTACAAATACACACACAAACATAGCGAATATCCTGCCTTTTTTCTCCACAACAATCCTGTGAGGGAGACTGGGTTGAGGGAAAGTAACTGGCTCAAAGTCACTCAGCCAGCTTTCATGCCTAAAAGATGCCTAGAACTTGTAGTCTCTTGGTTTCTAGGCCAAGATCTTATTCACTGCACCAGATCGGCTCTCTTTAATATTCTAAGAACATAAATACTTGTATGGTCTATTCCACTGAATATAAAGAATGTCAGTTATTTTAAAATACACATCGCTCATAGGAATTATTAACTAAAATGTCTTACAGGTTAAAGAACGACCCGATGTAGGAGTCTATATTAAAGATCTTTCAGCCTATGTTGTAAACAATGCAGATGACATGGATAGAATTATGACTCTTGGCCATAAAAACCGTAAGTTGCATAGCCCTAGTTAAGTGTTTCATATTCTTTGTGGAATGTCCTCCGTGTCATTAAATGTGACCATTCATTATAAAAGCGTTAAGAAAAACCATCTATAATATTTATGGTGATTCCTTTGTCTTTTCCAGCGTAGCTGGTTCAGTATACATGTGGTTCTACATATGCAGCCTTTGATATAAAAAAAGTGATCAAATTTGAATTTAATTTGGTTTTTGATGCTTGCCTAAGTTTCTCATTTTTATAATTAATATAAATATAATAAAGCCTACTGGTAAACTGAAGACAGCTTGAGGAGATGGGGTTTGGTTCCTGTTCATTCATTCTGTTACTTTCCCTCCTCCCCCTCCCCCATGTTAGAACAGGGCTGCTGGAACAGTGTCAAAAAAATCAAAAAGACTTGTTATTTTAAACTTTTCGTTTCCCTTCTCTGTGTCAATAGGTTCTGTTGGTGCCACTAATATGAATGAGCACAGCTCCCGTTCCCATGCTATTTTCACAATCACAATTGAGTGCAGTGAGAAGGGTGTGGATGGGAATATACATGTCCGTATGGGCAAGCTACATCTAGTGGATCTTGCAGTAAGTTTTTCTTTTCATACGTTTGTAGCATGTCTGTCATGGGTATTACAGCCACTGTAGGGATTTCCTCTGTGTGTCTAGAGAAGCTGCTAGAAATTGCTAGTTGAAGTGGAGGAATGTCTTCATGTCCTTAAATGAACCTTCATTTTCACACCTATGCTGCCTTACCTCTTTAAGGACCCCTTCTCCACATGTTTGGGCTTTTTGTTCCTACCTATCAGGATTGAATCGCTATGATGCCTGCTAGCTTCCATCACTAATCAACTTGCCATAGAAAAGGGGGGAGGGGTAGAAAGCACAGGAAGGAAACGGGATTCCAAGAAGCCATTCGTGGACCGTGAGGACCTGCAAGAATGCCAAGGTCACTAACGCAGGTGCTTGATGGAGAAGTGGACTGTTCCCATAACAAAACAAAATTCTATGATTGGACAGTATGAACACTGTGAGTCGGTGGAGGCAAGGGAAGCTATTGCTTAACTAGGCAATTTTTCACACAGGAAAACCAGAGCTGGTTTTGCTTCTTCAGTTTCAAGATGCATATTCAATAAAGCTTATCTTCTATGGCACTCAATCACCCTGAAGATTCCTTTTTGGGAGTTCACTAGTCGGACAGCTGACACTACCCTCTTGCATGTGGTTTCAGATCAAGGGGACAGTCTTTTTCAGCTGCTTTATTCAGTGCTCTTCTTTGAACAAAGTATTTCTGGAAGAGCCCTTTGCTCCCTAAATAACTCTCTGCCTCTTTCTCTCTTTCTAAAGGGTTCAGAAAGGCAAACAAAAACCGGAGCTACTGGGCAACGACTGAAAGAAGCAACAAAAATTAATCTTTCTCTCTCCACCCTTGGGAATGTCATCTCGGCGCTGGTTGATGGAAAGAGCACTCATGTGCCTTACCGTAATTCTAAACTGACTCGACTACTCCAGGATTCTCTTGGTGGCAACTCCAAAACTATGATGGTAATAATAAGGAAACATTAGTGATTCATTCTGAGCAAGTAAATGACAGTCCAGAGCAGTGGTTCTCAACCTTTTTAATGCCGCGACCCCCAACCGATTGTAAGTCGAGGACTACTCAACCGGTTGGAAGTCGAGGACTACTCAACCGGTTGGAAGTCGAGGATTACTCAACTGGTGCAGCACCATTTGCAGAATGGGACTTTTGGCGGGCTCAGCAGGGCAGAGACAGCTTGGACAATTCCTATTGGCTTTTGAAAGCCAATAGAATTAGACTCTATTCAAGAGAGTCTATTCTATTGGCTTTCAAAAGCCAATAGAATAAAAGGGAGTAGCACAGCTAAGGAAAAGGGGGGAAAAAATGGTGGACTGCGTTGTTTGGCGACCCCTGTGAAATGGTCGTTCGACCCCATATGGGATCCCGACCCACAGGTTGAGAACCACTGGTCCAGAGGCTATCAGGTTGTGGATGGGGAAAGCAGGTTCTAGCTCAGTCCAAACAAAGATGGAGATACTGTCGATTCAGAGATGAACTGATTGCAGTGCTACAGCTCTTTGGCTCTTGATGGCATTGTTCTACGCTCAGAAAGAACATGCTCCCAATCAAGGGTCTTGGATTCAGAGCTCTTGCTCAAAGTTCAGATAAAGACTGTGGCCAGAAGGGATTTTGCAATCTGTGGCTGGTATGCTTTATCTTGAAGAGGAGGCACTGAAAAGAGTTACTTATGCCTTTATCAGCTCTAGTTTAAATTACTGTAATTTGCCCAATGCAGTTCCCCAATAATCTCAGTTGGTCCAGAACAGAGCGGTGGTTAGTTGCATTATTGCTGTGGTACTCCTGTGGTACTCCTGTGATGCGGGAGCTACATTGGCTATCAGTAGGGAATTCAAGTGCTAATCACTATCTCATGTGGGTCAGGGTCTGAATATCTTAGAATCCATGATAGTTTCTGTCTGTCCCAGCCATTAACTAGGGAGTGCCTGCTAATGAACGCCGCCTCCCAAGAAGTGCAGAAGGAAGGGGACCTGATAGCAAACATTCTCGGTAGTATCTTCCCTCCTTTGGAACAACTGCTCCCTTGAACCAAGGATGCTTCCCTCCCCCCCCCACCCCATCTTCACAGTCTTCTGGAAGCAAGTCTACATATGGTTCTGCTGGAAGGCCTTGGGGACTAAGGATAAGCAGTGCCATATCAAATGCCAGTTAAAAATGTAGCTATTGTTTTAGTATCAAAATTGGGAAAAAAGGATTATGGATTATATTGATAATTTATAATTCTGATTTTATTGTACAGTGTATACAGTACAATATACAATTGTGTTATACTGTAAGTTCTGCAAACAAACTACCTTAATAGCTTCAGTTCCTAGTTCTCAATGATTCTTCTCACCACATATATGCTATTTGCAAAGAACGTTAATTCCCCTATGCAACCACGAATCTTCATTTTTCAGCTTTTGAAGTCTCCTGACATAATAGCTGAAAATCAGTTTAGTTGTTTAGCTTCAACTTCTAAGCAAGATCAGCCAGGTGCTGTGAGGAAAATATGATGGGTGCCACAAAGTACTGGTAATCATAAGCAGTAGCCAGAGAAAAAGTGTTGCTTTTCAAAGTATTTCTGTACAGGTGGCCAGCCACATTTATATCTGAGGCACTCCATTCTAGTTCCTTTTTAAATATTAAGTTATCACAAGCAGGCAGTGTTTGCTTCTTGGAGAATGCTTCCATGAAGCATGTAAAGTCCTCAGTGACTCTGTTTGGGGCCCTCTTCCTTTCAAGGTTTTTTTTCCCCCTTAAAGCTTTTCCATAGTTCTGCAAATATTGGATTTTCCTCAAGCTTGTTGAATTCTCCCTCTTGACATAACATCCCACTCCTAGAAATGATGCTTGCCATTCGGAACTGTATCAATTGGTTCTCTATTCCATTGCCCAATTTGTTGCAGTTCAGTAAGGACAAATTATGAACAATTGGTTTTCCCCCAAGCGTTCCATGCCAGGAATGTAAAGAACTGGTGCAGTGGAAGATGATCAGTGGTTTTGGCTTTGATAGTGCTGATCACCTGCCTACTGTGGAGAATGCCATTGTCCAAGCATGGCTGGAGAGGTATGCGATTTTTGGCTTTGAGCCAACCATTTCTAGGTTGGGATGTATAGGTTTCCCCTTATGCTTAGTTCTGAAAAGCATACAAAATGTTCTTGCGCTTAAAATCCAACTATGTTAGAAATCTAGCTTCAGCTTAACATTTGACCATATTGTTGCACTTTCTGTAAATTGAGAATTGGACTGCTGTGTACTTAATTGCAGGCTTTTACACTTCTTTACCTTTTTTTCTTTCTTTTTAGTGTGCAAACATTGGCCCAGCAGACTACAATTATGATGAGACCATCAGCACTCTGCGATATGCTAACCGTGCTAAGAATATCAAGAATAAGGCTAGAATTAACGAAGATCCAAAGGATGCCTTACTTCGCCAATTTCAAAAAGAAATTGAAGAACTTAAGAAAAAGTTGGAAGAAGGTAATTTGTTCATTGTCTCCTATTAATATACATTGCTTGTAATGTCCCATTTTAAATGCATTCCAAGTTCTCCAATAAAATAGAGAATGATTAATGTAGATTTTAATATGTCTATCAGATTATCATATGCTTGCTTTAAGACGTTAGGATGATAGATGGATTTGTTTTCCCTCTCTTTTTGTCTTTGAACATCTTGTAATATAGCTTAGGCTGGGAGAGAGTGAGTGTCCTAAACCTACCTGTCAAATTTAACAGCTCAATGTCTTCTTTAGTTTAAATCCAACATTCAACTTCCATTCATAGTTTTAACTTCTTTCAATGAAATATTACACCTACTGACTGTAGTTAAGAATGTGTTGCAATTATCAATTACTCTTTTCACTAAATGTAGTTTTGTTTGCAACAAATACAAGGCAGTAGCCACAATCAGTTACATTTGATAAGAAATAGAGCCTTTGCTAGCCAGACCAGTTGCTAAGCATTTCTTGATAACCTGCTAATTATTTTGATTGGTTTCTTTGTGTCTTATTTTCTAACAAAACTAGTAAAACTAAAGGGTAAAATTAGACTGGGATTTTAAATTAATAACACCAGGATTCTGTAGATAAAAATTAATTTAAAATCATTAAAATAAGAGATTGGACAACCATTTGTCTGAAATGCTATAAGGTTTCAAGCCTGAGCAGGGGGTTGGACTAGAAGACCTCCAAGGTCCCTTCCAGCTCCTATTCTATTCTATTCTATTCTATTCTATTCTATTCTATTCTATTCTATTCTATTCTATTCTATTCTATCATTTGTTTCTTATATTAAAAATGCCAAACTACTATAGGGGAAGAAATCTCTGGTTCCGAAACCAGTGGCTCTGAAGAGGATGATGAAGAGGATGACGGAGAAATTGGTGAAGATGGAGAAAAACGAAAGAAACGAAGAGGTAAGGAGCTTTCAGATCACTCGATGCAGTGAGTGCCCACTGCAGTTATTTGTCCTTCTGTAAAAGTTGTATTTAGTTAACTCATGACCATTAAGGAAGGGAGAGGGGTTTGAGAATAAAATAATTGTGGGGCATAATGACTCTCAAATATCTTCAGGCTAGTCTTGATATTTCATAGACAGCACAAAAATTAAGTTCTGGGTTTTCTTCTGAACTTTGGCTTCTACTTCATTTATATTAATGTGCTTTGGAATTTGGGATGTTTGTACATAGAAATTTGGCTGAATGCATTCATGACACATTCATTCCTAAAGACAATATTTTTGTCTCCTGTTTGGTGAGTGTGGGGAAAATAATGATGGCACCATTAAGCTTTACCTCTAAAAATAAAGGCTATCCTTCTTTGCTGCAGTGGCTTTCTAAAAAGAAAAAAAAAACCTGCAAGACTTTTAAGTTTCCTGTTGATTTTCATTCAGTTTGACTTAATTTTTTAAAATTTAGTAATAAAAATATAGCTGTGACTAATACTGCAGTTTAATTGCACATAAGACAACTTAGTCTATTGGATATATCAAGTCAGGGTAGTAACTTAAGATAGAATTTCAGAATCTACTTTTCAAGCTGAGTAATGTGCTATGGAGACAAAGGAAGTATATTTGAGTTTCAGTGTTCTGGATAGGGAAAATCTACTGCTATTTGGTTGCAAAATGTCTTCTTTTAGGAGTTCTCATCGATGTATAATTAATTGGATAGCACATGACCCGAAACCCGCCAATGCATTACTGATTTAAACAAATCTTCCCCAACCTGGAGCCCTCCAGATGTGCTGAGCTTTAATTTTCCTAAATTAAATGTATTTTGCCAGGGGATTATAGGAGTGGCAAGCTCAACATATCTGAAGAGCACCAGGCTGGGAAAGGTAGTTTAAATCAGGGACGAGCAATTCACAAGCCCATCAATCCCCAGGCACACATTTTGTGTACTTCAGAGCTCCCTCTGCCATGTTTTAATGATGGTTTTCTCAACCAGTATTTAAGGTCTGTAGACTGCTGTGAAGTTAGTTCTGTTTGCTTTTTATTTGGGGGATTTCTGCCTGGCCACATCTACTTGCTTCCTAGCTCAGTCGAATTCCTTGAAATCCTGGATCAGAACAACAAGTTCGAACGCCTTTTTTTTTTTTTTTTAAATCTACCTTTGCTCTAAGCAAACATTTTGTGCTTATCTGAAACGAGTCCTAATTTGGTTGAAGCAAAAGGACTGATGCTCCTTTCACCCTTAATGGATTTCTTCCTCCTCTGAGTTTTTAACTGATGCATTGTTGGTTAAACCCCGGGACTTTAATAATAATGTTTACTAATATTATTAAAACGTTGCCTGAAGAAGTGAGAATTGCACTTCTTTAGGGAGACCCAAGGGATTGTGTTTGTTGATTTCTCCGCTCACCCTCAGAAATGACCTGGGGAGCATTTCTCAGCCAATCGGGGTGCATTAATTCTGAGCCGTGCAGTGGCAGAGCACGGCTCTTAAAGGAACCTGAGCCGATGCGTCAAGGAGTCAGTCTCTCTCTGAGGAGTTTTGGGTTGGTCTTTTGCCCTTTAGATCTAACGTTCAGCATGTATTTCTTGTTTCTTCTTCTTCTTTCCTGGGATTTCCGTGGGGCCCACTTCTGTATTTTCCAGGCAGTAGCAGCAGCAGTAGTTCAGAGTCTCCATGCTCTGTCATAGAAAAACCTCTGGATAAAACCTTCACTAGTGAGTGGGAGCTCTTAAGTCATCCAGTGAAGCTTTGGCCTCTCCATAATCCGCGCACTCATTGTTTTGATGCTGCATTTTGCTCCTCTGTCCCCGATAACATCGGTTTTGTTCAGAGTGAAATGTGGATTTGCTCCGCGCAAAGTAAAGCATGCCTTTTCTTTTGCTGTTTCAAACTTGATTTTTTTTTGTTTTGTTTTAAAAAAAACAATACCTTAGCTAAATAGTTTAAGAAAAGGAAAAAAAAGAAATATTGGAATTGCTCATATAAGGCAGGATGTCGGGTAACCGAAACGATTTTTAAAAAGGCATTGTTGACACTGTCTGATTTGGTACAATCATACTATAAGCACAGATAGCTTTTTGGCAGATTTTTTTTTCTGTAGGTATATGCTTTGGAAAGGGAACTGGGTTGGATAATCTTTGATATAACTGACATTCAGTGTCACTAGTAAATGACTTTAGACACCTAACACTCTGCTTATGTAGAAGCTTCCCATTAGTTCTGGAGCAGAGATGTCAATAGGGTGTGGTTTTTTTTAAAAAATTCAAAATGGCAGCTTCCATCGCATTATTGCAGGCACCATCTTAACTATTTTGACCACACCCCCAGACACCTAATTCTGGAGGAAAAAATACTCATAACTTAATCATGCACATTTGCATGTCAGCTGTTTCCTGCTTATCAGAGTAAATGGGAAATCTCTGCTTCAGCAGACTTTTGCTGATAGTGATCGACTAGTTCCTGGCAGCAGATGTGATGAAACAAGTTCAGTAGATCTTTATTTTATATTTTCATTAATAGTTTGAAACAAACAGTTTTTTCCCACCCCTCTTCCCTCCTGCTGCTGGCTTTCAATCACAATGGAATGTTTTCATTGGGGAAACATATCACAGTCCACTGAATACTCTCCAGCTTGGTATGATGAGTGGGGTGGTGATGGCACCTGCTTTTTGAAATCAGAACTTTCTTTCCCATATAATGGCTTTTCCCCCTTTTGCATGCTGCATGTTTCACAGCATTTCCTCTTCTTATTTCTCTCTTTTCCTCCTTTTTGTTAATCCCCATTAAAATGTGCTACTTTATCTCTAAGGAAACATCTGCATTTTTAGAAAGAAATCTATCTTTATTCAGATCAACATTACAACCATATTATAATCTATGAATGATGCAGAGAGTTGATTGGAAATTGTGATCAAACACAAAGCAAGCTTGACTGGGCATGTCTGACAATTGGCTACTTCAAATTCCCCGGCCTTAGTCTAGATAGCATATTATTTTCCTGGATGTTTCTCTGGGCACATTCACTGAGATAAAGTTAGAGCTTGAACAGCAAAATTAGCATAATACTGTTCAGACAAGCCGTGTTATATTGTAATAAGAAAACTGAGGAGTAATTATATTCTTCAGATTCTTACTCCAGTTCAGTTTTAAAATGGAACAAATAGAGTTGACCTTTAATCTTGCATTTTGGTGTTTGCCTTTTCTGTAGAGAGATGCAAATTTTGGAATGCCTTAATTAATTTCTTGTATTTTTTTAAAAAAAGAAATCAAGCAATAATGTGTTTCTTTTTTTCCCTCTCCACCCCTTTCCTCTTTGTGCCTGTGCTGCCTCTCTGCGATTTGTTTGCCTCTTCCTCTTAAATGCAAGATCAAGCAGGTTGGTGTGTTTGATTTGCCCTGCATCTAATAGAATTTAAAGAACTTTTTAAAACTTACCTAGCTTTTGTGCTCTAAAATCTTGTTGGATACAGTGGGCATGCAGTTGTATTCATTCTGTTTTGTTAATGGATCCAGTGCAGCTAAAACTGAAATCAAGGGAGGAGCTTTCACCAGGTCCACAGAATTTGAGTAATATTGTCCAAATAAAGATATGGGAGACAAGTCAGAGATTGTCCTTCTGTAGTAATAGCTCAACTATTGTTTGTTTTTACCTTACCAAAATTGTCCTTCTGAATATTTCACATTGTGGGGAGGAAGGGGCAAAGAGTAAAATGGGGCAAACAAAAAAAAGATTCTTCTTTTCCTCCTGCTTCTGTTTCTACCCTATGAACAAATGACAAATTCTGCTTTAGCTTAATAATTTTGCTCTTTTTTTTCTTCCAGCATTATATTATTCCAACACTGTGCATCTCATTTTTAGTTTTAAAAGTTAATATCACTAGTGCAAGGGTAGGCAACCTTGGCTCTTTTATGACTTGTGGACTTCAACTCCCAGAATTCCTCAGCCAAGCTGGCTGAGGAATTCTGGGAGTTGAAGTCCACAAGTCATAAAAGAGCCAAGGTTGCCTACCCCTGCAGTAGGGTGCGTATGTTTTTTAAAATCAAAATCTATGTCATTCTAAATTAATGAAAATATTTTTGGTGTGATAATATTGGGACATCTTACCCAGTTGATCATTATAAATCAAGCATTTATCCCCAATAGGAACGAATAAAAACATATTTGATGCAAGACAATGTCATGACCACAGAATGGTTATTTCTTTGATTCTTGGGTGATAGATACACTTTTTAGAAACCTCTACGTTGCAATGTCGATTACAAGCTTGTTACAAGAACAAATCCAATGCAAAAGTTTATTGTACGACAATATGAGAAAATGCATCTGCTTAATTAACCTTGCTTTTAAATCCTGTGAAAGGAAAAAAGAAAGTTTCTCCTGACAAGATGTTAGAGATGCAGGCCAAAATTGATGAAGAAAGGAAAGCACTTGAGACGAAGCTTGATATGGAAGAGGAAGAAAGGAACAAAGCCCGGGCAGAACTTGAAAAAAGGGAGAAAGATTTGCTTAAAGCACAGTAAGCATTCTGAAATTTGAGAATACATTCGTAGAATATTCATCTAACAGAGTGTTTGTTCTCCAGGCTGATCCTGCTGATTTGTTTGCATACAGCTCTGATCAGCACAACCTATCTTGGAAGGAGGATAAAAGTGGTTGAATAAAAATATTCAAATCACTTCACATGTAGTATCTAATTCAGGGGTTCTCAACCTTGGCAACTTTAAGACGTGTGGACTTCAACTCCCAGAATTCCTCAGCCAGCAAAGCAAAGCTGGCTGAGGAATTCTGGGAGTTGAAGTCCAGATGTCTTAAAGTTGCCAAGGTTCAGAACCCCTGATCTAATTGAAGCTGTTATAACAACTCATAAGGAAAGTTGGCATTATTATTTTTTTCATCCCTATTTATTGAGGTTTAGTGAAATCCTTATAGAAACATTAGAGAAGTAACAATATTTGTTACAACAATTCCAGGGACACAAGAGCATTAAATCAGAACATCCTGAGAGAGAGAGAGAGAGAGAGAGAGGAAAAAAAAAAACAGGTTTCCTTTGTTGTAAATACAGCTGTACTAGGGTTCCTGATACTTCAGGTTAATTGCTGAAAAGTAGAACATGTTCAGCCTGGCTGATGTTGAGAAAACATTATGCCAATCCTAAAATCATCCTAAATACCTCTACCATAGTCTTAATTTACTTAGTGAATTGTTTAGGACTTCTGGCACATGCAGTATGAGTTGCTCCATTCTACTTGGGATTTTTAGCTGTAGAATCCTGGCTGTAGGAATGCAAAGGTTTTTTTTCTTCTGTTTCTCTAGGCAAGAACATCAGTCACTATTAGAGAAGTTGTCAGCTTTGGAAAAAAAAGTGATTGTGGGAGGTGTGGATTTGTTGGCTAAAGCTGAGGAGCAAGAGAAACTTCTGGAAGAATCTAACATGGAGTTGGAGGAACGAAGGAAAAGAGCAGAGCAACTCCGAAAAGAGCTGGAGGAGAAAGAGGTCCATTTATTCTCTTGTTGAGTTATTGATTTCTTTTATTCTAAACAGCCCCCATGATGCTGTTCTTCATCTATGTGTCCATATGTTCAGGCAAGGCTAAGGAATAATTAAGGAGTAATAGCTATATCTACATAGAACATGATAGTATCCAAAAGTTTAGAGATATGTCCTTTAGTTCCGGAAAGAGGGAAATATAGTCCAGTGAAACCCTTTTACTTTCCACAACCCTATTTTTTTAAAATAGAGCAGGGTAATCAACTAGCATACTTACCATCATAAATTGAAAAAGAAGCAGAATTCCTTTATGGCAACCTTGAAATGAAACCAATATTGAAACTTTTCTAGACAATGAGATATAACTGAAGAAAATATAATAAAAATAAACGTATGGTTTAACTACTAAAGCAGCAGCTCCCAACCTTTTCTATACTCCGCAGCCCTAGAACGTTTCTGATATATTCTTGCACCCCTTACAAAAGTTCAAAATAATGGCAACGAGTTATGCATATACACTATAATTTTGAAAACCTAAGTTTTTGGCCCCCCCCCCGGGAATATCATCTCGCACCCCCAGGGTGTACGAGCACCCTCGGTTGGGACCCCCTGTACTAAAGGAAGCAGAGAAGGAAGCATCTAGTCAAAATATAAGTGTGTGGTGATCAAGGACACCGTGTCTGAGCTGCATATATTTGGGCAAGCACTAGAAGACAGCAAAGAGAAACAAAAATACTTAACTCTAATGGTCATCCAGAGTTTTGTAGCCCAGACATGACAAACGATGCTTCTGAATTCAGAACTCAAGAAAGGAGTGAAGGAGACTAAATTGAACAGGAGACTGTGTCAAAAATGTAGAGTAGAGTAGAGTAGAGTAGAGTAGAGTAGAGTAGAATAATAACTTTATTGTCACTTTGAATGTACACTAATCAGTATAATTAAAACGAAATTTCATTGCATACAGCTGTCAGGGTCACCACCTCTGATATACACTACATAAATATGACAAAAATAAATAAATACAAAATTATGCATATACCCACATATATTATATGACACAGAGAAACAACAGTCTAGTTTGGATTATGTATACCTGTGCGTGGTGAGAAAAACTAATCTTGCGAGTTTACTGGACGGATGGCATAGGGAACAAAGCTATTACAGAATTGGGTAGTCCTGCTAGAAATACTTTGAGACCTCCTCCCAGAAGGGAGCAACAGAAACAGACCATAAAGTGAGTGTGTGGCGTCTCTAACTGCTTTGAGCTCTAAGCACATAGCGCTTATAAGCAGCATCCTGAATACCAGAAAGTGAAAGCAAAAGGAAGAAAGCTTGTCCTTAGTATATAAGTATATTCAAAGGAAAGTAGGGGAAATAGCCATATATTGATTATGGCAAAAGTTCATTTTGTCTGCATTTAGGTTGTAGTCCCATAGTCCTAGGAGTTAATGCACTTGAACTAATCAAGGTTTCAAGTTCAGTTTCAGCTTCAGGAAAACAAAACTGATGAAAAAAATAAAATGGCGACTAAAAGGAAGGAAAACTAGACTTTTCCCTCTCACAGATATGTCCATCTTTATCATAAGCTTCTTCCTTCAAATAACTGGATGTTTAAAACTCTGTGGAGATACATCTTGATATTCATTGGAAAGCATCATATGGAAGTTCCAAATATTTATGATATAATTGATAAGAAACCACAACCATATAAAAATCCAGATAGTCTTTTTCTGCTTCAGCATAAGTAGAAGATGGAAAATACCTTATGTCCTAATTTGTTAGACTTTGCTAATTAAAGCATTCACATCAGATTTAAAAAGCCTTTGGTGAGCGTCTGAAATAGATGTCAAATGGCACAAATGGGTGACAAAATATGACTATACTCTTATTTTATGAATCCTCCTCCAAGTGCTTATGTAAAATAATGTTCTTGCACTTGCCCCTCAGTTGGATACTGGTGGCCAATCTGTGGCATTTTTTTTTTTAATTTGAAAAATAGCAAGAGCGTTTGGACATTGAAGAAAAATATACCAGTCTGCAAGAGGAAGCTCAAGGGAAGACTAAGAAGCTGAAAAAAGTGTGGACCATGCTAATGGCAGCCAAGTCAGAGGTCAGTATTATAAAAAGTGAAAGGTCTGGTTTCAGGATACAGGTGCTGCTTGTAGGTATACAGAAATGATTCTTGTAAAAGGAAATTGAACATGGCTCAGTGGCTTAGTAAGAAGAAACCATACATCTACATAGTTGGTATGTAGATGTTCCCTGAGGTTTTTCAGGAGACTAAGATTACTTACTGAAGCAAGCATACCTGCTGCATATATTCGTATACAGGAACAAAGTATGCTTGAATTATTTACACTTTTGGTAGCATGGACGTAAAAAGAGCATTTTAAGTCCAATCGTTCATTTAATTTATTTTTGGATTAGAGGCAACCAAAGGGGAAAAAAATTACCTCTTCTTCCAGCCATTTATGCTAGCATGAAGTCAATATGGCCTTACACATGGGGAAAAGGAGAGAACTCCTGAATATGTCTTTATGACTTATTTGCTAAACATTTTCTTGTAAGATACATAGATTTGAACATTGTTCTTTGAATTCCCATCTGACTCTGTTTACTTAGATGTGCCTTTGATAGCCTAAGGCTGAAAATGAATATTTGGGGAAAAAATCTTGGAGGAAACAATGTTTTTTAAAATCTCATTCACTCTTTCCCTTTATTGCTGATACTTCTAGACAGGTCATAACAACTTAATTTTCCCTACAAAGATAATTAAGTCATTTACATATTTTCTCAACCAAGTGGTTTGTTTGGTTTTATTGACCATTGTTCAAGAAACCTGATGGATTATCTTTAAGTAGCTTTTTTTTATAGAAACAGCAAATTTAAGAACAGCAAAAAAGATGAAAACAGGATAAGGTTGATAGTTTAAAAATGTGATATAAGAATATAATTTTTAAATATCATTGTTAAGTATTTTAAAAAATATTCTAGATCCTCACGATGGTGTGGTTTGGTTTATATTTATAGATGGCAGATCTGCAACAAGAGCATCAAAGAGAAATTGAAGGTTTACTGGAGAACATTCGACAGCTCAGCCGAGAGCTTCGTCTTCAAATGCTTATAATTGACAACTTTATACCTCAGGATTACCAGGTGAAACATTTCTGATGGTTTTGAGAGATTAAGCAGTGGCAGTTTAAGTCCAATGGTTAATTTAATTTATTTTTGGAATAGAGGCAGGCAAAAGAAAAAAAATTCACCTCTTCCTCTAGCCGTTTATGCTAGCATGAAGTCAATATGACCTCACACATGGAAGAAAAGAGATCTGGCAGTGATCTAATTGAGCTTGAGGGTGGGATCAAACACATCATCAATTTGGAGTCAATACACCCCCATAAGGGAGCTAAGTCCAGCCTTCTTTGAAGTCTGTTGACTCTTATCTGGTGCCAATTTGTCTTAACCATTAGTAGATCAGATTTTTAAAAATATTTTGGCAATTTGTATTTTAGTTTGAATAAACTAAAATTTTTGAGGAAAAAAGATTCTTGTGAATAGGTAGCATGAAATAAACTTGTAATACTTTAGAATTCTGTCTTATTCCTGATTTCCTGTGCCTGACAGTAGCTCTAACACAGTAGCTCTAATCTATGATTAGTTAGTAAGTTAGGATCTGCTTCTCAATGGTGAGCCAGAACAAATGCTTATTTTAAAGAAGCTGTTTGCTGGAACAACTCCTTTGCTGCCCTTATCATGTTTGAAGACCAGATATTTTATAAAGGAACAGACGGTGTGATACTTCTCACATATTTTCTCCAGTGTAAATTGACACTTTGATTGCATGAAACTGAGTCCTAGGCTGATCGTTATGATGGCAATACTGAGTATCCAAATTTAAACGGCACTGAATATCAGTAGTTGGAGGCTGAAACGTGTATGTGACTTCAAATCACTCTTGACTCCTGGTGTGGCCTGGACAAATCCCTGCAGTTTTCCTGGCCACATTTTCTGGAGGTGTTTGCCTTTGCCTTCTTCTTGGCTGAGAGAATGACTGGCCCAAAATCACCCTAATGACTTCATCCCTAAGATGGGGCATATAATCTCCCAGTTTTTTAACCACTGTACCAAATTGGCTCTCCGAGGTCAGAAGATGGGTACTGAGGTCTAAGGCTATCACATTTGTAAGCTTCCATAATAACATTCTAAATCAGTGGTTCTCAACCTGTGGGTCGGGACCCCATTTGGGGTCGAACGACCATTTCATGGGGGTCGCCAAACCATGCTGTCCACCATTTTGTTCCCTTTTCCCTAGCTGACTTACTCCCTCTTATTGGTGGCCACACCCACTTGGGGGTCACCACAACATGGGGAACTGTATTATGGGGTCACGGCATTAGAAAGGTTGAGAACCACTGTTCTAAATACATGGCTAAATGAGCCCTTTATTGTTCTTAATTCCTTTATTTATCTTACATTAGACAGCTTCTCAACCTGGAATCCCTCCAGAGGACCATACTGGCTGGAGAATTCTGAGAACTGAACTCTGCACATTTGATGGGTGTTCAGACTGAAAAAGGCAGAGGCACGATATATTAGCAGTGAGAAGTTGGGTATAATTTATCAGGAACGGGAGAATATAAATCAGAGCTCAGGCCAGTTAGAAGAACATTCCTGGGACAATACTGTACTGTTTGCTTCTGAATCTACTTTATTTAATGGTAAAATGACCTCTCTTTTTTTTGTTTTTCATGATTCCTCTCCAGGAAATGATTGAGAACTATGTTCACTGGAATGAAGACATTGGAGAATGGCAGCTGGTATGTGAGCTTACTTTTGATAACAAAATAATGCATTCTGCAGAATCTGACTCTTATGGTCCTTGTATTAATTTACCAAGCCTCCCCTTAGTCTGTTGCTGGTACAACTGCCAATGGTGATGTTAATAGACTTTCATTATATATTTAAAACATTATCTGTGGTTGTTTTTTTAAAGGAATGTCTTTTTCTTATACAATTGTCATCTACATGTTTATTTGGAAATTTGTTGGAGCTACATTTCATCTTTACTAACATATATGGGTTGAAGCAAAAACAAAAATGCCCTCACCTTACATTGGTGAGATCACGCCTCACTGTGATAAAAGCCAACAGTAGAACACAATTACTTTTGAAATGTCTAATACTTTTTTTTTTTTTTGTCTTTAAGAAATGTGTGGCATATACCGGAAATAACATGAGAAAACAGACTCCAGTGGCAGATAAGAAAGAAAAAGATGTAAGTGCAGCCTTTGCAGATGTGTGTTGTTGAAGTCCAGTTTTCAGCTTTGCAGCTATATTTTATAAATGTTTTGATTTTGATAAGAATACTTTGGCATGATCCATGAACGTTTACTCATCGTGTTCACTTTTTCCTCCCCTCAGCCCTTTGAGGTGGACCTTTCCCATGTATATCTAGCTTACACTGAAGAGAGCTTGAGACAGTCTTTGATGAAACTAGAAAGACCAAGAACATCAAAAGGAAGATCAAGGCCCAAAACTGGCAGAAGGTTAGAACCGCTGTGAAATACTGTTTTGTGCCCAGCTTCAAATTTAAAAGGAGCTGAGATATTTAAGGCTGTATGCAAACAAAAGAAACTTCCCCCCCCTCCAATTGGTATATTAAGAACTCTGTATCTGCCTGGACACATGTATATGGGTGGTCCTATTTTGTTTGCATAGTAGAGCCAACAAATCCTTACATAATAACCCTGAATCACTTATCAGTTTAATGGAATATTTTGCACATTGATCTACACTTCTGTAATTACTGGGGGGGGGGGGGGGGGCAAAACATTGCCTCACAATCAAACCTATTACTCTTTGCACAAGTCATTAGTAAAAAACAAAGCTTCTAGAGGATCCTATGAAGTTTCAATCAGGAGTATGTGGTGGATGTCTTGCCTAGAGTTAGGTCAGAGACTCCCTCCTGCATCTCTTGAAACAACTCATTTGTTGCCTATTAGGGCCTCCAATTAAAGCAGTGGTTCTCAACCTTTCTAATGCCGCGACCCCATAATACAGTTCCCCATGTTGTGGTGACCCTCAACCACTTATACATCACCGGATGCCAGGGGCGTGGCCAAAGAAAATGGGGGGAAAAATGGCGGACAGCCTTGTTTGGCGACCCCCATGAAATGGTCGTTTGACCCCAAATGGGGTCCCGACCCACAGGTTGAGAACCACTGAATTAAAGTGATTTATATCTCCCATTCCGCTACTTCACTCCCCCCCCCCAGTCCACTCATGCCATTGGTCATGACTTTCCTTTTGTATAATATGTAAAATCGGTATCGATGACTCTTCTGTGAATGTAGATTCATTTTTAATGCTTTGTCGTGATCATGTTGCTTTTTGTCCTTGGCAGTTTCTTTTGTATATATGAATGCAATGTCTATTTCTTGATTTGACTGATGTGCACCATCTTCTTTCCAAACAGGAAACGCTCTGCAAAATCAGGAGCTGTGATTGATTCGCTGCTTCAATAGGCCAAAACAGTTTTAGATTTTAGTAAAGAAAATGCTTGTGAGGCTTAACACCTGGCCCAATATTATCAGCCTGCGGTTGTTTCCCAAGACCATAAGAAAACAGTTTTGCTTACTGTTGGGTTACTCTTACATCTTCTGTTATGCTAATGTATTAATTCAAATTCAACAGTGTGGGGAAACTTGTCATTGTTATGAATTCCACTAGGCATTGTGCAAAAGCAGCTGTTGGGGATATCTTTGTGTTTTAGATTGGTATGTATTCAGTGGAAAAGATGGTATATGTGTCTAAATTTTAAACATATTAGCCATATTATAAGTAAACAAACAGATTTCTATAGCCTGACATATACCTTTTCTTTGTCTGTTGCCATTTGCTATAGACATTACTCCCCGTTTGCACTGCTACAGATTTCTGTTTTTTTACATACAAATAGTAGTTAACCGTTGTTATAAAATCTGGAAATTCTTCATGCCTTTTGGGCATCTTCTACCATATCTGTAGGAGAATTTCCACTTTTCTTTAGCATATATGAAAAGATGGACTGTTATAAAATAGTGGTGTTGGTTTTCTCTTGGGTGGATGGCGGAAATAAAGGAATCCTTGAGATTTCCATTGTGGCAAGTAACACAGTCTATTTCAAATATGGATGTTTGATTTAGAAGAAGAAGCTCACAGAGATAATTTTAAAGGCAATGTGACTCTAAAGGAACATGCTTTTTCATTTATAACACTAACATTTGAAGAGAGTAATAGAGTTTAGGAAATAACTTTGGTGTTGCACAAACATTTCTGTGGAGGAACACTGCAGATTCAGAATGACAACAGTTAAACCAAGGGATGCTGTATTTACTGAGCACTGAGGCACTGGCATGCAGTAGTGTTGGGAATTTAATGTGTTTTTATCTGCTCTTCCTAGATCAGACCTCAATAACATAAAGTTCATAGGAGCCCTATTCCCGTGACGCTATTAAGTGGCGCCCACAGAATGCCCAAATTAAACACAAAAGCCTTAAATTGTGATGGAAATCTTGGAAATTTGGTTCACATTTGCAGGCTTTTTCTCAGGAGCGATTTTAATGATGTTGATGCTAATGTCATTACAATTCAACAAGGGTTTTAAGAACTGAAGCATCATACTTTTTCATCATTCAGCATATTTGGTTGATCCCAACTAGTTTCAATCCAATATTTTATTTATGAAGATACGCTGCTACTATCCACAAATGTATTTTATTTACATTTTTATGTCACATTGAGAGTCCCGAGACACCTATTACTTGTATATATTTGAAAAGTTAATTTTAATCTGACATACTGTGATTTGCATTTTAAAAGCTATGATAGTAAATGCTCTGAACAAAAAGAATTTAGATTTGGTAACAGGATTTTCAGTAGCTGTTATTGATTCTTATAGATTGCACCTGATTGCTATAGTTGATCTCTGCTTTTTTAATCTCAGTTGAACTTATCTCAGTGTCAACAAAGGCACAATTGATGATGCATATGGAGCAAAGGGTGGGTACAGGAAAAAGAATGAACATGAGGGAAAAATAACAGCCTTCTAAAAGACAAGCTATTCACTTTTGAACACCACAACACAAAGTTTACTTAGGCAATATAAGTACATAGCTGGTAGCTTACTAGATTTAAAACCAAAATATCCTAGTTCTTTTCAAAAGCAACATTCTAGATTTGGCACAGAGTTAGGAATGGTGTTTACCGTGGCAAGGGGAAAGAATAATGTAATGGTGCTTCCATGGATGCGGGGAAGTAGTGACCTGCTGGATGATGTTGAACACCTGTTCCTAGGATATTCAGTGACCCTGGATTATGGGGACTATCAGTAAGCATGGAAGGGGCTCTGGCTTTTCTTGGCAAAAGAAGAGCATGGCATCACAGGTAAAATACTTTGCAGCTTTCCAGGTGCAGCATCTGCCCTCACTTGTTTACAGATGAGGTCTGTGCAAAGTCTTTGCAAGAGGTGAGTCTGGATTGTTAACACAGCCTTTGTTCTAGAGTCAGGCTACTGATGAAGCTCCTCTTACGCTTCTTTACTTCCTTTTCTTCATAGCATACTGAAGCAGCTTCATGGGATGCAGGAGGGAGTTAGCTGAAGGTGGCTTTCAAGGCATCGCAAAATTTTGAAAATGTCTCATCTTGCCTTAACAATTCAAAAAGAGACAATCTGTGTTGTGGATCGCCACTTGCAAAGGCTTTGCACAGCCCTGTCAAAAATCAGAATTCAAGAGACTCATATTTAATTAGTCAAGTTGGGCTAAAGCTTTTATTTGTCCTGTTGGTTTTTTTTTTCTGTTGCAACATTTAAAGTCATTTGTATGTATAGTGTTTCCCTTTATGTTTTTAAATTCTTATCTAGTTCTTGCATTCCAAGCTGAGCAGGAAAAATGGCACAGTCTCGTTGCAGTTAGTTTCCTTTCCAGTTTAAATTAATACCAATTGATTACTGTTTCTTGCAACTAGTACTGCGTATATTAGGAAAAAAAGATGTACAATTTGTCCTTATTTATTGTTTTGCTAACTTCTTTAACACTTCAAGGTTGTAGTTTTGTTGTATTTAAGATGTGTTCTTGTTAATGTATATACTAGTAAAATATATTGACAATTAAACATATTGGTGCCAAGAAATAAACATCTTGGATCCCCCTATACTTGTCTCCATCTCCTGCATCTCTTCCTATCCATATGAGCAAACTACTTTATGTGTCAATTTCTCCTTATTGTTTTCCCTGCATCCGAAATTTCTGAAAGTGACTCCAATTCTCTGGAGCATCCAGAAGGCATGTTGAAGAGAGGGGGTCTCTCTCTTTGACAGTAGGTTTTGTTCCATTCGGGTCAGTAAAGATCATTTTGCCAGATGTGTTGATCCTCTTTTGGAGGAGCATACAATACAGGTTGTCCTCGACTTACAATAGTTTGTTTAGTGACCGTTCAAAGTTACAGCCCTGAAAAAAGTGGCCATTTTTCACACAACCCTGGCAGCAGTCATGTGATCAGAATTCGGACACTTGGCAACCGGTTCATATTTATGACAGTTGTTGTATCTCCAGATCATCTGATCCCCTTTTGCGACCTTCTGACAAGCAAAATCAACGCGGAAGCCAGATTCACTTGACAGCTGTGTTACTAACTTAACAACTGCAGGGATTAATGTAACAACTGTGGCTAGAAAGGTAAAACTCACTTGACAAATATCTTAACAACATAAATTTTTGGCTCAGTTGTGGGCGTAAGTCAAGGACTATCTCTTAACAGGTCCTTTATGAAAAACCGCTCTGTTAAGATTTGCTTCTTTAACTCAGGCTTGAAAGCATTAGCACCAAAATGAGGTGCATACAGCAGTCCTCTGATAAACACTGCCCACAGGAAGAGAATTAGAGACAGAGAGGCAGTAATATTGAAGAGACAGATGACTATGTAGAGAATATAGAAAAAATGTTGTACATAGTTTTTACAGCTACCAAATATGGACTGCAAAAAGTTTGGTTTGCAGTCCAGATGACTTACGTTAAGTTTTAAGTGCTTTAGTAAAGCAGATTTCCCCATAAAGTCAATTCAGCATGGGAAAAAGGATTGGAAAAGGATTTTTATTAGGTATTTCATCCCATAGCTTTCTAACTGATATAATTGTTTCTGGAGATAGTAGAGTTCCATTGTATTTAGATACTTATAATGTTCATCCAACCAAAGGAGATGGATGGATGGATTTGAAAGTTGTCCATATTGGAAAATTAATATCACTTAGCTTCCAGTATATAATATTGAACTATGTAAGCTTGATGATATAGCTCCAGATTCAGAAAACCAAATCCTCTGTCATTAATTGGTAATTGCATTTTCTGTAAAGAACCCCAAAAAATTCTGCAAACAGTTTAATTTCTGAAAATATTTTCCAGATATTTGATGTCCAGATCCCGATCCATGTCATCGCTTTCATCCATGCCACCTTTTCTTTTCAGGAAAAAACTAGTGGGATGTCGTGGTTAAGGTGTTAGACCGGGCCTGGGGCACCTAGTTGCTAGTCTAGTCATAGAAGCTCCCAGTTGACTTCATGCCAGTTACTTTCTCAACCTTATCCACCAAACAGGGTTGTTGGATAGAAACAGGAAGAGTACTATATTTGCCATCTCAAAACATCAAGTCTACAAGCGTAACATATCTATTTTAAATGTTCATAGTTATAAGCTTTTTAAGTTTTATTGTTTTATTTTGTAAATGTTCATCACCTTACAAGTGCATTGGCTGCTGCTGCTATTATTATTATTATTATTATTATTATTATTATTATTATTATTATTATTATTATTTGAACTAGATAGCAAGATTTGTCTGTGTGTGTCTGTGTATTTTTCATTTTTCTTCATGTTTTTAAAATGCTGCTTTGTTTATTTCATATCAAGTAATTGCATCCAACATCTGTAAAAGAACAAAAATGAGACTGCTGTGTCTGCAAAATTTATGAGTTACGGTAATGGGTATATTTAAAAATGTAAACACACACTAAAGCACACCCCAAAAGTCTTGCTTAAGCAGTTGTAACAAAGAGCAAAGAATCCAGAGAAAGGTTACTAGTGATTTTTAAAAAATATATATTGAGAAATGTGCTCATTGGTTCATGAATGGCCTGAAGTCCCCAAAGTCCTTCAGGCAACAATGTGGGAAAAACATACTGAAGATAATATCAATATGGGATCATATCATTACTGAAGATCTCAGTGGAATAAGGATCATGACAGAAGAAAATCAGAAGTTTTACTTGTCAAAGATTACCAGCTAGATTGAAAGTATTTGACACTTGGTCTGACTGGGAATGAAAGAATGGGAAAATGCCACTTTTCTGAACTCTAGAATTGGAAAGAATAGGTAGGGAGAGAATTAGGACAGTGCACATATGTGCTAAGGTTTTATTATAATTTGTGCACATTTGCATGCTTAGAGTTGACTAGAACTGAATGCTGAAGTTCAGAAAAAAAAATCACTTGTATTTTGTTGAGTCCTTGGCGAAAAGCAGACACGAGAAGCAGTTGTAATTCTCAGGTTTTCTTTTATTCTGTGTTCAGCTTACAGGTGAAGGCTTCAGCAACGCCCAAAAGCTCCCAGCTTCTTATATAGGCAATTCCCGGGTCAATGTATTACTTTTCCCGCGCCAGCACCCGCGCATGCGCACGGGCGCTGGCGACAGCCTGTCTGGTCCCGGGCAGCTTGCACCTGCCCGGGACTGCCTGCAAACGCCCCGAGCCTGTTTGCAAGGCTCGGGACATAACACCCCTTTCCCCCGGGCTAAGACTACTACCAACATACAATTATTTCTTGATGCAGTGTTCTACTCCCCAGTGCTCCTACTGTTTACTGGCTTTTGTTTAGCCAGCAATGTTATGTAATCCTCTAAGTACTTAGGAGATTTCCTTGCTCTCTGTGACCTTCTCAGCTCTGGGTTTCTGACAGGTGTACCCTGACTGAAGGGAGATGTGAACCTGTTCTCCTTATCTTGCCTTGGTGCCTTCCAAGGACTGTGCCCCAATGCCTGGCCTGCTTGCTCGCCCACCGGGCTCGTCAGGCCAGGACTTCTGTCACTTTGTGACCTGGTTGACCTGCCTAGCTGTAGGCCCTCGGGCCCCTTGAAGTGATAGCCACTGCTGGGCGTCTCTGTAGAACCTCCTAGGTCCGTCCAAGACCTGTCAGGAGGCTGTCCATTCCCTAAACCCCGTTCTGTGTCCGGGCTCGTGTGGGTTCTGTACCTTCCCAAAACTCAGTTACTCCCTGATTTGGGCTAGAGGTGTTGCGGTCGGGACTTGGTTCCTCGACCACCTCCCTGTATGTTTGACCCCCTGTAGGACTTGGGGTAAGGTCAGGCCAACTCTGGGGATTATGTGCCAGCTCTCTTGCGGGGTATGATTTATTGGGATGCTCCCGGGTATCCTCCCTGACTGGAGTACTGTGCTGTGCAGGTGAATAGTGATTGTACCCCCGGGGTGACTCCCTGGCTGGAGTAGGCGTGAATGCCTGGTAGTTGGATAGGCTCTTAGAATTCCTGTTTGGGGCACTCGCGGAATCTTGGAATGGGCCGTTTGTGGCTCCATCATTGGAGGTGGGCAGCAGCTCGTGCCCCTCCCTTTGCTCTAAAGGGTCCCCCTCCCCCCCTGGAAAAGACCCAGGAGTCTCATCTGAAAGATCCCGCCTAGGGCGGAGTTGGTCGATGTGCCGACGCAGGACACGACCGTTGTCCAGGGCTACCTCGTAGGATAGAGGACCTGTGACCCTGGAAATAGAAGCGGGGACCCATGTATGACCAGGCCCGTAATTGCGAGTCCAAACTGGGGCACCCACAAGTAGTTGTCTAGGTGCCCTAGGATGTGAGGTAGATGAAGGCAGTCTGTCCGGATGCAACCGGTCAAGCTTCGTAGTAAGTTTGCGCCCCCAGCGAAGTTCAGTTGGGCTTCTCCCTGTAGAAGTGGACGGTGTGGTGCGGTAAGAAAGGAGAGAGTCAGCCAACCTGTGATGCCAGTCCCCATAGGTGAGTCTTTTCAAGGTGTCCTTTGTGATGCGGACCATGCGTTCAGCCATACCGTTGGTGGACGGGTGGAAGGGTGCAGACGTGGCATGACGAATCATGTTAGCCTGTAAGAAAGCTTGGAATTCGGAGGAAGTAAATTGAGGGCCGTTGTCAGACACGATGACATCTGGGAGCCCGTGTGCAGCAAAAATCCCCCTCAGTACCTGAATAGTCTTTGCAGTGGTGGTGGATGAGACAGGTACAACCTCAAGCCATTTTGAATGACTGTCAACGAGGACCAAGAAGAACTGGCCCTGAAAGGGCCCAGCGTAGTCAATGTGCACCCTAGACCATGGGGACTGTGTATCCTCCCATCTATGCACAGGAGCTTGGGGCATCTCTGGGCGAGAGCGCTGGCACAGGTGGCATGCATGCACCTTAGCCTCAATGTCCTTATCTAAACCAGGCCACCACAAGTGGCTGCGCGCAAGGGCCTTCATGCGAACAATGCCAGGATGACCCTCGTGGAGGGACTCTAAGATCCTAGTCCTCATTGAGGTGGGAATGACAACTCTGTTTCCCCAAAGCAGACAACCCTGAGAAGTGGACAACTCGTTCCTTTTGGACCAGAAACTCTGAAACTCAGGACTAGGGCAGTGCTCAGGCCATCGAGACAAAACCCAAGAAAGGATACGTGAAAGTGTGTGATCTGTGCCTGTTTCAGCGGTGACATCCCTGGCATTCAGAGGGGACTCGGGCAAGGCTTGGATGGATAGAATGTTGACAGCTGGCGCAGGGTCAGCTTCTACTACTGGCAGGGGCAATCTACTGAGGCCATCAGCATGGCCCATTTCTTTCCCAGGCTTGTGGAGTAAGGAAAAATCATATGCAGACAGAAAAATAGACCACCTAAGCATTCTAGGGGAAATGATTTGGGGAGTTTGTTTACGTGTGGTAAACAGTCCCAGCAGAGGCTTATGGTCAGTGAAGACCGTGAAATGCCTGCCATACAAGAAATCATGGAATTTTTTAATTCCAGCAACAACAGCCAGAGCCTCCCTGTCTATCTGAGCGTAGTTGCGCTCAGCAGAAGACAGTGTTCTGGAGTAATATGCAACAGGAACCTGAGTTCCATCAGACCTGAGGTGGCTCAGGACG